ATTAATTGATAATAATTATTAAATCAATTGATCTGACGTGTTTTAATTGATAATGCAAAGTATTAGTTGAGTCTTCACAATTGATTTAAGTGTTTGAATATTTTGATTTAAGTATTTGAATATGTAAAAAGTAATGATAAAAAGTAAAATTGACTTTTTTCTGTAATGCTAATTTTTTGTATAGTCTTAAAAGACTTAAGTTAAGTTAATGGTTTTGTGATTCTTTTTTTTTTTAAACAGAAAAAATTCATTTTTGTGTCATATAATGTCTCATATTAATTAGTGAACTAAAATAATCAGTATAAATTTGAACAATATAAAGTTTTAAATCTTCATTTAATTGATTTATTAGAAATTGATTATCTTTTTAACAAGTTTTTTTTTGAAATTGTAATTTTATTTTGAACAAATATTTGGTGAAAATGAAAAATATACCTTGACAAATTCGATCAAAAATTAGATAAGATTCTAATTTCAATCAAACCTGTAAATCAAACTCACAACATAAAATATAAGATTAATCATCTTGACAAGTAGTCCAATATGGGATATATAAATAATAAAGTCTAGTTTTGATCAAAGAATGAATAATATGATTGAATTTTACTTCAACATTCTGAGCACTACCAAATTGAAGATAAAATTTTGATCATACTCTGACGTTTAAGCACTGTGCCACAAGACTCACCATTAGATAAAAAATAATGAATTAGATAGTACTTTGATTTTAATCTTATCATTCTGTCCTAAAATCAAGTTGGTGTACTTGATTTATGATGGTTTGATTCAAGATTGTCACAACATACAATTTAGTTTTGGGTTTATCTCAAAACATTTTTGAATTTGATCTTGAAAACATAGTAAAAAGAGTACTATCTTCAATTAAGTAATTGAATTTGTTTAAACTTTGATGCTTAAGTGACAATTAATTTAAAAACACCAAAAACAAAAATATTCAATCAACAATTAAACGATTTAAATAATCCTTTATTATGATGATAATTCTCTTTAATCTTACATTATCCGCTAAAATTAAACAATTTTGATTTCACCAAATCAAGTTTAAAGTGATATTAGTTCAAAACCTGAAATGACATCTCTGGTTCCAATTATTTCGATTGTATTAATACAGTTGTTGATTTTATGAAAGTCTTTTAATTGAGTATACTGATTATTCAATGTTTGTTTAATCTGTGATATATTTGATAATAAGTAGTTTCAATTTATGATATTTTAGAATAAAAATTTTTCTTTTATGATTTAAATAGCATGAAATTTAAATGGTGTAATTCAAATATTTTGCCCTTCGATCCAAATCAAGATACAACATTAAAATTTGACGATTTTAACCAAACAAATAGCATTTTGATAAAATTATTGGCGTCGTCGAGTTTCAAAATTAATTAATTAGAACCAATTGATTCATATATTCAATGGTTTTTGAAAATATTATACTTCTTGAATGGATGATTATGATAGATTAATATACATAAATCATAAAGTTTAGGCTAAGTTTTTGAATTCATTAATCATTATTCTTGAGCAGCTACTTTAGTTTCATTGAATATATATCACTAAGTTTTATTGTTCCAGACGGTCCATCATTTTCTCATGGCATAAATCAACAATCAAGAAAGTCGATGATGTTTTAGATCTATTGTTCAAATTTCTTAAATCTGTCCACATGTCAGAGAATTTAGTGTTGCGACACAAAAATTTTAGTGTCTCAAAATTATGTATCTAAGCTTATTAATCTAAGTTTCAGATATCTCTATTTATCAAAACTACAAGGAAATTAAAGGTACTATAACGCAAATATTAAAGATGATCAAATTATATCCACAGTTTTCATCTATCTTACGTCCCCAATTTCATTTGCTCATCTAAATCCCACTTGATGTACAAATTCAGTAAAAATAAATAATATTATTAAACTACAATTCTTCTTTCATCTAACAATATTGAAATCTTCATAAATTGAATAGTTTGAAACACAACTTGTAGATTTTCATAGATGGGGAAAATATGAGAGTTACCAACCAATTAGAATCATTATTATCGAAATTTTATCTTATTGTCATCATTTCCAACGACCCTACTCATAAAAGCACAAAATGTTAGTTGAATGATTCTTTAAGATTTCTTCTACCTCCTCAAGTCCATTTAATAACATCATAGATAAGAAACAAAAGAATCATCCATAATTTCGAAAGAGTAAGTCCAAAACTGCAATTTCATCAATAGAAATGGTAATTTAAATGGAATAAATCAGAAATTAGTATTATAATGATGTTACACTGAAATTTTTCAAATTGACCATTACTAGAAATACTATGTTGTTTCTTTTCTTGTATATTATCATAACTTACACTACCTACCTACTATTTATTACTCTCTTAAATTTGTTTGTATTTGTAGTAGGTACTTAATGCTAGTACTTAGTGGTAGTACTACTATGTACAATTTACTATTACTTAAATTCTTATATTTAAAAAACACGTATTAAATTAAATATATAACACGTCCAATATGAGATAAATTAAATTATAAGTAGTTAAGTAGATGATAATAGTAGAATAATACAGTATTAACCATTGTATTCTATAATTAACTTATATCTAATTATTTAATCAATTTAGATATAATTTCATATCTATAGAATCTAGTATACCTCTTACTTTACTTTACTTAAGATAATCTAATTTTCATTTAGCCTAAGCGTAGTCTAGAAGAAAAGAAAAAAAAAAAAAATTAAAGTAGAAAATTTCATATTTTTTATCAACAACAATTTTATAATTTGTTGAATTATTATTGAAAAAAGACAAGGGAAGTTTAATAATCAATTTCTTTCAACTTCTTTTTGTTTAATCATCATCTTTTATCAACTTGGAATCAATTCATCTTTAATTTCAAAATATTTAATTGAATAGAAAATTATTGAAAATTTAAAACTATAAATTCAAGAACAAGAAAGGGTTCAGTATAAATACAATTCAATAAATAAATCATTTGCCAACTTTAATAATCGAAATTCAAGGGTTCAAACTATTTATATATATATATTAAGTTTAAAATATGGCATCAACAAGATCAAATGCTAGATTAATTCGATTTGGAATATTTGCATTAGTATTAATTGGTTGTGGTTATATATTAACAAGGGGTTCTAACTTCCAACCACCAAATTATTCCCAAACTCAAGGATCTAATTCTCAACAACAACAGCAGAAAGGAGGATCTACTCCACAACAAGCTGTAGGTCAAGTACCTGCTGCTGGTGCCAATAATCAAGGATCAATTGATTCTACTTCAAATTATCAATCAAAAGATATTGGACCAATTCCAAAAGCATTTATGGGACAAGGAGGAAGTGAACCAAAAATTATACCACAAAAAAATATTGATCCATCAACTTATGATCCAACAAAAGATAAAATTAAAGCAACTTTTGTATCATTAGCAAGAAATTCAGATTTATGGTCATTAGCTGAATCAATTAGACAAGTCGAAGATAGATTTAATAGAAAATTTCATTATGATTGGGTATTTTTAAATGAAGAAGAATTTAATGATGAATTTAAACAAACTGTTTCTTCAATGGTTAGTGGTACAGCAAAATTTGGTTTAATACCAAAAGAACATTGGTCATATCCAAGTTGGATTGATCAAGAAAAAGCTGCATTAGTAAGAGAAGATATGACTCAAAGAAAAATTATTTATGGACATTCTGAAAGTTATAGACATATGTGTAGATTTGAATCTGGATTTTTTTGGAGACAAGAAATTTTAAAAGATTATGAATATTATTGGAGAGTTGAACCAGATATTAAAATATTTTGTGATATTGATTATGATATTTTTAAATGGATGAAAGATAATGGTAAAGAATATAGTTTTACTATATCATTACCTGAATATAAAGAAACTATTCCAACTTTATGGGATACAACAAAAGAATTTATTGATAAAAATCCTCAATATTTAGCAGAAAATAATTTATTAGATTGGTTAAGTGATGATAAAGGTAAAACTTATAATGGTTGTCATTTTTGGTCAAATTTTGAAATTGCTTCATTAAATTTTTGGAGATCTGATGCTTATAGATCATATTTTGAACATTTAGATAAAGCAGGAGGATTTTTTTATGAAAGATGGGGTGATGCACCAGTTCATTCAATTGGTGCAGCTTTATTTTTACCAAGAGAAAAAATTCATTTTTTTGAAGATGTTGGATATTTTCATGTTCCTTTTAATAATTGTCCTGTTGATCCAATTATAAGAAAAGAAAGAAATTGTAATTGTGATCCAAATAAAGATTTTAGTTGGAGAGGTTATTCTTGTACTACTAAATATTATACTATTAATAATTTTAAACGTCCAAAAGGATGGGAAAAATATACAGCTTAAAAGGTTTGAGATAGTTACAATAAGATATTTAAAGTTATTTTTATTTAGTTGATTTATTTATCTTGTATAAATTGTCTTTATAAACAGTTTTTGAATTTTCGAGAAACAAAGTAACAAAGAATCGATTCTAGTTTTGGTTATGTATCTCTTTTACTTTCAAATTTATGGGATTCATGGATCTATTGTTCTTAATCTATTTGTATGGAGTTATTTTAAAATCTCGTAAATCTTTTTTTTTATCCCCGATATCAAATACACAGAGGGAATTAAAAACTTATTTGAACACCAATCTTATCATTCTTCTTTTAAAATACCATCATTAATTCACCTAAATTAGAATCTATATCATTCAAATCAACTTAAAATGAGAGCAAATTCAACTCAAATATCAAATAGAATTTTCAAATCTCAAAGATTTATGATATTAATAATATTAACAATATTCATAGTATTATTAATTATAACAGGTATATCAGGACATCATCAAAAAATTTTAAATAATGTTACAAAATTTTCAACAAAAGCAAGTGATAAATTAAATAATTATTATGATTTAAATGATAATAATAAAAATTTAAAAGTTTTAAATAATGAAGATTTATCAATGGAAGAAAATTCTGAATTTCAAGAAGAAGAAGATAAATTAAAAGAAATTGAAGAATCTAATAAAGAAAAAGGAAAAGAGAATGAGAAATCAAAGGGGAAATTAAATGAAATTGATCCAAAAGTTAAAGAAATGGGGGCCCATTAAACATAGATAGAACTAAAATAACTAAAATTATACACCTTTCCAAATAGCTTTTTCTAAATGTTCTTGAGTACGTTTAAATTGAACAATTCCTAAATGCATTAATTCATAACAACTTTGAATAAACCAACAATAAGTTATTTTATTCCATTCTTCTTTTGACGGAATATTGTCAGGTTTTGTTAATAATGATACAAAAGCTTGATAAAAATCATTTAAATTTATTGATGCTGGTGCTTCTTTATATACTTTAAATAATAAACATAAAATTGGACTTTTTATAACTTGACTTAACTCTGATTCTGATTCTGATTCTACTTCAGTTTTTAAGAGTATTGAATTTTTTAAAATTGTTTCAAAATTATCTAAATTTTCTTCAATTGATTGTCTTAAATTTGGTCTTAATAAATTTAAAGCTAAATTTGAATAATTTTCTTCTAATAAATAATTATTTTTTAAATATCCTCCATTCATTGAAAAAATTTCATTAAATAACATATAATTTAATGGTGTTGTTAATATTGGATTACTAAAATAATTTTCTATAACATTTATAAATTGAAAATTATCTATAGGATTAGTTAAGTTATTAATTTCAATCTTTAAGTTTATTAAATAACTATCTTGAACTTCATTTATTTCATCGATTGTATTTTCAAATATTGACTTGAGTAAAGTTTGTATTTCAATGGGGGAAGAATTTGAAAAATTTATAATATCATGAAAATATTTTGAATTAAATAATTTATTATTAATTAATAATTGATAAATTTGAAATTTTTGTTTTTGTTTGGTGGAATCCAAATTATAAATAATATTAATTGAATTCATAATTGATAATTTATGTTTTTGATATTGTTGTTTTGAATGTTGGAAAAGTTTAATAAGTTTTGAATCAGATTCAATTAATTCTTTTACAATTGGATCTTTTTCTTTAACTCTTATTTCAATATGATTTTTAAAACTTGGTAATTTTCTTAAACCATTTAAATAAATTTCAGAATTATCAAATTTTGAAATTAATATTGATAAAGGAGAACTATAAAAATAAATCATATAACATAATTTTATAAAATTTATTAATGAATCAATTGAATTATTACTATTTTCATAACGATTTAATAATATAATACTTAATTTTGAATCAATTAATAAAGGATTTGAATTATTTATTTCTGGTGTTAAAAATAAATTATTTAATATAATATATCCTAAACTTTTATTATCATTACTTTTAAATTTATACCCATTTAATTTAATTCTTATTTCATTTCTTATATTATTTATTAACCAATTACTTACAGTTTCACAATTTAATGCTAATAAAAGTTTTATTGGTATATTTTTTGAAGATGTTAAAATTGTTAATAATTGATTTAATAATTGATGATTAAATAAATTAGTATCCTCAATGACAATAACTAGTTTTTGATCTTCATTTGGTGATTGATTTAAATACCAATTTGATATAATTTCAATATCATAACTTAAATAATTATCATGATTGAAAAAAGGAACTTGATCAATAAATAATTTTATAATTTCTTTCATTAAATTTTTAATATTTGAACCCATCTTTGAATTTATTGTAATTAGCTGATAATTATTCTTTTGATTATTCATAAATTCTAAAAATTCATTTATAATTCTTTGATTATTTGCATTATTTGAAGTTAATTGAATATATCCAATATCTAATTTATTTTCAATTTCCTTTGGTGAACATATGAATTGATATAACAAATTAAATAATTCATTATTTGCATTATTTAAAATATTTTGAATTTTAATTAATTGATTATTCCATATTGTTTGATATAATTGATATCTATATTTTACATTTTTTATAGGTTCTAATCCATTGAAAAGAGGTATAAATGGACATCCTGAATTTTTGAAGTTATGAGTTTGATTAGTGATTTTAGAAAATGTATCTTCAAATGAATTTGGTTGTGGAGTAGTCTTAGGTGTTAAGAAATAATGTGTCTTTGCATTGTTATTGATTGTTGAAAATTGTTGTTCTTGTTCTTGTTCTTGTTCGTGTTGTGGTATCGGTAGTGGTGGTGTTGACGTTGATGATGATTCACTTTCTTCAGCTTCTGTATCTGATAGTTTCCTCTTCTTCAATGGTGGCATTGACTTGTAGAGTTTAGTGGTTGCCTAAAGAAAAGAAAGAATGGTTGTAAAAAAAAAGTTGTAGATAAAATTTCAAAACACAATTGGTAGATCTACACTTTTCTGTAGTACAAAAGAATTTATTATTACTTAGGCTAGTCTTATAAACAAAATATTATTATTATCAACTTCTTATCCTTAAACCAGAAGCTGGTACACCAATAGTTGTAATATCAGTAATATTACATACTGAACCTTTAAATTGTGGTTTATATTTAGCACCAACTAAAGCTTCTTCAACAAATGAATCACCTTTATAAATAGGAGTAAAAGAACCACAACAAATTTGAAAATCAGCATAAGGATCAAAATCAATTGTTATAGAATCACTTGCTATTGAATCTGATTTTGATTTTAGTTTGGTAGCTTGTTCAGCTCTTGGACCAGTTGAACTTATTTTTAAAAATTCTTCTGCAAAATATGAAGAACTTGAATAATTTTTATTTTTAAATGATTGAGTCATTGCAACATTTAATGCATTTAATTTATGAATTGGTTGTAAATTACATCTTGTAAAATATGAAGCTAATTCTAAATTACGTTTTATATCAGTAGTTGGTAATGATCTTCTTTTTAATTCAATTGATAATCCCAAGATATATTCACGACATAATTTTAAAATTTCATGACATTTATTTTCTTCTTCTTCATTTTTAACATTTAAAATTGTTATTGTATAAATAACAGATTTAAAAATTTTTATAGCTTCTTCTAATTCATTTGATTTAAATTTTTTAAATGCAATTTGTAATTGATCTTCCAAAGTATCAAATCCAGGTATTTCAGGTAAAAATTTCTTTGAATCTTCTTCATCATAATCTTCTCTTATAAAAGTTTTAAAACTTGGTAAATCATATATTCCAGGAAAATATAATTTTGAAGATCCATAAACTTGTAAAAATCTTTTTCTTAATGGTTCAAATGTATTTATACCTAATTGTTTTTGTAATAATTGTGCAGCTTGATCAAAAGCTCCTGCTGCAACATAAGTAGCTGGTGTTTTAGCATTTCTTAACCAATCTCCAATTTCTCCTTCATTTTTGGTGATAGGTGCATTTGTGGTGGTAGTATCTTCTCCATTTAATGGTAATTGAACTTCATGATCATCAAAATCTAAATCTTCATCATCCCAAGCACCAACACCATCTTCTTCTTCATCTTGTTCTTCATCATCAAAATCTAAGTTAGTGGTGGCGGTAGTAGCTGAATCAATTGCCTTAGATTGATCATCTTCAATTGATAAATTTTCTACTTTACCAGTTAATAAAGCATTTTCAAAATATGATAATGAACTTTCTTTTAATGGCCAATTATTTATTGGATCTTCAATAGGTTTTGGTAAAGCGATAGTTTCACCTAATTCTGGTAATTCAACATCTTTTTCAGTTATACCAGCTTCATCTAATATCTTTGTAGCAAATTCATCAAGACCATTTGATTTTGCTAAAGTATAAGCTAATGGTAACATACCACTTTGAATATATACTGAACATCTTTTTTCAATATCATTATTATATATAGTATTTTGAACAATTGAAGATAAATCATTTCTATGTTCAGCAATAGTTGTCATTTTTTTCAATCTTTCATTATCTCCTTTAAATAAATACAAGAATGATAATTTATCAAAATAATGTAATTGTTGATAAACAAATTCAACTATATCTATATTACCTTGTAAAAGAGCTTCTTCACCTAATTTTTCCCAAATTTTAGAATTATTTAAAATTTTAGCTTGTTCTAATGCAACTTTTAAATTACTACATTCTAAAGCTAATTCAAATCTTGTTTCTGGATCTTCAACAAAATGCAATGCAACTTCTGAATAACCTTTTTTTTGTAAATATCCAATAATATTTTGTCCAACTAATGTTGAATTTTTAATAATTCTTAAAACTTCTCCAAAATTCTTATTAACTAAAGCTCTTTTAAATCTATATTCTGTTGGATCAATTTTTAAAATATCAACTTGTCCTAATCTATTTAAAACATATATTATATTATTTTGAACTTTTGTTATATAAACTGTATTTTCTAAAGTTTTTATAATACCATTATCACCATTTAATAAAGTATATTTTATATGATTTAATGTAGAATATAATAAAACTCCTGAATCATCCCAACTTGCACTTTTAATTCTTATAGTTTCATGCATTGAAGTAATTAATTCTAAATCTTTATTTGCTATAGTTATTGTATGTTTTGATAATAATGCTAAATATTGACCATCTTGTGACCAACTTACATATTTAACATTATTTACATTTAATTCATTTAATTCCTTTTTTTGTAATACATCATAATTTATAATTGAATGAGCTTTTACTAATAAAACTTTCCCTGGTCCTCCATATAATACATCAATAATTGAAGAATCTAATTGAATTGTTTTTGTAATATTATTATTTAAATCTTTAACATTTAAAATTTTACTAGATTTTATAAATGTAACAAATCTATTTCTTGAAATAAATGTTGCAAAATTACCTTCTCCTTGTCTAATATCTGTTGGTTCAATTGCTCCTGTAGCATGTTTTGGTAAAGTAATTAAAGCATAATTTGAATTATCACCTTCACCATGAACAACCAAAATAGAATTATCAGATTGATTATAAGATAAAGTTCTCATAAATGACCAAGTTTTACCAATTTTTTTTAAACTTAACATTGGTAAAGAACTTTCTTGTTTTTGAAAATCAAAACTTTGAACTTGTTTTTCATTATTTATATAATATAATTTATTTTGAAAAATTGAATGTGCAGGTCTTTCTCTTTCTAATTTAAAAACCATTACTCCTGAATCATGACATGCTGCAAATAAATTTATAGTTGGATGACTTGCAATTAACCAAAATCTATCATGTTCTCTTCTAAATTGTTTTATTGGAACTCTTTTATTTAAATCCCATACTCTTATAGTTTTATCATCACTAACTGATAATATCATATCTTGATGAGGATGAAAAATTGCACTTAATACATTTCCTGTATGACCTCTACAAGTATCAACTTCCCATGCTTTTGTATCACTCATTCTCCATAATTTAACTAATCTATCATCACCAGCAGAAACAATTAATGGTAAAGTTGGATGAAATGAAGCATAATTTACTCCTTTATCATGACCTTCTAAAACATATTTAACTATAGCATTAACATTTCCAAATATATCTTGTTGAGGTAATTGTTGTCTTTGAATTTGATCTTCAAATGATCTTATGGAAGATGTAGGAGCAGAATGTTTTTTTCTTAAACCAGAAATATCCCAAACTCTAACAGTTTGATCTAAACTTGCACTCACAATTAAATCTTCAGTTGGATGAAATTGTGAACTCATAACATAATGATTATGACCAGTTAAACAAGCAATTTCTTGTCTATTTTGCCAATTCCAAATTCTAATAGTTTGATCATCTGAACAACTTATTATCCATGGTAAATCATGATGAAATGATACTCCTCTAACATAATCTAAATGTCCATTTAATGTAAATATACATTTTCTTGTATTTAATGACCAAACTTTTATTGTATAATCATCACCACCACTAACAAATAATGGTTGAGTTGGGTGAAAATTAACGCATCTAACTGGTCCAACATGATCTTCAAATCTATCAATTAAAGTTCCCATTCTATAATCCCATAATTGAATTGTTGAAGAATGTAATGAAACTAAACACCAAGGTCTTTTAGGATGAAATGCTACACCTTTAGCCCTTGATGATTTGGACTCAAATTTGGTAAGCATCTTCATGATGGATTTAATATATTCAATTGATGTTTGTTGGTTGGTTGTAAGATTGGAGTTGTTGTTTGATTGAAAAATTAATTTTGTTGATTTGTTCAAATATTATTTTGTAAGAGAGAGAGAGAGAGAAAAAAATTACTAGGACACGCATTTAATATTACACGTTAAGTTTAATAATGGTTAAGTATATGGAGATAAAATAGTTGTTAGACAAGTTAAGTATGATACATATATTCATATTATTATAAATCTAAAATAAATAAGAAAATATACCCAATGCTATAGCTACAAAAACATTACTTAAATTATTATTTGAATATGCAACTGCAACACCATTTGATCCACCAGTAGTTGAACCAGTTGGGTTTGAAAATTGAACAAATCCACCAATACCATTAGTAGATTGATATCCGTTATTATTGTTATTATTATTTGTATTTTGTTGAGCAGCTGTAGCTTGATTTGCTGCTGCTGTATTTTGAGCTACTGCATTTGCTGTAGCTTTTGATTGAGTTGTATGAATTGAAGTTATAACAGATGATCCACTTGTTGATATAATAGTTGATGTTATATTTTTATTAAAAACATCATCATCTTCATTTTGTGGATCAAATCCTGTTGCTTCATCTGATCCTAACCAAGTTTTTTTATTTGTTAAATAAATATTTTCTTCATTTCCCTTTGTTGAATCATATAAAAATGCATGATAATCTTCTTCATTTGTTGAATTACCATCTTTCATTGTAACATTTGAAGGAAAATCATGAGTTTCAACATGAATTTCTTTAACATGAGCATAAAAATAACCATATTTTTGAATATCTTCTGCATTCCAATCAATTTCTCCTCCTGCCCATTCTATAGTACCTTGACCATTTTGTGGATCTCCTCCAGGCCATAAAGAAAATTGAATTCTTGAAGGAGTTTGTGGGAAATCATATCTTTTTGTTGTATCATTCCAAGTATCATTTTTATTTAAAGTTCTAACATCTTTATTATCAACTGACCAAGTAATATGATCTTCATGCCAATCCATTTCATATAAATGATAATATTCAAAAGTATTATTTACTGAAGAATTTCTTGAATTATTATAATTTAATATACCTTGAGCATAATAATTTGATTGAGGATGTACCAAATCATAACCAACATATTCAAAATCAATTTCATCTTGAACATCTGAAAATAAAATAAAAGCACTTACAACACCACCACCATGAGAAGTTTTTAAAGTAGCACCAATTTTACCATACCATAAATATTTTGTTGAAGAAACAACTGTACCAGTAGTATGATTTGGCATTTGTAATAATAAAGCATTATCATAATAATCAACCCAACCAGTATATACCCAATCAGCTTCAGAAGCATTACCTAAATATTCAGTTTGTAATTCAATAGCTTGAATATCATCTTTTGAATCAAAAGTTTTTTGATAATCATACATTCTTGGCATTGGCATACAAGCAGTTAAATTATATGAATATCTTATATCACAACCTCCTAAACAATAAGCACCAGATCCACATATACCAAATTGTGAACAACATGGAGAAGATTCTGGACAACTTTGAGTAGAATTACATAATATTGTATCTGCTAAAGTATAACTTAGTAGTGATATAAATATGATATAAATAGATTTCATGATATATGTAAGTGAGTGTGTGTGAATGAGTGTGTATGTGTGTAATGTATATTATATGTTTGTTTTATCTGTTGAAGTTGAATCTAATCTTGAAAGGACTTGATTTGATTTGATTTGATTTTGTATGACTTTTCTGTTAAATTCGATCTAAAAATTAGCGAAAGACTTTGTATAGTTTTGATGTTTTATATATATAGCTAAAAGAGAATGTGAGTTTGATTGTTGAAGTAGTAGGACTTTTGTTAAGTGAACGAAAGTGAATATGGAGTGTTAAGATGCTATGATGATTAGTAGTTTAAATTACATGTATTATAACAATTTTAAATTCTGTTGATTTACAAATTTTTTTTCTCTCTCTCTTTGTTTAAAATTAATTAATATTGTTACAAGTAATATTATTTTCAGCCTGGTTATAAATTTCTTAATTTCTATTTATAGATTTTGTTACATAAGATGATGGAATAAGGGATAAATTCAATACAATAGTAGACCAATTACAAAGACCATTGGAATAAGAGATAGAAAAAGAGCAAAAGAATGAATCTAATCTTTCAGTATTCACTCACATAAAGATACATTTTAAGAGAAGAAAGATCAATTAGATTTTGATCTACTATATTAATGCACACGTAAAAATGCGCATTACTTTATCGTGAATTCAAATCGACCCCTCCGTCAAGAAATTTTGGATGTTTTTGAGTATGTAGGTACGGATGAGGATGGTACGGATTGTATGGTGGTACGGATGTCAATGGAGGGGTGCATTTGAAAGGTGGTTTACTTTATATGCATAATTAAACTTACAGTAATAGACTAGTATAAATTTCTTTAGTAAATTAAATTTACGCATCAATCGCATAAATACACGATAAAAAAATAAGACATTATACGACAAAATCTAAGCTATAAGACATATTTTTAGTAGTTTAATAAGAGACATTTTACAAGATCCCTCTCGATCATTTCTTTTTTTATTGTTTACATATTTCTACTTTAGGTTAATTAATTGATTTATACTATGAGAATATCACTACCAATTGTGCTTAATATAATAAAACTTAAGAAATCACGTCTAATATTATTCATTTCTAAGTTGATATAAGCAAAGTTTTACTTGTCAAACCAACTCTATAAAATTATAGCTCAAATAGTAATTACTGAGTAACATCATGAATTTAGCATCTTGCTTTCCAATTCGATTCAAACAAATGGGTTGAGTTCATGATTTTTAAGACGTGTAATCTGCTACCAAATTTTATTAGGTGATACTAACAAATTTTTTGGCTGCAAAACTTTAATAAAAAATTTTATCAACAAACAACTACAATGATACAATATATAGATTTATTAAATAGAAGAACTAAAAAATTTATATAATAACTTAGCTATATTGTTAATACAATCTACTTAATTGACTGAACCTTGAGCTTGAGCAATTCCATTAAATGAAAATCCATATTTTTGTAAAATTGAAAAAGCAATAGCAGTAGCATAATTAAAAGAAACTTGAACATTACCTCTTTTATCAACTAAAACTTCATTTTCTTCTCTTTTACTTGAAGAACCAACAGAAACACCACCACCAACAGCACCATTAATTGGTCCAATTGATCCACTAACTGATCCAGAAATAGAACCACCATTTAAATTACCTTTTATTAATGAATTAGCATCAAATCCTAATAAATTTAATATAGAAAAAGCTAATTGTGAACCAGCTTGTAATTCTTTATTTAATTGATCTTTTGATAATTTTTTAATATCTTCTAAAGTTGGTAAACCAGGTATTTGAGGAATAGAAGTTGGTAATGGAATTATTGGGAAATCTGTTGGTAATTTTGGAATTTCTCCATTAATTGCGTTATTGATGATACCTCCAATAATTGGAATATTAGTTGGTACTGATGTTGGAATAGCAGTTGGTACTGCAACTGGTAAAGCAGTTGGAATAGCAGTTGGAATTGCACCAATTATTGGTAATGAAGTTGGAATAGCAACAGGACCAATTTTTGTTGGTAAAGCAATTGATGGAATTGAAATTTTTGGTAAAAATAATCCATTAACTATTGATGAAGCTAATAAAATCAAAGTAATTGAATCTAATTGCATTGTTAAATCTTGTTTTGGTTGGAATTTTAATTGAGGTTGGTTTGATCAATCTTGAGAAGTGTTCGAATTAGGAAATTTTGACTGATATTTATATTGAAATATGGAAGTGTGTCTATGCTTTGAGTCTAGCATGATAGTATATTAAAAGGCGGTTAGTTATTCATCCTTTAATGACTTGTGTAGTTGGCTATTTAGTTTTAAATAGATGTTACCATGTTTCAAGTAATTAAAAGAAATCTAAAGTTAAGAAATTAAGCTTTTTTTTGTGTTAGACTTAAAATAAAATAGAAATTTAAATTCCCCATATTAGTTGTATGGCAAAAATCCGATATATGGTCTACTTACGATTGATGGACTAAGATCGAGGGTTCCTTGGTATTTCTTTTTCAGATCATTGTCACAGAAGTCTTAGTTTACGAGATATGAATTTATTGTTCTTGATTTTTTTTATTTTCTGTAGTTTTCGCAGCCAAACTTTATTTTGACATACGTGTATCGTAGATCTTACAAATCGAAACTATGTGAGAGCTTCAATGTACTACAGTATTGAAGGATTCATGATGAAGTTTTAGTTATTTTAAAAACAAGGATGGAAACTTGCTTGCAAATTAGATTAATTTGTAGAATGGATTTTCAAATCCGAATTAAAAAATTGTGTAACATAAAACTAAAAAGTATCATAGTTTAAACTAAATGAATTGAAAATGAAACGTAAATACTTCCAATTTAGTTCAAACAATTGATTTACGAGAATACGTAAATCCTTATTAACTGAAAACAAGTCGTAATTAAAAGAAATATTGGTTATGAAAAATCCTTCAAGTAATCGTAAAATCTTTATTTAAAAAAAGGGTTCAAATTGGAACACTTTCAAAAGAAATCAAAAAAGAAATAATAATACAACAAAGTTTAACTTTATTTATGAAATTGGCTGAGTTGAGTCTAGCAGATATCTGAAAAGAATTTATTAACTTTCTCCATAATTAAGGTGAGAAAGTACAAAAATTGTATCTTAAATCTCATTAACCTTTTTGAATTAGTCCAACTTGACCGTAATTATTTTAGATCTTACATCACCGTATTTCCAAATTTTCGTAATTTTAAATTACTCATTTGAATAAGTGAGTTCGACCTCATAGATTTTCTCTTGGTTTTTTTCAATTTTAAATTATTTAGTTCATGATCTAAAATGCGGAGTTCTTTATTAAATTTCCATTCAAAATTCCGGAACGGGCACTTAACTTTAATTTGCTAACTCTTTCCAAAAATAAATTTTCAATCCTTTATTTATTTGCCTTTTTTGAAAAAAAATCATACATATTTGGATCATAAGTTGAAGGTTGATCATAAATTAATCCAGGTGAATTGTTTCCTGCTCCATTATTTATTGAAGTTTGTGACCAATTGTAACTATTTTCACTAGTCATGGATTGTTTTTGTGGTGGCATTGGTGGTCTTTGATATGGTAATGGTGATTGTTGTTGTGGTGGAATTTTTTGAGGTGGAATTGGTTGATGATATTGATTTCCAAAATTTTGATTATTTAATTGATCTTTTATATGAGATAATAAATTTTTATAAAATTGATTACCTTTAATTAATCCCATATAATATTTTTTCCAATTTTCAAAAAATTTATTAATTTTTGAAGTATTCTCGTGGATTTTTTGTTTCTTGTAGGTTGTTGATTTTTGTAAATTTTTAATTTCTGGATTTTGCAACAATATTTCCCATTGTTCTTGTAAATCTTTAATTATAATTTTTGATCTATTAATTAATGAATCTAATTTATTTATAAAAGGTTGAAATTTTTTTAATTCCTGTGGGAATATAATTGTTTTGATTTCATTATTTGATTTTTGTCTTGAATTTATTATTAGAACGTCTGATATATCATCAGAATGAATTTTAGTTTTTAAATTATCAATAATTTGATGCTTGTTTAAATTTATTGTATTTAAATCTTTTAAAAAATTTTCAATTATTTTTATTTGTTTCTCTTGTGAATCATCTTTATCTAATAAACTTAATTCTTGAAATGTATTATCTATGACATTATTTGATTTAAATAAATTAGAAACTTCCACTGATTGTGGACCTTTTATTAATATATTATAAAATGATTTATCTATTAATTGCAGTAATTTTTCATCTGATTTTGTTGCATCATACAATACTTTATTCATATTACCTAATTGTGGATTTTTGGAAATTTGATCTCTAATTTGTTGTTTTAAATTATAATTTGAAGATTCCAAATTTTTAATTTCTTCCAGCTTTTGTGAGATCTCACTAACCTTGTTAACTACTTCAAATGGTATATCATCATTATCTTGTTTTAAAGATTGTTTTATTTGATCAAATGCTTGAGGTAAGTTCAATGAATCCATTAAAGATTTAATTTCTTCATTTGAAACTTCAAAATAATCAATTTCATTTCTTAATAATTGTGATTTTTCTTCTGAATAAAAACTTGATAATTCATGAATATTTATAGGGATAACATTATTTAAAAAATTACTATATCCTTGTTCATTAATTTGTTTAAAAGTTTCCATTTCATTTAATGGTATTATTTTGGCAACTTGCATGGGGGATAATTGATTTAAATTTGCATTTTTTAAAACTAAATCATGATATATTAAATCATTATCTTTTGTTAAATCATTTATTTTAATATCTACAACATCTTTTTGATATTTAAAATTATCTAATATTTCATAAACTGTACCTGAATTTTTTGAAATTGATCTCATTATTGAAGGATTTATATTATCTATTATATTTTTAGATTCATTTAAAAATCCAATTGATTCACCATATTTTCTATTTGCCTCTAGCTGTAAAGCATTAAAATAAAATGATAAAGATTTATAAAATTGAAATTTAAAATATATAATTGAAATCCAAGATTGATCAATTTGAGCAGTTACAAATTTTGAATTTTCTTCTTCATTTTCTTCTTCATCTTCTGGTTTATCTAAAAATTCATCTTTTTCAAAATCATCTATAATTTTATAATCTTCTTTTTCATCATTACTTATCATTTGATAACATTCTTCATACAATATACTTGTAGATTTACATAATTTTGAAATTAATGAATTTTTCAGTTGATTTAAATCATTATTTATTGTATTTATTGTAAAAATTTCTTGACATTGAGCTAAACTTAAATTATTTAAAAATTTTATAGTTGATTGACTTAAATCATCACTTGGAGCATGTAAAAAATTTTCATTTATAAATTCATATATTCCAGCTGCTTGTTTTAACATTTTAATCAGTTCAACTATTGATGATTTATCATTATTTCCTTGCAGTTCAATATATTTATTATTTGCAAATTTTGTTAATAATGAAGCAATATTAAATAAAATATTAGCTTTTTCAAAAGCTAATGAATTTTGAGAATGAATTATATCATTTTGAAAAGCATCATGCCATATAAATTCAATTTTTTTAGATTTATTTAATGATGAAAATTGAATTTTCATATCTAATATTTCTAATTGACTATAATATTTAAAATATAATTTTAATCCAGTATTATCTGCATTTACACCTCTTATATCTTCTCTTAATTTATCAAATGATGATAAATCATTTTGATATGATGAAGTATTTCCATAAATTGATAAAAGATAATTATTTATTGGTTTTATCCAATTGATTTGTTCAGTTTTCTTTCGTGGTACAGTTATTAAATGAGTCTTCATTTTGGAAAATGCAATGTAAGCTTCAAAGCTAAAGGTCTATTGTTAAAGAAAAACTGTGACTCAGTTCAATTGATGATTTAAGATTGATGTGGTTAAGTTTTGCTAATTCGAATGGTTGTCATAAGTTAACAAAATATAGTACAAAAATCAAATTCCGTAAAAAAAGATATTGACCTGTTATTATGTCATAACATTTGGAAATGAGACAAGTAGTGTTTAGTCACAAAAAATAATATATTTTATAATAGATCCAAAGGGAACAAATAATTTATATGGTAAACTATTGTTAATTAATATATTAATTTAAAACCAAGAAGTTCAGACCCTTTTGATATTACAGATCAGATAAATAGTAGGAAATCATACTAATAGCCACTGTATTCCACGTTAGTCAGTAATTGTTAGAACGTACCATCTTAGATTCATATTTTCAAATTACGTGTAGTTAGAACTCCACAATTGTTGAATTTTTGAAAATGAAATTGTTAAGCTCTGGCTACTTGTTATTTGATTAATAGGAATCTAAGATGATAAGTTACTAATGAGACTAATTCTATTAGCAGAATACCTGAAACACGTAATATAAAAATTGATAGTATTGAAAGATGAGTATTTACATTAGAATAATGTCTCATGTTCTTATGTTTCGTGTATGCTAAGGTTTTAATATCAAAGGTTTTGTTACAAATTTCAAACAAATATTAGCAATTTTATTAGAGACCTCCAAAGGCTTGAACAGTATTAAAAAAGACCCACAAGTACATTGGTACATTCATTGACTATTAAACAATTGATACCAATTTAATCAACTAACTGGCCATGTTTTCTGGATTAAAAGTAAACATCCGTAACACAACATTTAAATTGGTGTGGTAACACTACAAACATTTTCAAACAGAATTAGTTTATACCTGTTGAAGTTCTACATTGCCGTCCAAGCTAGTCAGATAGGAGTCAGAGAAGAGGTTAGGTAGGGAAAATGAACTTTGGAGCACTTGGTGTAAATAGTGATAGATAAAATCGTCAATTTTACATTCTTATTTATATCATCAATTGAACAACGCCTCTACAAATTTTACTCTTGATTTGACGTGTCCTATTCAAGTGCTTTAGCTTCAAAGCATAAGTCTACAATGTTATAACGCTTATCCACTAGTTGCCAGATTAGTAAAGTTGAAACAAGTTTAAAACAACTGGTTTGAGAGAAAGGAAAAGAGAGAGAGAAATAATACAAATCATTATTTACAACCAATACTTATCTCAACAGACTTATCACATATATATCATTTTACAACTACACACCTACCCTCCTACCTCATTGAAACACATCAACCATGTCATCTACATTACCTGCATTTACTGACTTAAATGCTACTTGGACATTTATTCAACCTGGATTAGAATTCATTTTAGGTGCACAAAATGATCAAGGTGTAACTTCTACAATGTATATGAATTGTTATACAGCAGTTTATAATTATTGTGTAAATAAATCAAGACGTGGTTCAACTCCTCAATCTATTGCAAGTAATACTGAAAATAATCTGTATTCATTAGCAGGAGCAGAAATTTATTCAAAATTAGAGTTATATTTAGTACAATTTATTAAGAATTTAAAAAAGCAACCAAATGAATCATTTTTAGAATTTTATGTTAGAAAATGGACAAGATTTACTATTGGAGCAGTTTATATGAATAATGTATTTGATTATATGAATAGATATTGGGTTCAAAAGGAAAGATCAGATGGTAGAAAAGATGTATTTGATGTAAATACTTTATCATTAATCAAATGGAGAAATGAAATGTTTCAACCAAATCATGAAATATTGATTAATCAAATATTAGAATTAATTGAAAGACAAAGAAATCATTTAATTGTTGATACAAATTTAATTTCAACATCTATAAAATCATTAGTATTTTTAAGTATTGATATTCAAGATTTAAAAAAACCAAATTTAATAATTTATGTTAATTCTTTTGAAAAACCATTTCTTGATGCAACAATGGCTTACTACTTAAAAGAAAGTTCAGAATATTTAGCTCATCATAATGTTGTTGATTATATGAAAAAATGTGAAACAAGAATAGCAGAAGAAATTTCAAGATCAAATACATTTTTAGAAGATCATTCCAAAAAATCATTTATAAATATTTTAAATAAATCAATGATTGAAAATCATGCTAATGAAATGTATGATCAATTTCTTATACTTTTACAACAAAATCAAATTGAAGATATTCAAAGAATGTATAAATTATTATCAAGAGTTCCTAAAACTTTAGATCCTTTAGCTAATGCATTAGAAGAATATATAAAACGAGAAGCAAATTCAGTAATTGAAGAAATTCAAAAACAATCAGAACAAGAAATAAAAGATGGTAAAAAAAAAGCAATAGAACCAAAAATTTATATTAATAAATTAATTTCAATTTATAATCAATTTAATGATATTGTAATACAAGCATTTAATAAAGATACAAAATTCATTAGATCATTAGATAATGCTTGTCGTTATTTTGTAAATAATAATTGTATTGCATTACCAAAACCAAGATCACCATGTAAAACTCCAGAATTATTAGCAAAATATGCTGATGTATTTTTAAAATCGTCATCAAAAGATTCAGATATAGTAGATATGAATTCAGATAATTTAATGATTATTTTTAAATTTATAAATGATAAAGATGAATTTGAAGAAGCTTATAGACGATTATTAGCAAGAAGATTAACATTAGGAACTTTCAAATCTGAAGAATTAGAAGAAAGTGTAATTCATAAATTACAAGAAGAAAATTCTATAGAATTTACAACAAAAATGACAAAAATGTTTTCTGATATGAAAGCTTCAGAAGATTTAAAATTAAAAGTAAAATCAAAATTAGCAAACGAACAAACAGTAAAAGAATTTACTCCAATGATTTTAGCTCAAGCAAGTTGGCCATTTACATTAAGTAAAAGTTTTGATTTAAATATACCTGAAGAATTACAAATTACAGTAAATACATTAAAAGAAGTTTATTCATCACAACATCAAGGACGTCAATTAAAATTTTTATTTAATCATGGAAGAGCAGAATTAAAAGCAAATTTATCAAAAAAGGGTAAACCAGCTTTTACATTTCTGGTTAGTAGTGTTCAATTTATGATTTTATTAGCTTTCAATCATAAAGCAACATATACAATTGATGAACTTCATAATAAAGTAGGAGGAGAAAAACATGTATTTTTAGCTCATCTTTCAGCATTAACAAAACATAAATTAATTATAGAAGATGGAGAAAATTTAACAATTGTAGAAGAATATAAATCAAAAAAATTAAAAGTAAATTTTGTAAGTTCTGTAAAATCAACATCATTAAATAAAGATGAAGAAGAAGAAGAAAATAATGATATAAGAAATGAAATTAACGAATCAAGAAAACAATTTTTACAAGCTTCTATAGTAAGAATTATGAAATCAAGAAAAAATATTGCTCATAATTCATTATTTAATGAAGTTCAATTACAATCTGTTAATTTTGAAGTTAAAATTATTGATTTTAAAAAAGTTGTTGATGATTTAATTGAAAAAGAATATATAAGAAGAGATGGAAATGGTTATGAGTATATAGCTTAAGATTAATGAAATTGCAAATGATTAGAATGAATGAGATTTGATGTAGATACTCTTGCGAAGAATTTCAAAAATGTGTATTTAAAAGTATATATAAAATGTTGGATCGAAATTAAACTAGCAGGTTAGGTTTATTCAGCATGCAGTTTGGGAGTAATTTTTTTTGGCATAAGTCATCTTCTAAGTCAACAAACAAACAGATGATCAGACTTGAAAAGTAGATAACTTTTCTCATCAAATTATTCTATTTGAAGACTTTCTCGCAAATTCTTGATTTTACAATTTATTAAATAATCTATATAATATATCTATGCCAATACTTTTTCTAAAACCCCCCATATACCTAAACTCTATAAATAACCTAACCTTTATAATAAGAAATAAATAAATAAACAAATAATAATCGATCCTACTAAGATCTAAAACAAGTTAATTAACTTGGACTTACGAAAACAAAAAGTGAATCACTCATTTTTTAATAACACCACCTTCAACACATAATGAATAAAACATTGAATTTTCATCTTTTAATAAATTTTTAGGTGAATCAAATTCTTTTAATTCACCTTGATCTAAAACTAAAATTTTATCACTATCCATTATAGTATTTAATCTATGAGCTATAGTAATAATAGTTTTATCATTAAAATGATTTCTAATAGTTTCTTGAATTAATTGATCAGTTTGATTATCAACACTTGACGAAGCTTCATCTAATGCTAATACTTTAGTATCTTTTAATAATGCTCTTGATAATGATAATAATTGTTTTTGACCATTTGATAAATTGGACCCACCTTCATAAATCATTGCATTTAAACCTAGCTGTTCTTCATCATTTGATTTTGTAGATAATTGTGATATGAAGTCTTTTAATTGAGCTAATTCTAATACTTTCCATAATTCATCATCTGTATGTTCACCAAGAGGATCTAAATTTTCACGTACTGTACCTTCAACACAATTTGAATCTTGTGGTATAATATTTAAATTATTTCTTAAATCAAATAATCCAATTGTATCAGATTTAATAGAATCTATTATTATTGAACCTTGAGTTGGTTCAATGATTCTAAATAATGCTAATGTTAAACTTGATTTACCAGCTCCTGTTCTACCAACAACTCCAATTTTTTCACCAGATTTTATATTAAATGTTATATTTTTTAAAACATTATCTAAATTTTCTCTATATTTTGTGGAATAATTATTAAATTCAATAACTCCTTGTTGTGGCCAATTTTGTGGTGGTGTAACATCAGTTTTCTCCGGGGCTTCTGGTTTTAAATTACAATATTCAATAACTCTTTCAACTGAAATAGATTTTGTTTCAATATCTGCCCAACCTCTCATTATCATACTTAATGCATTACTTATACTCATTGCATTAACCATAATGAACCCAACTAATCCTGCACTAATTTGATGTTTTGTTCCTAAAGTACTTAAAATAAATAAAGATGAAGCATAAACAATAATTGCAGATATACTTTGTAATCTTATGGATAACCATCTATTACAACATAATAAAGTATATTGAGCTCTAATAAATTTATCAGTGTTAAAATTATTAACTTTTCTAAATCTATCATCTTGATTAAATGCCATTATTGTATCAACACCATTTATTGATTCTGATAAATGTGAAAAAAGGGGACTTCTGCAAACACTAACTAATCTTTTTAATTCTCTTGCTGAAGGAATATAAAATGCTCTAACTCTATTAAAAACAAAAAATAATATAATTATAACAATAATCATAATTGGTAAATTGAAAACAACAACTGATAAAACTCCAATTGCTAATAATCCATAATCAACAACTGCTAAAATAGACCAAATTAATTGTTGATCAATAACATTAATATCATCAGAAAATCTATTCAAAATTCTACCAATTGGAGTAGTTTCAAAAAATTGCATTGGAGCTCTTAAAACAGATTGTGCCATTTTATCATGAAAATATTTTGAACCTCTTAAAACACAATAACTCCACATAATTAATGCAGCTATTAACATACATGCAGCTGCTACTATACCAGCTATAGCATAAAGTGATATAAAGAAAGTAATATCTGTATTATATCCTTTTTCTAAATTAAGTTCAGACCAATATTTTAAAACATAATTTGCACCAATATTAAATGTAACATTTAAAGCATATATAAAAACATAAACAAAAATCATTGGAAAATTACAAGCTTTGAAATATTCAAGATAAACACTTAATTTAACTTTTCCTTTTGCAGCTTTTTCTTTTATGTGAGCAGTTTTAAGAGTTTCAACATTTCTGACCTCTTCCTCCAATTCTTTTTCCTCTTCTTCTTCTTCTTCTTCTTCTTCATCTTCGTCATCATAATCATGACTATGCTCTTTAATTAATTTTGACAAATCTCCATTATTTGACATCACTTCTTCAAAACTACCTCTTTCTTCAATTTTTCCATTTTGTAATAAAACAATTTCATTTGAATTTCTTAATACATTTATAGCATTAGTTGCTAAAATTATAGTCTTGTCGCCTAACATTCCTTTAAAACTTAAAACTTCTTTTATAATTTTTTTACCAACATGAGCATCAACTGCAGATAATATATCATCTAATAAATAAATATCAGCATTTGAATATACAGCTCTTGCTAATGAAATTCTTGCTTTTTGTCCACCACTTAATGATATTCCTTTTTCACCAACAATAGTTTGATCACCATCAGATAAAATTGATAAATCTGGTTTTAATTGACAACTTGAAATTACTTTTTTGTACAATGATTGATCATATTTACGTCCAAATAAAATATTATCTTTTATACTTGCATTTTGAATCCATGGTTGTTGTGCACAATAAGCTATTGATCCATTAACTTCAATTGAACCTGATGATAAAGTGACATCACCAAGAATGGATTTGATTAGTGCTGTTTTACCTGATCCAACTTTACCAACAATGCATGTCAATTGATTTCTTTTCGCTATTAAATTGATGTCTTTCAAAGCAATTGTATTTTTATCCCAATTTAATGTAGCATCTTTAATTATAACTGCTTCTTCTGATTTATTATTTCCATGAATCACTTTTGAATTATTATCTTTCATCAAGAAAAAATCAGTTAACCTCCTGAAAGAAATTTTCGCTTCAATCATTGCAACTAAAGCATCAGGTAATTGTAAAATTGGATCAGTCAACATATCAAATAATGATAAAGCTGGAAAAATAATTGAAGGAATTAAAGCATTTTTACTAATTTTAACAAATGTAATTAAACAAGTTATTGTTATAGCAAAAGGTATAGTATTCCATAAAAACATTGAAAAAGCATTAAATTTACCAATTTTTTTAGCCATAACTAATTCTTTTTCATTTCTAATTTTAAATAATCTTTTTAACATTGGTTGTTCCCATGCATATAATTTTATACTCTTGATAGATTGTAAAATTTCAGAAGTTAATTTTGTTCTTTCATCTCTTATTTTCATATTTTGTTTAACTAATTTTGAAATTGATGTACTTACCTTTGAACTTAATGGAACCATTATCACTGCGGTGATGAAACCTAAAAATGCTGATATTCCAAGTAGTTTATAAAGGGCTAATAAACTTATTGTAAGTCTTATTGGGAAATTAAAAACAAAAACATACATTGCTAACATTGCTAATTTCCCAACATCAACTGCTAAATTATTTATAATTTCACCAGTATTTTTATATTTTCTTGCTTCAGATGATAAAACTATAGCTTTTTGATAAACAAATGTTCCTAAAGATGAATAAACTCTTGTTCTAATTCTAAAATGAATTTCTGCAAATCTATAAAGTGATGTAAATCTACAAGTTGCACATATGAAAATTCCAGTTGCAATTGAAAATCCAACTATTGCTGGTTGTTTCTTTTCATTACCAAAATAAATAATAAATTGTTGAAGTAAGAAAGCTTGACCTAAATTGAATAAAACTGTTAATAAATCCAAACCTAACATTTTAATAAAATCCCAAAAATAAGTTTGAATATAAATTTTAAGTAATGAAACATTTTCTGGATCTTTTGCCTTTGCTTCATTCCACCGTTTAACTAATTCCGAATAAGTTGAATTACATTTTAAATCAATATATAAAGGAGGAGTTTGATTAACTTCAATTGAATTTGTTTCATATATATGATTAATTGTAGAATCTAACCATAAAAATGTAATTTCTGACCAAAAATTATGAATAGTTTCAATATCCCAATCATTTAATTCAAAATATTGTTTTAATTCTAAACTTGGTAAATATAAACCAACTTCAAAAATTAAAATTAAAATTGAATTAATTAAAAGACAAAATTCAATAGTTTCGAGGAAATTGTTGTTAGTGGTATTGATGATTTTATATTCTGATGTTATATCTTGAATAGTTATAATTAAATTAAAAATTATTTGAAATCCCCAATACAATGATAAAGAAACTAACGATACTGCACTTCTTAAAGGTTCAACAACATGAAAAGGTAAAATAATAAATCCAAGTAGCAAGAAATTCGCAATCAACCCAATTGACAACAAACTCCAGTGTTGAATCCATAAAAGTAACAATCCATTCAAAATCAATTGACAAACAACCAAGTTTAATTTTAAAATTTGAAAAATTCCAACACTTTTAATTTTAAAAGGATAACCAAAACTATATTTAATTTTAAGATTTCCATAATAATTTTGAAAAAATAAAATATAAAGTTGTATCAAGGAACCAAATATAAATAATGTTGTTGCTATGATTAATATGGATGCTAAAAAACATGGATTTATTGAATTTGAAAATTCATTAATTAATGGATGTTTTAGTGATTCTATAAATTTACATGAAGATGATTGATTGAAAGATAGTCCATGATTCATCATGGAAATTGATAATTCCATTGGAAACAAATTGAAATTAAATGAAGCTATAAGTTGTAAAGATAGTATAGTTTTGAAAAATTAAATCATTTTAATTCTATTGATTTACAACAATCTAAAATTCTATTGTTTTCAAATTTCACGGCACGAGATAGGAAACAAGGTTTATACCAATACAATATGAAAATGGTAGCCATTCTCCGAGAACTTGCTAAGGTTGGTCTTACGAGACCATCTTGACAGCTATTAGCCGCATATTTACATGATGAGTCTGTAGTATGATACGTTAAAGCTTTTTCTTTAATCTAGCAAGCTAGCAGCGATTTTTAAGTAGCTAAGTTGAGATTAAAAACGAGCCACAAAAATTATAGATATCAAAGACCAGCTTCTTTGAGCTATCGAACCTGTAGAGATAAACAAATTTTTTCACGTCTTAATAACCTATATCAAAATATGATCAACTAACTTAAGACTTCTGAGCCAATGTAGCTATGAGAATGATTGATAATTTAACGTTGCCACTCAAAGAAGTAAAACTTTAGTCTAAACTTTGCTAATTTCATGCCAACAAATTTCAAACTCGTTCCAAACTCAGAATATAAGCTTTAATACACTTCTTATTTACTCACAAAGAAAGTTTAGCAACAGAGACCTCATCACTCGAACTATTGATTGATCTGACATTCATATTCAACTTGGCTGCAAAAATTACAGACACAGACTTGTTTTTGTGTAACAATCAATCTATTGATTTGTTTAACTCTTTTTTGCAACCAATATCAACTACCAAACCAAGGTGTTTTTAATTAATTAAACGTAAAGTTAGAGCTTAATTAACCAGACGGGGCTAATGCCTGAGTTCAAACTGAGCAACGATGCTACATTGGGAAGTGAGTGGAAAGCATTGTATTTCACAAACGTTTCGCAATCAGAAATGTGGTGTAGCTGCGACAATTCAATTTCATTCTTCAATTAATTAAGCTTGACTGAAGAGATATAATGATATATTTAAATGATTGATGTCGAGTCCTCATAGTTAATCTTGAAGTTTCATAAAATTATGAAATGTGACGTAACTACTTTAGTTAGTAAGTAGTGTAATTTTCACGATTAAATAATATACAAATAAAGCAATACGAACTGGTAGCATCACTTGATACTATATTACTTAGTTAAGAATATTATTGTCATAGTAAAAAAAAATTCAACGATCAAATAAAATTATTAATTATGGAAATAAAAAATTCCATCAATAAATAGATTAGAAAAACAACAATCAATTCAATCAACTAACAAGTACAATAGATATAATCAAATATATAAACAATTAATCAAAAGTCAATCAATTCTACTGTTTACATTTTGCATTTTCTTTGATATATCACAATACATATACACGTAGGGAAGAACATTTTTTCAAACTAATCAATCAATAACCACAATTATTAATTTGAATTTTTAAACCTCATTTTCAATTCATTTAAATTTGCATTTTTTTTTAATATATCTTAATAATACAATCATATAAAATCTTCACTAGGTTTATATTTTCTATTATAATTGTTCTGGAATCATTATTAATAGAAGAAAATAAATTTTAATCAAACACACACATACAAATATACAAAAAGATCAAAATGGATTTAGATACTGATGTACCAATGGAAGATGTTGAAGATTCAACTTCTTATGAAAGTAATATACCTACAAAATCAAGTAATAAACTAAAAGATACAACAACAACCGCAAACAAAGAATCAAAATCCAATAACTCCTCAACAAAACAATTAAATAATCAATCAATAAATCAATTAGATGAATGGATTGAAAAACTATCAAAATGTGAACCATTAGCAGAATCAGATGTTAAAAAATTATGTGAAATGGCAATAGAAGTTTTACAATTTGAAGAAAATGTTCAACCAGTTCATGTACCAGTAACAATATGTGGAGATGTTCATGGACAATTTCATGATTTAATGGAATTATTTAAAATTGGTGGTCCATGTCCTGATACAAATTATTTATTTATGGGAGATTATGTTGATAGAGGTTATTATTCAGTTGAAACTGTTAGTTATTTAGTTTGTATGAAAGTTAGATATCCAAATAGAATTACTATATTAAGAGGTAATCATGAATCAAGACAAATTACTCAAGTTTATGGATTTTATGATGAATGTTTAAGAAAATATGGTTCAGCAACTGTATGGAAATTATTTACTGATTTATTTGATTATTTTCCAATTACTGCATTAGTTGATAATAAAGTATTTTGTTTACATGGTGGTTTATCACCAATGATTGAAACAATTGATCAAGTAAGAGAATTAAATAGAATTCAAGAAGTTCCTCATGAAGGTCCAATGTGTGATTTATTATGGTCTGATCCTGATGATAGAGGTGGTTGGGGTATATCACCAAGAGGTGCAGGATTTACATTTGGTCAAGATATTTCAGAACAATTTAATCATACAAATGATTTATCATTAATTGCAAGAGCTCATCAATTAGTAATGGAAGGTTTTTCTTGGAGTCATCAAGAAAGTGTTGTTACTATTTTTAGTGCACCAAATTATTGTTATAGATGTGGTAATCAAGCTGCAATAATGGAAGTTGATGAACAACATAATAGACAATTTTTACAATATGATCCATCAGTTAGACCTGGTGAACCAACAGTTACAAGAAAAACTCCAGATTACTTTTTATGATTTAATGATGATGATGGAGATAGTGGTAGTGGTAAGTGTAATTATAATGATCATAATGAATTAAAAGAATTAAATAACGAGATTTTTGAATAAATAAATAATTTTAAAACAAATTTGAGAATCTCTATTGAGTGACTTTGTATAAACCATTTTCTCACTGGCCCTTATATATTTCATTAAGTAACTTTCAATTTCACTTTGAAATGAAATTCTTTGTTGATTAAATATGCAAGAGTTACTGAGAAAATGGTTTATACAAGTGAATACAAGTGAAAACACTTTTTAAAACTCTCATCAATTGTTTCAACATCAATATCCATTATTCTGATAACTGATTCATCCATATTTGTCAAATCAAGAAGTTTTTTTTGAGATTAAGTTATCGTTATATCACCTTTAAAGTACCAGTTGGAGAACTTAATAGTGATATCTAGCAATCTAATAATTGACTAATAACAGTGTGATTGGAAATTTTATTTTTTTTTCACCTTTCAAATAAACATTGTTTAATCATTTTTTGAAAAGTTTCGAAAACTTCTCCATAGTTGAAAGTACTTTAAGCTCCCATATCAAGATATTTTCAAACGAAACTATTCAGAAAGACAAGCGGTATTTTTACAAAAGATGAAAAATACATTCTTGTTAATTAGTGAGATAGTCTATGATGATAAGTAGTTGTTAGTTAAGAGTAGTGTGATTAGATTCAACATTTTTTACAAAGATAAGTACTGCATAAAGGAGAAAAAATATGTTTTGACTAATTGTAGTAGTTGTGCGGCGTAAACCTGCTACACAGAATTTAATTACATCATTACTCCATGATTGATTGTTAAACCCGTCTGATTTTTTAGACTTTGGTAAAAAAATAAATAAGTAGTTTGATCCTCAATTGACCTAGCTCTGCCCATTAATTATCTTTGTAGTTAAATAAGTTCAATCGAACTCAAATTGAGATTCCTACAAAGTCAAATCAATTTCAATAGTTAAGGATTTAAAAGCTACCAAATATTATTGATTATTACCGTTTTACTGCATATAGTAATTAAGTGAAATATTATGAAGGAGATAATAAAATTATTATTATTAGCAGAGAACTCCAATATTTTTCCTTACCGAGGTATTGTTATAGTGAAAGAAAATCGTAAAACCAACTAAAATAACTCCATTTTTATACTAAGCTAGTAAAATATAGTTGATGTTTCAGAATTTTCCATGAAACAAATATAGCCTTGGTGCGAATTGTCTTATGGTCGTTGTGTTAGATGCATCTACTCTACGACGGATAAAATTTGTTTCTCTGAACTAGAGAGGTTGAAACATCATAGTTACCCAACAATCTTGAAAAAGATTTTTGTACTTTCAAGGTGTAACAGAATTGTAAAATTCTCTGTAGAAAAGTTAGTTTCTGATCTATTTTGTTTGATTGTTGTACCTTAATTTGTAAAAACTTATAGTCCGAGCTATCGTAGTTATAAAGTTATAGAGAAGGAGGAGTATATACAATAGACAAAAATCTGAAAAATTATACTTTGTGTTTCTATATTAGAAATCAAGTTTTTAAAAGATACAAAAGTTGAAATATCTTTTGAATTTCAAATGTCAATCAGATCTGTGATAAAACACTGATTGCTATGGTACTTTTGTCAAAAGTCCGCTGTATGATGAAATAGTAATCTACCAAATTGATACCTATCTTAGTATTTAATATTGTATTGTATAATTTTATGTATGATGAATTAATTTCCGTTAGGTTTGATATATCTCTACTCTAAATTTCTTCCCCCACATTTTATAAATTGAACGAAAAATTATTATTAGTCTATTCTGTGTTACTGTTAATATAATATTTCATATGATAATAATACTATTAGTATTAACTTAACTAAGTAATTATTTATATAAATTGAAATCTCTCTCCCTTAATTTTTTTTTCATTCAACTTTTCAATACTTTTCTTTTCATACAACAATTCAATTTCAAAACTAAACCAATATCAAATATGTCAGTCGAAGCAGAAGGATTTCAAGCCTCCCCATTATTAAAACAATTAGCTGATGGTTTACAAGATAAATCAGCTGCTGAAAAAGCTATTAAAGGTGTTAATGCTATTATTATAATAACTTTAAAAAATAAAGAAGGTAAAGAAGAATCTTGGGTTTTAGATTTAAAAAAAGAAGGTACTATTAAAAAAGCTGATGGTCCTCCACCAAAAGGAGATGTTCAATTATTATTAAAAGATGTTGATTTTGTTAAATTAGCTAATGGTAAAGCAAATGGTCAAAAATTATTTATGAATGGTAAATTAAAAGTTAAAGGTAATATGATGAAAGCAACTGCTATTGAATCAGTTTTTAAACAATTAGATCCAAGAGCTAAATTATAAATAAGTTTTCTTATCTTTTATTTAAAGTCTTATAGTTATTTAAAGTAATGAAGTAAATATATAACAAAATTACAATTGAATCTATAAAAGTTTAGGCTCTACTTATGATTATTATTTCCCTTATTATTACATGTTGGAGATGGGCAGATCCTAGAGTCAATGAGATTTCAGGCTTTTTCAATCTTGATAAAGACGAAACACTTTCGATAATTGTTTGACCTTAAATTCAATCTTTGTATTGAAGACAACAATAACGTCAATATCAACAACAATATCATTCATTGATTTCTTCGTCTTCATCCTAAATTCAATTGAAACGTATGACGCTTCTTGTCGAGCAGATCGAACAATTATCAATAGATGGTAGAATTGGTCAAAAGATCATTAGAGGTGGTATAAATGGATTTTACTCTTTGCAATCATAGATTTCAATTGTTGATTTGAACTATAAAGCTTCTTCTAAGGAATTTGTTTCAGCTTCTTCGAATAAACCAACTTCTGATTGGGAGTAACTGTGAAGTCAAGATACATCTATCAATATCGGGTTTAACAAATACATTACACAAAAACACTACCCCTCCATACACTAGTATATCCAATTAGTAATTTGTTAAAATGTAAGTAGGTGAAGTAAGTCTAACTATTTGAGACAATGCTTTTATACCTAACGTAAAATCAAAATTTTGTATGATGTCCAATTGTTAATGAATTGATTGCATTTGGAGGGTTACATGGAAGAAAGTCTAGAATACATTAATTTTTTGCAACTATTTTGCAACAATTTTAAACAAATAAGCTTTAAAAATAATTAACAAAAACATTTAAACTCATCATTTGCGAAAAAATTGCTACTAAATTACATTCAGATATGTTCTCCAAGGTTGTTGGTCTATTCTCAGAATTATTTTCTTGAAACGAAAATTTCAAGCGTTGGATTTCACTTCAATTGCGACACCTTCGATTTCTTCCATCGATTTTTGATTTTGCATAAATCAATAATCAATGTAAGCCTACAAATTCATTATTTGAGTAAAGTCTACTAACAAATAACATTCAATTATGTTATCAGAGGTCATAGGGTTTAAATACATATCTAGCTTACTAAATTTCAAAATTATTATATGTATTTGATGGAACGGTCAATGTAGAATTGGCAATGCCTGCTTTTTTTGTTCATGGATTTTGAATAAATAAAGTAGAATAAACCCTGCACACTCTTTTTTGGCTGAAAGGATGTTAACAAATTACATTCAGTTATCTTTTCAGAGGCTGTTGGGTTATACTCAACATTAATTCACTGAGATTGTGAAATTTTAACATTTTTTCCCTTCTAAATGGACGGTGAACATGAAATTGGTAACACCGTCGTTTTTATATAAATTGATCTTTTTTTTTTGAATTTTGGCAACATTTTCAGGTTAACAATCATGAGCTCAACTGGTCGATGGAAATGAACCCAACTGGTCGATGCAGCTCATAAATTCGAACAGAATCGACTAAGCTGTCTCGCCCTAAGTTTCTCGTTTATACCCCAGAAAATTCAAATTTCTTCTCGTTTTTTTAATCATTCATTTCATTATAATCATACACAAAAAGAATATCTTGTGATAAATATATAAAGTAATCATTCTACCAGCATTAAAATATATTCTCTTAACAACAGTATAAACATAAAGTGTTATGTTTACGACCATAATAAACTTTATTTACACTTCACCTGTCAACATTATATAATATATAAACCTACTACATTTCCATATTCAAAACTTCTCATTCTATCAACTAATATATATGAATGGATTCTGAATTAAAAATAATATCACCAATAAATAGTGCAACAAATGCATTAATTACATCACCGTCTGTAGATACAGTTATACATCAATTATTTGATCAATATATAGAAATACATCCAAAAAATAATCAATATGTATTAAAATCTTCCTCCTCCTCATCATCATCATCGGCAGATAATGAAGAAAATGGAGAAGAAAAATTAAGAATTAAATCATGGTTTAATTTAAGAACTATGCCAATAATTGGTAGATTTTTACCAGAAATTGATGAAAAAACTAAAATTGTAAATGAATTATTAGAATTTCAAAAATCAACAAGAAATTATAAAGATTGGGTTGAATGTTCTTTAAAATTAGATGAATTATTAGGTAATAATACTTGGAAAAGTGATCCACAATCGGATATTTATGATTATAATTTAATTTATAATCATTTAACTTTAATGAAAAATGCAAGATTAAATAATAATTTTAAATTATTATTATATTATATTAGAACAAATTGGGTTAGAAATTTAGGTAATATGGGAGATTCAAATTTATATAGACATTCATATGTTGGAACAAAAAAATTAATAGAAGAATATTTGGTGGAATGTCAATTATCTTTAAATTACTTGGTGGAGAATAATAATGAAGACCCCAAAAATAGATTAAATGATAGATATTTATTAGGAATGTTAATACAAACAAGAAAAAATATTGGTAGAACTGCTTTAGTTTTAAGTGGTGGTAGTACTTTTGGAATTTTTCATATTGGTGTTTTAGCAACTTTATTTGAAGCAAATTTATTACCAAGAATTATAAGTGGATCATCAGCTGGTTCTATTGTTGCAAGTATATTATGTTGTCATACAAATGAAGAAACTATAGAATTATTAAAAACTATAGCTCAAAGAAATTTTAATATTTTTGATATAACTGAAAGAGATTCTAATGAAAATGGTTCAAAAACTGGTTTTAAAAGTATTTTGATGTATTTAGGTCATTTAATTAAATATGGAACTATATTTGATATTGAAGGTTTACAAGAAACAATGATTGGATTTTTAGGTGATTTAACTTTTAGAGAAGCTTATAATAGAACTGGTAAAATTTTAAATATTACAGTATCACCAGCATCATTACATGAACAAACAAGATTATTAAATTATATAACTGCACCAAATTGTTTAATTTGGTCAGCTGTTTGTGCAAGTAGTTCATTACCAGGAGTTTTTCCATCAAGTTCAGTATATGAAAAAAATACAAAAACTAATGAAATTCATGAATGGAATAATGATGAATCAATGAAATTTGTTGATGGTTCAGTAGATAATGATTTACCAATAACAAGATTATCTGAAATGTTTAATGTTGATCATATAATTGCTGTTCAAGTAAATCCTCATGTTGTACCAGTTTTAAAAATATCAGTAAGTAATATTGGAGGTGAAGTTGAAAATGAATTAAGTTATAAATTAAAACACCTACTTAATAATGTTTATGATTTTGTATCAAGTGAAGCAATACATTATTTACAATTAATGAGTGAATTAGATATTTCGAAAAACTTATCAAATAAAATTATTTCAATTTTATCACAAAATTATTCTGGAGATATAACTATTTTACCTGAATATAAAGTAACAGATTTTACAAAATTATTTGAAAATCCAAATCCTGATTTTTTATTAGATTTCATATGTCGTGGTGCAAAAGCTTCATGGCCAAAAATCTCAATAATACATAATCATTGTAGTGTTGAATTTGCATTAGATAAAGCTATAACTATTTTAAGAGGTAGAATTATAACTTCTTCAAATAATAGAATTACTCAATCTGGAGAAGATAGTAGCATCAAGAGAAGTCAACTGTATTATAGACCAAAACAATTTTTAAATACTTTAAACACAACTAATAATGTAACTGTTAATTCACCACCACAAATTGAAAATTCTCATAATACTGCTCCAAATACTCCTATAAAGACATATCAAAAAAGACCTCAAGGTGTACAACGTCATAATACTACTTCAAATACAACTTCATCACATAAACGTGGAAGTAATAGTATTAGATCAAAAAGAAATTCAATGAGTGCAACTGAATCAGAAAGTGTATCTGTAGATTTGAAAAATCATTTAAGTGGTGCAACAACTCCAAAAAAGGGTAACATTCCAAAAGGAATTTCATCAACTGCATTAGCACAAATGAATAATTTTTATGTAGACGAAAAGGGAAGTAGACAAAAGATTAGAAAAACAAGAAGTTCAGGGAATTTTGAAAATAATCTTGGTGGTGGTCACAACAAAAATAATAAAGATTTAATAATAGGATCATCAGAAACTTCAAATTCAAATACAAATTCATCAAAATCAATTTCTAAAAATGATAAAGCTAATTTACCTTCTTCAAGATCAAGATCTCTAAAAAATTCATATATTGGATTAAATAGATTAAATAATAATTATGATCAACAAGATCTTATAACAAAATTAGAAAATATAGAATCAAAAAATAATAAAAAAAAATCAATATTAAAAAATCTGAATTTTAAGGCTAATGGAGATACTAATCAAATTCAATTTTATGATAATTCTGAAGATGATGAAACTGCAGGGAATTTATATTATGATTCAACAGAAGAAGATGAAGAAGAGGAAGAAAAATCAAGTAGTAATGATGATACAAAAAAAGATGATTTAGAAGAACCAAACCTTAAAAATGATGAAGTTACAACAGTTACTTTTGAATCTATAAAAATGGAACCTTGTACTAATAGTTTAGTTGATGATATTAATGAATATCATGGAAATTAATCTATATTTTATTTGCAAACAGCCATAGTTAATTCTAAAATGTTCTCTTTATCTCTCGTATACACTTGGAGTCAAAAAAAAAATAAAAATAAATAAAACTTATTTTACAAGCCTTAACCAAAGTCTAAATCAAATAGACAACTAACCAAAATTTACTCAATCAAGAGTAACTAATCCCCCATCACGTTCTTTACCTATTATCAGCATTGCCATTACCATTAATCAATACTAGGTTGTAATTCTTTTGTGATTTTTTTTTTTTTCAATTTTTTTTTTTTAATTATTCGGTAAAGTCATGAAAAGTCAACAACAAGCTAATCGAACAAATAGTAAGAATGGTCATCGTCGTTCTAGTTCACGTCATAATAGTAGTACTAATGTAGGTACAACCATAGCTTCAACTTCACCACAAACAGATCTCGGGGAGTTAGGTGATGATAGATTAATTTTCTTAATGGCTAAATCAATTGGTAAAACAATTATAGTTACAACTACTGATGGATCAAGATATCAAGGACTTTTAGTTGCTACTGATTTATCTGAATCATCTGCTTTATCAGTTGTTTTGAAAAAGCCTACTTTAGTAAGTAAAATTAATGAAAAAAATAATCTTGATAAATTACCTGAAAATTTAATTATTCAATCAAAAGATTTAATTGATTTTGAAATTACTGTTAGCATAAATGATCCAATTAAACAACACCAAAAGGAATTTAAAACTGATTCTGATATTTCTAAAAAATCATATGAAGAAAGAGATTTAGTCAAGTGGGAACCTGAAGAAGGTGAAGAATTAGAAAAATTATCATTAGAAGATACACTGGGACCATGGGATCAATTTAAAGTTAATCAAGAAAAATTTGGTGTTGAAAGTACTTTTGATGAACATATATATACAACAAGAATTGATAAATCTGCACCTGATTATCATGAAAGAGTTGCAAAAGCAAATAAAATTGCTGATGAAATTGAAAAACAATTTACTAATGATCGTCATATTTTAGAAGAAAGAGGTATACAAGTTGATGATAGTGGTATGGATGAAGAAGATAAATATTCAGGAGTTGATAGAAGAGGTGATGAATTAATGGCTGCTTTAAAATTAAATAATAAACAACAATCAACTCAACCACTCCCAACAGATTCAACAAAATATACAACTCCTCGTCAAAGAGCTGCTCAATATCATAATGATCCTGCAATTATATCAAGTTCTGCAACAACAAAAAAGAAACCTGATTCCATTCCAGCAAAACCAATTATACCAAATGAATCATTTAGATTAAATGCTCAAAGTGAAATTAACTCATTAAGAGAATTTAGTGCAAATTTTAAAATTCCTCATAAAATGCCAAAAGATTTATTACCAATATTATCGAAAGATAAATTAAAACAAGATGAAATTTTAATGAAACAGGAAACTAAAAAGGAAGAAGAGAAAAAGAGTACTCCTGCATCCCCAACAAAAAAACCATCCAAATTCAAATTAAATCCAAATGCAGCTGCTTTTACACCATCTATTAAACCTGCTAATTTAACATCACCACCAAGAAATAATATACCTTTCCAATCACCAAGACCTGGAAATAGTCGACCATATTCTTCAAATGGAAGTATATCATCCCAAAATTCAAATAAAAGACATCATCAAATTACTCCACAAATGTTTTTTGGTGGTTTGCAAAATGTACCAACAAAAGAAAAACAAGATGAAAAAATTAAAATTTTCAGAACTGAATTTAATTTATTCACCACAATCAAGAAAAAATCACCAGACGGTGCAATAGTGATATATGAAAAATCTTATCAAACTCCTCCTACATGGGATTCAACAATTGAAGAACCTTATCAATCAATGTTTCCAAGACCACCCATTTATAAATCCCCTACATTTATACCAAATCCAATAATACCTACTGGTGCTGCACCATTACCATATAATTTTCAAATGGCTCCACAACCTCAATTTCCTCAACCAATGTGGTTTATGCCTCCTCCTCAAAGTTTTAATATGATGCAAAATCCTTATCAAAATAATCAACAGAGGAGATATCAGTAAATAGTAAAAATGTATTGGTAGCGAAAAAATATTTGTAGATTGATTTCTTTAACCAACTTCTTTAGTTATAACCAATGAGTGATATAGCGTTATCAAAGATCGGTGGTCTAATCAAAACTGAAGATGATTTATCTAAAATAGAATTAATACGACAGCAATTTGCTAAAGAAAAATCAGCAATTGATGTAAAATTATCAACTTCAACTCAATTACAAATTGATTCAATAAGAGATAATGTAGCTCAATTAGATAATACAATGAAAAAAATGATTGATATAAAAGGAAGTGTTTCTAAAATAAAACAAATTCATAATGAATCAATAACATCTGTTAAAGATTATGAAATAATTCGGAAGATGACAACAATAAATCAATCACTTAATCAAATTTCAAGTTTATACAATGACATTAAAAATCTCAAACCATTATTAAAAGAATTAAACACTGATATAACAAAAGAATATGAATCAATTAACAATGATTTACTTTATCCATTGCCAAACCTCCTACTCATTCATTATAGATATACTCAAATACGAAATTTTCAAGATTATCTTGAATTTTATACAAAATCATTATCAGATGATTTAAGATCAATTGTTTTAAATATTATATCAAATGTGAAGGACACAATTAAATTATTTGATGAACTACTTAATGAATGTATAATGTCAATTACTGAGACTGCAAGAGATAATAATTACTCATGTTTATATAATGTTATTGGAATTATAATTTGGGAAGATCAACAAGATATAAAATTAGACCTCATGAATGATTTAAGCTTAGCTAAAAGTGATATTAATCAAGATTATAAAAATTTTAGAAGTAAGAAAAGAAACTACAAGAGATTTTTTTTTGAAAAATTTAAAATATCATTAGAATCTCAATTTAATGAATGTATTAATTTTTATTCTAATGATAAAATTGCATTATATGATAATTTACAATGGTTAGAAGAAGAAATTATATTCATTCATCAAATATTAGATCCATTGTTTCCCAAAAATTGGAAAATTGATGAATTTGTTCAAAAAGTTTATTATGATAAGTTACATAATTTTACAATGGAAATGATAAATTTAGAACCTCCAGCTGAAGATATTTTGAGAATATTACTGTATGATAAGAAATTTGAAACTTTCATAAAACAATGTGATGGTAAAACAACTTCTATAATAGGTGAGGATTTAAAAAATTCAGTTCTAGAAGATTATTTAAAATCAATAACCACTAAAATGAAAGAATGGAATGAAAGTCTTATTAAGCAAGAAACTAAATTTTTTACTGAAAGAAATAAAGCTCCGGATGTTTATCCATTTGAACAAACTATTGAAGAAGAAGATAATTTTAATAATATTACTGAAATTGATATTCAAATTCCTGCATTTGTTTTACCTGATTTTAAAACTCCTTTAAATATGTTAAAACAACAAGCAGATGTTGCAGCAGAATCACAATATTCAAAAATCTTGGTTGAAGTTATTGAAAGTTGGTGTCAATGTACAAATATAAGAATGGAAAATTTTAAAATTATAATTGATGAAGAAAATGATAGATATTTTACAATTTTTAATAATGAAAAATTTTTGATCAATCAAAGTAAAGCAAAGAGATTATTTACTAAGAAACCAACAGTTGTTAATGTTGATGAATTAACACCAGAAGAACAAAGAAACATTTCAAGAGAAGGATTGATTGAGTACCTTGTTGCATTAGCAAATTCTCTCGAAATTAGCAACGAAATAGTCAATGACAAATTTAAATCAAATTATCTTGAAAAAGTTCATTCAAATTATCATCAAAGAATTTCCACAGCTTTTGAAAACACCACCGAAACATCAATTGAATTATCTATAAAAATTTCAAATTCAATTTGTAAAATTATTATAAATGATTTATATCCAGAGTTGGGTAAATTATTTAGTAAAAAATGGTTAGAAGATGGTCAAAAACAAACAGGAGAAATTATGATGGCTTCATTAATTTCTGAAACTATTGCTGAATATATGAGAGAAGTAAGATCATATTCAGTTTATACAATTTATAAAGAATTATTTCAACTATTATTAGATAATTTTGTTTGTTCTTATTTAAAAATTGGATTTGAAAATATTTTATATGGAGATGGTAAAAAAATAAATCCAGAAACAACAGGATATAAATCATTTGCATCAAGAATAAGATTAGATGCAGAATTAATTTTTGAAGGATTACAAGATTTATTTACAAAAAAAGATTTAAAATATTTATTTACTTCATTATCTGCTATTGAAAAAATTGGAGATTTATCAACTTGTCCTGATCCAATGCATAATATTCCTGCAATATGGTCTTCTGATATTTTACCTGTTTTCTATGATTGTTCAATTGATTATATAAAAGCAATTGTTTATTGTAGAAAAGATATGGAAAAATCTCAATGGAAAGAATTAGAACCAAAATTAATTGAATTGAAAAAACAATATCATTCTGAAGTTGAATCACCTAATTTTGCTGTACTTACGCTAGATAATTTTGAAATAAATATATAAGCTGATGAGTAGTTTAAATGAAATTTTCTTTTTTAACGTGATTTTAAATGGTATTGGAATTGTTTTGACTTTGTAGTTTCTACCGGAAGCCCAAATATTGTATTAGTCTTTCTAAATCAATTTTAGCCTCCAACTCTTCATTTACTTGTAATATATAGGCTCCTTTTAATCACTATCTGATGAATAATTTAGATTTGATATAAAATTTTTCTTTTTTAATGTGATTTTTGAAGGTATTGGTATGGATTGTTGTTTCGTAGATTCTTTTGGAAGCTTCAATATTTTATTAGTCTTTCTGAATCAATATGCCGTTGAACAGCCTCCTCTTCATTCACTTGTTGTTGTTTTTAACATTGATAATTTTGAAATAAATATACAGTTTAATCACTATCTGATGAGTAGTTTAAATTTGAAATGAAATTTTTCTTTTTTAATGTAATTTTGGATGGTATTGGTATAGATTGTTTTGTTTTCTCAATTTCTTTCGGAAGCTCCAATATTTGATTTTTCTTTCCTGAATCAATTTGCCTTTGAATAGCTTCCAATTCCTCATTCACTTGTTGTTGTTTTTGTTGTTCAATTAATCTCTTTTCAAATTTTTCAATTACATCACCATTTGAATCATCTTGTTCTTTCCAAAATGGATTATTTTTCCTCTTTTTTTGAAGTAATTGATATTTTTGATCTTCTTTTTCTTCTTCTTCTAATCTCTTGAGTAGTTCATCATTTGTTTCTTGTTTTCTTTTTTTCTTTGATGGTTCAAAATTTCGTACAGCTCCATTTTCTGGTGTATAACCAGCTTCAGCCGGATTTGTTTTAAAAGTGATTGTATTATTACATCCAGGACATGTTATATAAAACCGTATAATTTTTATATTTAAATATTTCTCATCAGTTGTTTCTTTTCTTGCATTGAAAGATCTTCTCTCCGCGATATATTCATTACATTTTAAGCATCTCATTGAATATGGAGCCATCATACGAATCTTTATCGTTTGATTCCCATTTTTATTCTTCTTTTGCTTGACTACTTTCGATGGATCATAATCTGGTGGATAGTATTTGTTAATAGCTTTTCTTTCAGACATGAGTTGATGAAGAGATACGCAAAAAAAAAAAAATCAATTGACAAAGATTTATTTGTCCTACAATGCAATTCCCTTTTTAATTATGTATTGATGATAAGGATGTAAAAAATAAGTTACAGATGATTTTGAAATGTATTATACAGTTAATTAATGATCTATTCGGCATTTCTTTTGGCAGCTTTCTTTTGAGCTTTTCTTTGAGTACCAAAGATTTTCTTTTCTCTATTTTTCTTTTGTTTTCTTTGTTGTCTTGAAGCTTTTTCAACTTTTTCAGCTAATCCATATCTAATTAATCTATAAGTTGGTTCAAATCTTTTGGCATCAGCAACTGATTGATAAATTAAACCAAATCCAGTTGATTTTCCACCACCGTATTGAGTTCTGAATCCAAATACTGATACAGCATCTTTTTCAGCTTTATAAATTTCTGATAATTTTTCTCTTAATTCATCTTTTGATACATTAGCTCTACCTGGATGTAAAACGTCAATGACAAATTGTCTTCTTGATAATAATGGGTTGGTGATGACTTTTCTAGTTCTAATGGTAACTGAATCACTCATGTTGTGTTGTGATTTTATGTGGATATGCGGTTGGTGATAAAGTTGATTGACTATGTCTGGTAATATTAATTTAAAATTTCATTTTTTCAAATGTTAGGGAAGTAGCTACCAAAATTGGTAAGTAATGTAAGCGTGCAACTCACGTGTATACTTTATAAATTAGGGTTAAAGAATTCCTATTTTGTGTAATACTATGTACTAATCCATTTATTATTCAGATAAGACCATTTCTTATGTACTTTCCTATTTACTAAAAGATAATTGATTATAAAGTTTATCAATTTTGGATCTATATTTTGCATTGATAACTTCTCCTGGACGTGAATGACATATTTATTAACATTGAACAGAGATTTCTCATTCAAATGTTTTAAAATATTATGATACATTTGATCAAACTTGGAACTACCTATTACTCCATTTTCGAAAGTGAATAAATCCGACTTTTCGAAATATAATCCAATTCTATTAGCTATCAGATCTACTCCTTCAAATTGGTTTATTATGGAACTGATGGGGTCACTTTTGATTAAATCTGCTAACGCGATTTCTTCAAAAGAACTTTCAATCACTGTTATTAAACACTCTTTAATCATATTAACAAATCTGATCTTATTCTGATGAACATCTTCATCAATAATTTCAATCACCTCTGGTTCGTCAGTCAAATCTATTACCATCTTATTTTCAAGCACCACCAAAGAATCTTCAATCCCACTTGTCATTGTTATATCATCCAGTGTTAAACTTAATCTTTTCCTTTCTTCTTTGCGAGCTAACTCCCTTTGACTAAATCCATAAACAATCTCCTTTTGTTCATTAATCTTTTCTCCAGGTTTGAAAATCCATGGTACTTTCAAAACTGATTCTCTAAATTCAACTCTTTCACTCCATAATTTAAATTCCAATTGAGTATCATCAGATTCAAGCCGTAGATTCTCCACTATTAATTTATTATTATGAAAAAACCCATTGATTATAACTAATTTACCATAATTTTCTTGCAATGTTTTGATATTGCTTTCAATTATACAATTATAAGGAATATTTAAAACAAATATCAGTTTTTTACCTGAACAATCATCAATATTTAATTTTGCAAACCCTTTTTCAGGTTGATAAATTTCTCCAACTATTCTTCCAAATATTTCAACTTTACTAATTGGCCAATTATTGATCATAATTATATCACTTAGTTGAAAATATACATGTTTATATATTCTAAATAAATTTACTGAATGTTTTATATCATTTATAAATAATGGTACAATCTTATCATAAGTTAAAGATTCTCCAAAAACTTCTGGCCTATAAAATTGTTTATTCTCATTTTGTAGGACTATATGATTCTGACCTGGGCCCCAATCAGTCATATAATTAGAGTCATTGATGATAAACGCGTTTGGTTACAAAAAAAAAATATTTATTTATCTATTTCCTTTTACTTTTTTTAGCTCTATCATTTTTTGTCTTTTTATAAGACCTCTTCTCTGAATCCTTTTTAACTTCATTTGCTTTCCTCTTTTTTGAATTTACTTTTTTACCATGTTTTGTTAAGTGTTCCATTACTTCATTTTTAAACCATGTTCTTTTTGGTCTTGAATGTATTTCTTTTTCATATTTCATAAGATTTTCTGCTTTATTTAATTGCATTTCAGCTCTGAGGATTTCTTTTGCTTGTTTTTCTTCTTCTAATACTTCTTCTATAGATTTTTCTTTACTGGATATTTTGTTATTTATATTTTCAATTTCATTCCAATCAACTTTTCTAGCTAAACTTTTACCATTAGTGATTGCTGCTTTCACTATAGCTCTATCTTGATTACTTTCACCAACAAATGATATTGATGTACCTTTTCTTCCAGCTCTTGCAGTTCTACCAACTCTATGTAAATATATTTCATAAGTTTTTGGCATGTCAAAATTGATTACATATTCAATCCTTATATCTAACCCTCTAGCTGCTAAGTCTGTACATATTAAAACATTTATATCTTCTTTAAAAGATTTAACATTTGATAATCTTTGATCTTGAGTTAAAGCACCATGTAATTCAGCAACTTTTAATCCTAATAGCCCTAGAATGATTCTAAGCTTATGTGCCATTTCTTTCCTCGACACAAACACAACAATCCTTCCATCTAACTTACTTAACAAAGCAAACAATAATGCTGGTTTTAAATTTTCTCTTTTCCTTATACGTACAAATTGTTGTTCTAATTTTGTTGCAACTGTCTTTGGAGGATCAATCATAACTTTTATTGGTTTATTTAATGATAATTGTACAAGATCTTGTATTTTTGTATTCATTGTTGCAGAAAATAATAAAGTTTGTCTTTTATGTTTTGGAATAAGTGATAATATTTCAGTTAATTCTTCTTGAAATCCTTCTTCCAACATTCTATCTGCTTCATCAATCACCAATACTTGAATATCTTCAACACTAAAACTAGGACTATTTCGTATATGATCAATTAATCTACCAGGTGTTGCAATAACAATATCTGGTCTTGTTTTTAATTGTTGTTCTTGTTGTTTTAAATTTAATCCACCCACAGCTAATCCAAAATTTAAATTATTTACAAATTGACCTAGTTTTCTACCAACATCATAAACTTGAATGGCTAATTCTCTAGTAGGTGTTAATATAATAGCTTTAGTGGATGTTGAATTTTTAAAAATTAAACGTTCTATTAATGGAATTAAATATGCTGCTGTTTTACCACTACCAGTTTGTGCTCCTGCAACTATATCTTTACCTAATAATGCAATAGGTATGGTGGAAGATTGAATTGGTGTTGGAGTATTGAATGATAAACTTTGGAGGCTCTTTAGTATAGGACGAGAAAGTTGTAAATCTTGGAAAGTCTTGGAGGTGGTTTCTTTGGTTGTGGATTCATAAAATTCATCAATAGCCTCTTGATCATCTTCGGAGTCAGATTGATATTTTGTGTTTGCTTCTATGTCTTCTGTCTCTACCTCTGCTTCTTGTTCCTCGTCTTCTTCTTCTTCTTCTTCTTCTTCTTCCCTTTTCTTCTGAATAATCTCATCTAAATCTACATTCTTCACAGGTTCCTCAACCTCCCAATCCTTTATTTCATCTACTTCATCTCCTAATGAAAATTCAAAACTAGGATCTATCTCTTTAATTTCATTCTCCACTTCTGATTCGGATCCACTATATTCCTCCTCACTATCTAATGTAAGTATCAAATCTTCTTTTTTCATCTTTATCGAGATGATGGGTATATAGTTTTATTTAGTAAAAAAATATATTTGTGTTATCAATATCAACCATGATCAACTATATAAAACTATATCAAGATAAAGAATATACAAATCCTAAAAAATTAATAATTCAAATAGTAATACTACAATTGTTTTATTATCTATCAGCCCTTATCATATTTTATATCATATCACTACTAAATGGTTATGAATTTTCAATTGATTGGATTTTCCAATGGCAATTAGTATCATTAGAAAATGCAATGGGATTAACATTATTTGCATTATGGTTATTTGATTCATTAACTTGTGTATTATTTGTAACTATTATTGTTGGTAGATCAAAATTAGCTTGGGATTTTGCATTAACTATTCATATTGTAAATTTAATTATAACTTGGTGTTATGTTGGTAAATTTCCAACAAGTTTATTATGGTGGTTTTTACAAATCTTAAGTGCTTTTTTATTGGTGACTTTAAGTACTTATTCAACAAGATGGAAAGAGTTAAGAACTACATTTTTTAATGAAATGTTGGAAGAACCTATAGAAATGAATGCTATAAATAAATAATTACCTCCTTGGTTCCAATATCAAATCTCCTAATGGGAAATTTGAATGACCTTTACCTAATGCATATACAGTTTTACCTCTTACTAAAGTTTCTAAAACTTTCCCTTTAAATTCCATACCATCATAAGCTGTTAATTTATTTTTAAAATATACTTGTTTATTTTCAATTTTAAATTGGGAATCAGTATCAAATACACAAATATCCGCATCATAACCAATTTTAAATGAACCTTTTCTATGATCTAATCCAACTTGTTTTGCTGTATTTTTAGAACACCATTTATTAATTTCTTCAAGACTTATTGGAGGGTTTAATTTAAGACCTTCTGTATATAATATAGGTAAACCAAATCCAACACTTGATATACCACCCCAAGCTTCAAAGAAATCACCTTTTTCTAAACCTTTTAAATCAGGTGTACATGGAGAATGATCACTTACAACTGTTGTTATTATATCATTTCTTAAAGCTTTCCATAATAATTTTCGGTTGTCGTCTGTTCTTATCGGTGGACAACATTTAAAATGAGTATGACAATTTTCTATTTTTTCAGCACATAAACTTAAGTAATGGAAACATGTTTCTGCGGTGATTGGTAAATTTTTAGCTTTTGCAGCTCTAAGTAATGGAATAGCTTCGTGAGTAGCTAAATGAACAATATGTAATGGTACATTGGGTATCAAAGTAGAACAATTTATTATTTCTGCAATTGCTGTAGTTTCAAAATTATCAGGTCTTGATGCTAAAAAAGAAGCATATGATGTTGGATCTATATTTTTTAAAGTAGCATCCTTTTGTGCAGCCAAAAGCAAAGGAGTACTAACTTTTGTATCATCTTCCCATGGTTCATGTTTATTTACTTTCATGGCATTTTTACCATATGTTGGTTCTGCACCTGCTAGTATAGGAGTATGAGCTAAAGCTCTTGCTTGAGCATCAGTTAAAACTTTTTGATCCATTGATCCTGCATGATTATGAGGTAAATGACAATTTTCATGTTCATGTTTATAATCTCCATGATCATTCTCCAAGAGTTTAACAACTTTTTTAGGAGCTCTATTTATGAATGATGCTGACATTCCTAAATCGAAATTCGTATTCATTAATGCATCTTCAACTGTAACTACTAAATTTTGTTCCTCTTCTTCATCACCGGAGAGTTCAAACTCTACTCTATGTTCTTTAGGTTGCATTTCAGCATGAAACATCAACAATGTCTTTTCATTTTTAACAATCTTCATAGCATCAAGTATTATCTTTGGAGTTATTGCAGGAAATTCTTCAACACCACTTTCAATCATAAATGCTTTAAACCCTCTAACTCCCATTTTAATTAATGGTTTTAAATCTAATAAATTTGTTGGTATTAATCCACCCCAAAATCCAACATCTACCCAACATTGATTTTTAGCAGCATTTATTTTAATATTAAAATTTTGTACAGTGGTTGTTGGTGGTATTGCATTTAATGGCATATCAATTACTGTTGTTACTCCTCCTGAAGCTGCTGCTTTTGTTCCAGTTTCAAATCCTTCCCATTCTGTTCTTCCTGGTTCATTTAAATGTACATGAGCATCAACTAATCCAGGCATAACAACTGCTGGTGAAACATTTCTATAATCTATTGATAAAACATCATATCTTTTTAATATAGGATCTCCCGGTTGTAGAATTTCTTTATATATATCTAGTATTTTACCTGTTTCAATTGAATATATGATAGTTCCTGGTGTTATTTGATCATCTATTAAAACTCTTGTTGAAGATATTGCTCTAGACATGGTGATTTCTTATCTTTTGAGATAAGAAAATTGAAAAAGGAAAAAAATTGAATGTAGAAATTGATAACTTCCCAAAAAACGATCTAAACCCCAGATTCTAGATGTAACGAGATTATTGAATTATTGTAACACTGAGTTTATATTGACTTGAAGATATAAATCGGCCCAACTTTATTGATTTTATAAATTTATTCACCAAATATCGGGAATCACCGATGATTCAGAAATAAGAAATAATACATATTAAGTAACTGAAAACGAAAATGAGCGCGTTTAAAGTTTCAAAATTTTGCAACCTTTGGTCAAGAGCGTTGGGAACGGAATTAAAACATCGGGCCATTTGCAATGTAAATACCATGTTAAATATATCTATGAGTGGTTCTCTGGATATAGATTTTTTTCTCCTTGCTCGCAAAGATCAAATGGAAGATAAAAAATAAACATTACATTATACTGTTACTGCAAAAGGAGTCTTGTTCAATCTCTTAGTCATTTGTGATGAAAAGTCAGGTATATGATGGTCAGACATCGGATGATTCAAATGATTCACTAAACAATTTTGTTTGTCTACCATTGGCCTAATAAAGTTCAGATATTTTCCTAAACTCATCGTCAAGACCACTATGCCACCAATTTTGCAAATTTCAATGACGTAGCGATTTAACATTTGTTACACAATGCATTAACGACCTTTGATTTGACTCAAGAAGCCTTATTTTAGCATTTAAAGTTTTACTCACTAAACGATTTGAACTTGAGATTTATTCTTTTTGCAAAATCTGGGTCCGAAATGACCACTACGCCACGTCAAAAACTCAGATCTGGCGTGGCGTACTTGTTTTTAATTGGTAGCGAGGGTTAAAAGTTTTACTTAATCTTTTGTTCGAATCTTCACATATGAAGGCTCAATTTCTCAATTTAAAGCTTTCTTGGAAAACTAGGAACAACTAAACTCTGTCTATCTATAAATTGAGGCAAATCAAATTTATCGCTTACAAATTTGGGTCAATCAAAGATGTTTATTTGTCAGTTATTCAAATCTTGATATTTTGACCCTACCCAATTAGTTTTAAAAGTACACACTACGGTGAAAAACTTTGTACTGAGCAATAGATTTTTAGTTGTTTGATTTTATCAATGCCATTTTCAATTCCCTGGTTCCAAAGACTCGTATTTGAAGGATGTTTTATTTTTAATATTTTAAAAATTTTTGGCTTCGAGTTCTAAAAAATGCAACATCTAGTTTCATCTCAGAATATTTGGTTAAAGTATTATTTTCAGTAGAATCATTGTCAACATTTATCTCATGATTCAAGTTAAAAAACATCATAGTTATTACTGATACAAACTTATTGAGATATACAGCAACAAATTTAATTGACTTTTTTTTCAGGAATAATTCATAAGCTTGGAGTTTTTCTTCTGACTTGGGTCCATGGTTTGATGAAGTTTTATAATCTTGCAGAAAATTGAATACTGAGAATTTTCATAGTTTCCAGAATTTAGTTTATAGGTTTTCCACTGATAACCTAATTTTTTATTTCTTCTGGTTCGTGACCACTGAATTTTCCAACTTTAAATCCTTTAGTTAATTCTTCTCTTGTTATGAAGACTCTTACCCAGTTCAACCGTTATATTTGAGTTTGAAAAACCAGCACTTTTATAAAACTATTATTAAATATGTAGGCTCAATTGTTGTCCCAAAATTTTGCAACTTCTTAACTTTTGAAACGTCGTTTGCAAACAAGCGCAAATTTGGATTTTTGACGCGCAATTTTCAAAAATAATTTTGATGATTAGAATCTTTCAAATTTCGTTTTTAAAAGTTAGCATTTACTTTATATTATGTCAACCGTTATGAATTTTAATGAACCAAGACTATTATCTAAATAAGAGCAATCTACAAACAAGATATTAACGCATTTTGAGTATACAAGATGTTTCGACCTCATTTTTCACATGCAACTAAAGTTAGAATCTAGCAATGAATTAATAGCCTACCATAATTAACAATCGACAATCTTCCAGTGCTTTTTTGGACTTAATATACGTCAACAAAACTCAATCGGAAATTGTGCATGATCATACGGGCACAAATTGACATTATAAACTCAGACAATTACTTAATCTCAAGTGAAGTCATTTCACCTTCAAAATGCTATTTTACGTCCTAATTTGAACTTGTCATCCACAATAACTAATTATAGGTCTGAAGTGACACTCAGTTTTGATTTAATGGATAAAAATTTGGATTAATAAACAAGGACAACTGGAGATCAAGTTAATAAATATACCATCACTCCAGGATTGCTAATAAGGAATTATTGATTTTCCTCGATACGAAGCAATACAAATTCATGATTCACGCACAAGGCAAATCCAGTATCTAGTGAAGGTTCAAAACTTCAGCGGTATCTCATATTTACTTTTGAAGCAAGCCAAACTCGGTCAAATAAAGACTATGTTTCTTAAAAACAATGAATGACTTTGAGAATTCGTCAGAGTGTGAAAAGATTGGTGATAACTGTTTTTGTATCAAAAATTGGATGTTCAAATAAGCCTGCTCAAACACCAATACCTATGAATATGCATTTAGCTCAACATATCATCTGGCTTTCAAAATCACAAACAGTCCGACTACTTGAGTATTAATTCTTCAATCAAACTAGATTTAGATCTCAAGTTCGGCTGTAAGAATGTCATAGCCGATCAATTTTCAACTAGTTGGGCAATAATTCAAAATCAAGCAAACAAAGGACTACAAGTTGTTGTTACAAGTGATTAAAAGACCTCAAGTCAGCGTGCACACAATGAATTTTGGAATCAAAATCAATACAGAATATTTGCATTCTTAACATTAAGAGCACAACCAATATGTAATCGATATGAACTAGATCATGATCTTTGCTTAAATGATAATGCTTTTAGCCATATTTCAGTTAATAACTTACTCAAAAAATAGATTGTACTTGTTATATCTACGAAAGGAGATTGCTTTGATTACTTCAAAGGGAAAATGATGTATTTCGCAAAGCTACTTATTTTTATAAACCAATTCTGATAACATAACATCACAACAAAATTTCCTTCATTCCAAAGGTCAAAGCTTTTATGTATCGCTAAAAAATGCAAAACTTTAACATGAATTCATTGGAAGGATACTTATTTATAAAAAATGAGATGAATAAATTTGTGTTTTGATGATGCTGATCCGAAGTTATTCGGGTCAAGAGTTGATAGAGAAAATTTATTGATAGAGGAAAATATCATTTATATATTATCTTTATACACCAAATTAAATGATTAAAAACCTTTTTTTTTCATTAAATACGTCCCATGGTAATCTTTGTACTTTGGTTGCTAAGTGAAGCTTTACTTCTTCCAGGAAATATGTTTTTCCCTGAAACCCACTTCCATTGTGGGTAAACCTTTTGTAAACTACGCAACCTGGCATTGTCCACATTTGACCATGAATTATCAGTTAATGATTCAAGTGGTGATGTTGATCTATCGGTAGTATTATAAGACACAAATGTTTTTCCATCTAACTCTAAATCTTTCACTTCTGATTCAGTTTTTAAAGAAAATTCATAATTTATTTCTACCAAATAAATTGGTTCTTCTTGTTGCCTACACCATTGACTTTTTAATTGCACAGGTGTATAATTGGAGTTGAAAAATTTTGAAATTAAAATCCAATTAGTTGTTATTTTGGCAATCTTATTCAACCTTTTAGCCATTTCTGATGAAAATCCTGGTATAGCATTATGGTTAGGAACATTAAATGATTCAGATGATTCACTAAACAATTCTATTTGTTGAAGATTAATGCCATCTGAATGTAAGTAGTCCAAATGAGGTTCAGAAATTTTTCTAAAATCACCATCAAGAAATTCAACCAAATAAAAATTTTTATTTTTTGTCAAAGTATTGAGATAGCGGAAACTAATAGCATTCCAAACTATATTTTCAAATTCTTCGCTTGCAACAATTTGAGGATATGACTGACCCATTTCGTGTTTTCGGATTATAAGCTCATCCAAGTGATCATTCCAATCATACAATTTTGTAATTTTTTCTTCCAAAGAAGGATTAAGAAATTTCTTTAATTCAGTTTCATTCTTGGACTTTAATCTCCAATATTGGGTACCAATTTGTATAGCATTTCTATCGCCAAATAATTCCCATCCAACTACTCTTGACCAATTTCTAAAAACTTTTCCAAGTGATAATAATCTTTTGTTATCAAGTCCCAGCCATGATCGATTATATGATTTGATATTTTTCAAATTTTCAGTAGCACCAGTTTCATCTTCTTCATATTCATAATCTTCATCTTCATCTTCATTATATTCATCACCAACATCGAAAAAAATGTCGTCTTCAATATTCTCTTCATTTTGTTCATTGTTTACATCGACGTCTTTGACATTTAACTGAATTTTAAATTTGACTTCCCCTAAATCTTGTTCCATTCTTTCTAATTCAGTGGTATTAACTAATTTAAATTCTTCTTCAGCTTCAACTAAAAATAAATCATGATTTAAGATATGGAAGTGATGCTTGATAGATTTTGGGGTCCGTCCATCAAAAAATCTGGTGAAAAAAGTCCAATTTATGCCAAAATCTTTATAAAGCTTGATCAATTTATCCTCTTCTCTCTTCGTCCATGGTTTTACACTAGTTTCTTTAAAGACTTCATCAACTTCATTATCACTAACTGAATTTTTTAAATAATAATATTTGGCTTTTATGCCTTCTATTTTTCTAGCGAAGCCACTAGATAAAAGGTCCTGTTGAATTGCCTTATAAGATCTTCCCTTTACTCTGGTTTTTAAAATATCTAATTCTTCTTGGTTCCAAGTTCTATAAGAAGCATCATCCTTTTGCATTTCAGTATATCTATCAACAGCACCAGTAGTAAAATCATCATCATCTACAGTTGGATCATTATTAACATCCATATCATAATTCATTACCAAAAATTCATCAGAATTAATAAAATTATCAATAACTGACGCATACTTATTTAAGTATGCAGCAATAAATTTGATTGATTTATCATTCAGAAATAAATCATAAACTTTTAATTTTTCATCTTGTGTGAGGTCCATTGCTTGTTGAAGTTTTCTTACTTTGTGATAAATTGATCTATGAGATCTGTTCATATGTTCAGAAATATAATCCAATGAGTTTCCACTGATAACCAAATTTTTAATTTCTTCAGACTCTTCATCACTGTATTCTCCAACTTTGAATCCTTTAGCTAAATCATTTTGTTTACATATGAAACCTTTTATTACTCCTGGACTTCTATTCAATTCATCAGCTATATCAATAGTCGTCAAACCATCACTAACCATTTCATCTATTCTCTTTTTTTCATCATCTGATAAAGAACCTTTCACTAAATTTGGGCTGCTTGATCTTAAATGGCGTCTAATTTGGCGTCTAGATCTAGTAAGCAAGAACATACTTATAAGCTGACAATTGTTTTGAAAAATATTATATAATTCATTTAATCTTACTTTTTCTTCATTTGACCATGGACCAAATTCTTGTTTAACGTGTAAAACTTCATCAGTTGAAAATTTTTTTAAATTATATTTGGATCTCATATTCTCTAATTTTTGAAGCTCATTCTGATCTTCTAATTCATCATCATCGTCTGGTGAAGAAACAACTTGAGCTACTTTGTAGTTCTCTATAAAACTTTGAATCAAATTATCTTCTGCAACTTCATTTTGTTTTGATTTTAAAATTAATAATTTTTGTTTGTATTGATCAAAATCAGATTCAATTTTTATTTCCAATTTGGATACGGTTTTTAAATTGGCATTGTAACTGCCAACTTTAACCAAATGATCACTATATGAATCACTGAAAATTCTTGATGAGGTAAAACTTGCATATAATTCTTTGGAACAGTAATCTCGATCGAGATCTTTAATATTGAACAAAGACCAAAATGTACCATAAAATTTTTTATATGACTCTGCTAATGTATCAATTAAATTTAATCTTTTTTGAAGTGGATCGAATGAATTCCTACATACTCTTTCATGTTCTCGTGGAAAGACCACGTGACTTTCATCTGATGAATAGTTAAAGTCACCACCAAAATGAAGAAAAACATCTTTTTCTTTACCATAAACTTCTTTAATTGCATCGTCAATATCAAGAATAAGCTTCGATGTGTTAGCTTCAGAATAAGCATCACCATATATGCTGATGAGCACAATTTTTTTTCCACTGACATCGATCATGCAATCAGCCATCCTTAATTTGTGATTCAGTTGTTTTAATTTTGAGTTTATTTGAAGTTTATTAATGATTGTGAATTTATTGGATTTAACTTTGATTATTATACCGGCTTTTGAATTAGGAGAAGACGTTATAGTTTCATAATTTGAAAAATTCGATAAACATAAATTTGATTTAGGTGTTAATTCTTGCACCATAACATAATCATATGAATTAATCATAGCACTTAAAGTGCGTACATTTGAAATTCTCACTAGGTTCTTACAAGCAAAATTAATGTCGTCTTTATGATTATAGTCAGTTGATTTAAGAAAAATTTGATGGTTTCGAAAAGAATTTCGAATTGATTTGGCTTCATTTTTCAATTGCAGGTCTGATGTTGATTCATTAAAAGCATCAGTTGCTGGACTATTTGATATAGTTGTTGTTGATTTAGTTGTTTTCATTGCAGAAGCTGATGATCCAGAAGTTGTTAATGCAGAAGTTCTCATTGCAGAAGTTGTTAATCCAGGAGTTGTTAATGCAGAAGTTTTTGATCCAATTGACGTTAATATAGAAGTTGATGATCCAATTGTCAGTCTAGTCTTAATTTCAAAAAAAGATCCAATTTGTCTTTGTTTAACATCATGAATTGGTGTTGATTTAGTTTTTGTTTTTCTTTTAACTATTCCAGTTTTTTGATTTCCATTAAGAAACCCCATTAGATTTGTTGGCGTCTGTTGTATTGGTTGTTTTTGTGGAGCATGAGGTGGTGTAACATCTGAATCTTTCAATGAATTTGCTTCAACGTGTTGAGTTTTTTGTTTTTTGTTGATATTTTCAGTAGTAGTTTCTTCCTTAAATTTTCTTTTTGATTCATTAATTTCAATAGATTCGTTATTATTATTTGTATCATTTGATGATGTTGTTGATTTTGATGAGCCAATAAAAGTTGAAATTTCAGGTAAAGTAGAATCTGTTGCTGATGATTGAGTTGTATTTAATAAAACATCTCCATCGATTGATTCGATGATTTTTTTCTTGTCTTTCTTATTTAATTTTAAAGGACCATTAGAACCATTATTTGAAGCTAAAACTTGAGTTGGTGAAACCGTTTTTTTCTTTTTCTGAATTCCAAAGGAAATCATAGAATTACTGGTTATGTTTGCAAAATTTGTAGCTGTATTTGAATTTGTTGTAACATCAGGAATAACTTTTTCATTTGAAGAAGACTTGTCATCTTCTTCATCTTCTTTATCCTCTTCATCTTCTTTAACACTTAATAAAATATATGGATTGGAATTAGAACCTTCCATGTTTTGTTGAATTGAAGTATTATCTTCAGGTTTTGTTGATTTTGGATTTGAACTTCTTCCGTGAGTGACTATAGTCCACTCCTTTGGATCACTTTTGGGAAAATTATTTTCCATTTTAGAACAGATAATATGATTAATGCTTTATGAGATTGAAATAAGTAATGATAAAATTTGGAAATGTTGATAAATTTGTTATAGATTAAATTGATTATTTGATTAAACTAAAAATAAATTTGTTTTAGATAAAATTGATTATTTGATTAAACTAAAAATTCGTTGTGAGAAAAATTATATTATGTATATCTAAATTATTCACAATCTAATTTTAAAAAATATTTATCTATTTAATTTTTATAAAGTATAAAGAGGGTTGCAGAATAATTGTATGTATGAATGCATGAGTTAATAAAATAAATTTAAGCTTATAAAATATACTATTTACGTTATTATTTGTTTTGAGCTTAGAGATCTAATAAAGAGTAATCTTTTAAAGAGAAATTGCTTCTTACTTAAAGTCTTTTCAAGTAGTTTAAGAAAGTACTATTCAATAAAATGTAGATTTTTTTTTAATTTTACATTAGAACTCTTACAAGTAAGAGTATTTGTCACTTCAGTTGATTTATAAAACACGTTAATTGTACCAGCATTATTTTTTTCCCATTTAGATGATGATAGATGATCATTTGATGTTGTGATGTGATGTATAAATAATATTATTTTAAATATGAAACACATTTTGGTAGCTTTGTTTTGATTTTTTTTTTCTTGGCTATAATAATGTTTATTATGTAATGTTTAATTTGAGTACAAGATCAATTTCTCTTCACCTTTTACTTTTTATGATATCTAAAATTCTACTTTAAGTCAATGACTTGAACTTTTCAACAAATTCAAAAATTACTGAAGACATCTGTTGAATTAGATAAAGAAACAGGTTTATATATATTCTTATTTTAATTTGCATAGTATTACACAAAATCTCTTAACTTTATAAGAAAAAATTTCAATTTACGTAAAATGTTTTTACATTACTTTACAACCTTAACTATTAAAGAAATTGAATATATAATATTATGAAATTAAACGTTTACAACTTTTAAGCTTTTACATTCAATTTATAATATTTTTTTAATTCGGTGGCGTTGAATATCATGATATCAAATCCATTACCACTTTCAATACTATCACCATTACTGTTTAACTTTAAACTATGTACAAAAATTCTTATTTAACAACACTTTAGGCTAATGATAAATGTAAGAATAAAATATGATTGTACAATTTATGTCTAAGAGAGAAATAGTGTATTAAATTCTTGATTTAGATTTAGTGAAACATATTAACATCTGGCAGATTTAAGGACCCTTGCATGAAAAAGATATATCAAAATAATGTTTTAGATAAACTAGTAAATGAATAGTTTATAAAATTTATGATAGTGAATGTTATCACCAGCCTTAAAACAAAGTGTTTCTTAAACGCTTTAAAGTTATTAGTTTCCATTTTAAAATGTCTATAAATGTATTTTGATTATCTCCAACTTAAAACTTAGCCTAAAAGTAAAGTACTCGTATAAACTTTGGACTTTGAATTTTTAAGCTTTTTGACGATCAATAGATATTTTCTTATTTTTTTTTTTCAAATACAAAAAATAATATTTTTCGTGTTCAAAAATTTATGCATAATTGACGAGTGTGATAATTTATTAAAATTAGCTTAAGACGTCGTTGGGTCAATTATCGACCTATCTCTGAGACTCTCACCCCGTTCATGTGATGTATACCTGAATTTAATTTTTTTTTTCTTTTTTTTTTTCAAAACATAAACAATGTAGTCTAGCTTGCTAAACAGTAAGAGAACAAACTTAAACTAAAGGGGAATGAGCTTCTTCTCTTACTTCTTCTCATTTTTCTAGCATTTACCATTCAAGATACCTTTTTTCTTATGTTTAGGTTATGTCATTTGAAGAAAAAATGTTAAATCCTCGGTAATATATATAGTTCCATTTCACTTTATGAATAGTCTGTATTTTTAATTCGGCTAGCTAGACTACGAATTTGGTAAGTATAAATGGATCTTGAAATGAACAAAAGAAGAATTTGATGTGGATGACGTATTTTACGCTTATTTTACGAGATCTTAACGTAATTGGTTTTGTGCTATACTTTTGAATCTTGTGTCATATTTGGCAATTAATTACGGAATAACTTATACAAGAAGTATAGATGGATTTATAAATGACATAACCCATAATAGAAGGAAAAACTATCGAATTAAAATTAATCACACGATAAGAATTAAGCATTATATTACTGTAAACTATAAGCCATAAACTTGAGACACCACTTACTCGATATGATCTACTTCAGTCTTTTCATTCCAACTTGGATTAGTAACAGCCATTCTTTGATGAGTATAAATAGGTGGAATTTCCGGTAAGTTTTTACGTCTTAAAACATGTTCCTGGAAGCCCCTTAAAAACGTTCTAGTTCTGTATATAGCATGGGTATACATAGGAACAGCAAAGACATCATCTAACTCTTCTAAAGTTAATTGTTTAGTTTCAGGTAAGAACCATAATACCATAAAGAAGCCTACCAAATTCCATGCTGCGTAGAAGCCAAAGGCTCCACAGGCAGTGAATGCTCGAAGTAATCGCGGAAAGCAAAAAAATTTGTTAGTAAAGGCTCTGATTGTCAAATAGGCATGTGTTATATACATACGTGAATGCTAGGATGAAGTTAAAAAACCAACAGGTTGCTACAGCGAAGCTCGCTCCGATATCCCTAATGTACAAAGGAAACGCTTCAGATGCGTAAACGAATGGAACTGGTCCTTCAGATGTGGAATACACAATTGTGAAGAAATAAATTCCAATAGACACCATTGCCAACTTCCCTTTATTATCATGAATCAAAAATCCAAAACCCGTGATTAACAAAAACACACACATTAATGGAAATGCAAACAACAATAGGTTCCTACGTCCATACCGGTCGAGTGTAAATATTGCCGGGAAACAGCCTATTGTATTAAGCATCCCAAAGCCCCAGGATGCTCTTGAATGCTCTGGTTAGTATCTTTTGTTGTTTATTCGTTGATATCTTGTAAAAAACTTGATCCGTTGTGGAAAAACCCCTTAAGAAAAAATATATTTCGGAAAAAAAAAGTTTCTTTTTCTCGGAAAGTTTTATTTTCTCGCTTGCAAAATTTTCGGAAAAAAATAAATTTCTGACACAAAAAATTCAAGTTAATCAGATTTTAACAATTGCTCAATATCATAATACATACACCAAAGCATTGATTACACTGATCCCGGCTTCAATAAAAATTGACGACGAATAATAAGCAATGACATTAATTCCACAAAATTGTTGCATGAACATAACAATCCAAGATCCAATTGCCGCATTTCTATTTCTTCTAATGGTAAACATTTCGATTACTCTCTTCCAGGTTGGAACATCATAATTACCCTCTTCCTCTTGTAATAAAACAAATTGATAAAATAAATCTCTTGCTGCTGCAACATTTTCAAATCTTAGCGATGATAAACTTTCGTAAGCTTCCTTGTGTCTACCTTTACCCATTAGCCAACTAGAGAAGGAGTTAGTAGATGAATACTGCTAGCATAAGAAAAGGTAACATACCGAGGACTTTCAGGGACAAAGGGGATTTGAAAAAGTATAATAAAAGCTGGAATACAAGCTGAACCAAGCATTAATCTCCAATTCAATCCAGTACCAAAGCTTTTGTCGGGAACGTAGTAGAACGCCAAGCACGCCACGTACCCTAGCATAATACCAGCCGCAGTCCAGAGCTGCCACATTAAGACGAGTGAACCCCTTACCCTAACGATTCTGCAGTTAGTATTTATATGTTGATTTGGTGTTTAAATGGTTTATTTGTTGCAAAAAAATAAATCTGTGCACTTAAAAACTGCACAGGAAAAAAATTGTGCACAAAAAAAAAGTGCGAAAAAATGCGAAAAAAAAATTTTTTCACAAAAAAACCTCTACCAATTGTACTTTTTTAAATAAAAACATACCGAGCTGGTGTACATTCACTACAATACACAGGAACAGTTGCTGACTTAACACCTATACCGAGACCTAAAAACAATCTAGCAATGATAAGGTGCCAGTATGTATTCACAAATCCAGACCAAACCTGTATCAAATGTTAGTAACTCATATCAAATTAATATCACACAATTTGGAAAACCGATAAGTTTAAACAAACTCACCACTAACTAATGGTTGCTGCTCATAACCTGATCAGGTGGAATACACATACACAAGTAACTGCAGAAATAGCACAAGTCCAAAAAATGGTCCATTTCCTTCCTAAGTGTCGATTCCAAAAGTCTGTAGTCCAGGCACCAACGACCGAAGCAAATAAATACGGAGCTCCATTCACAAGTCCCTCCATCAAATCATAATTTTCTGGAAATTTTCTATGGTTAAGAGGTTAGTAAAACTATATTTTGAAAAACTAAATGTTGTAATATTTGCAATCAAACTATTTGCGTTCACATACTCTTTTAATCTAAAAGCGGTAGGATAGAATAATGTAGCACCATTTATAACACTTTCGTCCATTCCTTGAACTGCAGCAGCCCTGAAAGTAGTTAGTAATCAAATTCAAGTTATATTTGAAACTATCAACATACATAGCACCAGCAGCAATAACTGCAAACAATTTTTTAGGAAGATGCCATTTTTTAGTTTGTTCTAAATATAATCCTTGTTTTTCTTCATCAGTTAAAAATGGCATTGAATTATAAGAATTTGGAGCTCTTGCTAAAGCTGCACCTTTAGCAAATATTTCAGGATCTAAACCATATTTTAAAGCATAATTTCTACCCATAACCATAACTTGTTTTTCAGTATATTGAGATAAAATATTTCCATGTTCACCATCTGCTCTCTCTGATTCTGATACATGTGATGAATTATCTGGTAAAAGATCTTTTTTAAATGATGATTGAGAAGATGAATTATTTTTAAATAATCCAGATTCTGGATCTTGAGTTGTTGGTTTTTCTTCAAAACTCATTTTTAGTTTTTGATAGTTAGAAAAATTTGTTAATAAAAAAATTAGAAGATATTGTTTTGATTTTATATTGGGGAATTTTAAAACAATAACAAATGATCGAGTGTTAAAATAGATTAATTAATATGTAAGTCATGTAAAAATTTTTACACTTGATTGTTTCAATTTTAAGTTTGAAAAATTTATGACAATATCGTTAAAGTTTTTTGAAACTTAAAGATGATCTTTTATGGTGGCTCAAATGGGATACCATATTATGGGGTAGATGTACATAAAGTTTGTACTATCCTTTGTTCTGGTGTTGAGAAGTTGTTTTTGATATTTGTTTGAATTATGAAAATATACATGATAAAAATTAAATCAATCTTATGATTGCTTTTATTAAAGTTTTTTTTTGTGGCATAATATCCCCACCTTTCCTAACCAGCTTCAAAAAAAGTTTAAATTAATGAATAAATTATACGCATATTTGATGGTACATTGGTAATTAGTAATGAATCTTGGAATTTTCAGAGGAGATAAATAGGGAGTTAGTCTATACAAGTTTTAATCTTTATCTTTCTCCAATTACAGAACACTTTTTCCAGAATCTATCTTTTCAAAATTCGTGGAAGAATTTTACGATTTGACACAAAAAAGAAAGTTTAATTAAGTAATTCTTCCGATTCTTAATATTAATAGAATCTTGACAATCTAGACACAAAAATTAATATTCTTCTAGCCAGTTAATTTTAGCCTTTCAATTAATGTAACCTATTTATTCGTTTTTAATGACTTGGTTTGAAGTAATTCATTGACGTATATGACGTTTTTTAAAGTTTGTTCGAGTTTATATTTGAATCTACGGCCGAATTACTACTTAATTTAATACGTGGGGTAAATTCATCTTATTTTGGATAAAGATAATGAAGTATGATTCTTCCGATTTACAATTCGTACGTTTGTTTTAGTGAAAAAGTTTGAGACAATTAATAGGTCCTTGGCAAAACTGAGTGAAAAATTCCCAAATGTCAGACTACTCAAAGATTCTGTAAAAAATAGATTAATCAAAGATAAATTAATCAAAGCAGACTATTCACCGAATTTGTAAGTTCATTCATACTTTGAACTCCGTGAAAAACGCGAAATTATTTTTAGGTTTGATGTTCTCGGTTAATCCCAAAGTAGTAATTTTTTGCGGCTTGTCCAATAAGTGGAGATCTCAAAATATTTACAATTTACGAATCAATTTAAATTTTTAAAAAAAAAGATACAACTTTATCACCACCAAAGATGTCTAAAGCACCTTTATCTACCCTTGGATCACTCAATGCTGAGTACCTCACATATTTAGTGAAATATCCATTATTAACAAAATCAATTACTTCTGGAATTCTTAGTGGATTAAATGAAACCATATCATCAGCAATAACCAATGAATATCAAGAATCAAAAATTTTAGGATTTAAAGTGAAACATGTTTTTAGTCCAAAATTGATTAATATGATTATTTATGGTGCTTTAATTTCAACTCCAATTAGTCATAATTTATATGCAATAATTAATAAAATTTTCACACCTCCATTAACTTCAAAAGGTAAAATTTTAAGATTATTAACAAGTTTATTTACAGTAACTCCAATAATAACTGGATGTTTTGTAAGTTGGATTGCAATTATAAATAATTATAAACCAAATTTAAAAAGTTTTAATCCAATTAATGAAATTTTTAGAATTTATAAAATTATCGTTGGTGGTTTGAAAAAGGGGTATTTAACAACATTAAAAACATCTTTAACTGTTTCATTTGTATCTTTAATTGTAGCTAATAATTATATACAACCAGAACTTTGGGTAGTTTTCTTTAATGTTGTTTATTTTGTTTTAGGGACCTATCAAAATACTAAACTTAAAAGATTACAAAAACAACAAAGATTAAGTAAGTAGTGCATAGAATATATAAAAACAACTCTTTTATAAATTTATATAAGATTTTAGTAACCAACAATGTTAAGAACTTCAATTGCATCTATTACAACTAAGCGAACTATGATAACAGCTCATGCTGTATTATACACACAACATGGAGAACCTAAAGATGTTTTATTCACTCAAAAATATGAAATAGATGATGATAATTTAGATTCAAATTCTATACTTGTTAAAACAATTGCTTCACCAATAAATCCATCAGATATAAATCAAATTCAAGGAGTTTATCCAAGTAAACCAGAAAAGACATTAAATTATCAAACATCAGAACCAGCAGCTCCATGTGGAAATGAAGGTTTATTTAAAGTTATAAAAATTGGCTCTCAAGTTCAAAATTTTCAACCAGGTGATTGGGTAATTCCAAGTCAAGTTAATTTTGGAACTTGGAGAACTCATGCTTTAGGAAATTCAAAAGATTTTATTAAAATAAGTAATAAACTTACAATTAATCAAGGTGCAACAATATCAGTAAACCCTTTAACTGCTTATTTAATGTTAACTCACTATATAAAATTAAATCCTCAAGATTGGTTTATTCAAAATGGTGGTACATCAGCAGTTGGTAAATATGCAATTCAAATTGGGAAACTTTTGGGGGTTAATTCAATCTCAGTTATTAGAGATAGACCAAATTTAGAAGAAGTTAAAGAAACTTTAAAAACACTTGGAGCTACAAAAGTTATAACAGAAGAAGAAAATAATTCAAAAGAATTTGGTTCAAATATAAAACAATGGGTTAAAGAAACTAATGGTGATATCAAATTAGCTTTAAATTGTGTTGGTGGGAAATCAAGTTCAGGTATTGCTAGAAAACTTGGTCCAAATGGTTTAATGTTAACTTATGGAGGTATGTCAATGCAACCAGTAACTATACCAACATCATTATATATTTTTAAAAATTTCACAAGTGCTGGATTTTGGGTTACTGAATTATTGAAAAATAATAAAGAATTAAAAACAAAAACATTAAATCAAATTATTGATTGGTATGAAAAGGGAGAACTTAAAGATGCTCCAAGTAAGGATTTAGAATATGATGGTAATGAAGAGTTGTCAAAGGTTTATATAGAAGGAATTGCTGATAAATCCGGTAAACAATTAGTTAATTATAAATGATCAAATATGAACAATTAAAACTGTACATTTCTTGTGTATTTTGAATTACTGACAAATAAAATGCTTCATAACTTTATCAATCTTAAAAATATGTTCTAGAAAATAGTTTCATTGTAATCTAAAGGTAAAACCTATTAAGAATTTCAAAAATAACTATTTTTATCATCTTTCCATATTTTACCAAAAATTGTCTAGTTCATTTAAATTTTGCACCAATTTTGTTAGCGATTTTCACCAAGAAGAGCAATTTCTCAAGTTTAATCAAAATTTGTTGAAAAAACTATCATCTTACTTTCTCAGTTTAGGTGATTAATGAGAGAAGCTTTACTTTCCTCTTTGAGTGATATTGAGTTCCACAGAATGAGATTAATATGAAAATCAAGTACTTTTGATAGTTACACAAAATTGAAGCCAACGATATAGATTTTTGTTTACAAGATTGATAATTTCAACGAATGCTACCAACTACATAAATGCGCAAAACTCCAGATAGCGCAAAACCTCAGATAGCGCAAAACCTCAGATAGCGCAAAACCTATGTGTGGCTTATAATTTCATCTTGAAATTATAAACCTGAAAACAGAAATTACTGTATCACAAGTATTAATCAAATGCTGTTATCCAGAAATATTTTAATTATAATGATCACAATGATCACTTTAAGTTCAGCTTTTGCTGTTTTCAATAGGAATACAGCTGATGTTCAAGATGATTTAGTTGATAAAGACTTGATCCAAATACATTAATTGTTGGTGCATGTTGTATTATCGGTGGTTTTGCTTGCATTATTAAAAGTTGTACCAGAGATGTCAGGAATACTAATACTGTAGATCTTATTAATCATGAATAATTTGGAGGTGAACTTCAACAACATTTTGTATTGGTTGTCTAAGATCCAGGTAATAACTGTCTTCCATCTTGGTTTTCAAATTGGAAAATTAATCTTGATGATGTTACATATGAACTTTGGTTTTGATTATGCTACATATGAAGAGATTGGACTATCCAAGCATCATTATATAATTTTAGAAAATTTACTAGTGCTGGATTTTGGGTTATTGAATCATTGAAAAATATTAAAGAATTAAAGCAAATAACATTGAATCAAGTTATTGATTGGCATTAAAAGGGAGAACTTAAAGTTGCAACAAGTGAGGAACTAAGATTAGTGAAGAACTATCCAAGGTTCATACAAACGGTATTAATGATAATTATGGTAAACAATTAGTCAATGATAATTGAGATAATTTACAAGCTTTGAACACAAGACAGAATTTAGTAACCATGGTGCAATGACCTCTAAATATTACAAACGGTATAAATGATAATTCTGGTAAACAATTTGTCAATGATAATTGAGGTTATTTGCAAGCTTAAGACACAAGACAGAATTTAGTAACCATGAGTGCAATGACCTACTTTTATGAGGTATATACAATTTTATTCACACTATTTTCTGTTCTCTAGCTTAATTAAATGTTGAAATCGTTTTGATCTTCAAATATCATGTTTCCCTAATATCTAAAATTAGTGAAATGAATAAATGTAAAACTCATGGAGTTTCTTCAATCCAACTGATAATCTAACTTTTAAAATTTCGATTGTTTTTGTAAGTTTTGTAATAAAGAGAAATTTACCCAAATAAAATAAGTACAAACGAGATGAAAATTGTCTTATAAATCAATGTGCTGGTTGATAGTTTTAAAAAAGTAGAGAAGGAAAATGGGAGGTAGATCGATTTGTAGTCAACAAAATCTCAAATTGCTTTTCCTAATTCAATACTGTACATTTTTTGACTTGTCCATTAATGCATAAATTTTGAAACATATTTAAATTAAAATCACCTGGCTATTAATTGTTTTCAAGCCTTTTTCAAGAAATCAACTATGAGATAACAAACGTTATCTTTAGAGATCACTTGTAAAGATATCTATCTATGCAAAGTCATTGACCTCTTACTCGTAGTATGAACGTATTGATAAGAAATCCAAGTCGAACGGAATGGATTGATTCCATTGAATCTTCTTTTGCAACCACTCGCCACTCAAAAAACATCCGTACCACAATAGCATCCACCCTTATATTATATGAGCGGTCAAATTGAAGTTGGCGAATAAAGAAAATGATGGTCTATTTTGAGAAAAATAATATTTCGTCAAAATTTATAATTTAAAGTTTTTAGTAAATTACAAAAACTCAAACGTTTAAAGGTTAACTTTATTTTCAAGTTTAAAGTTGGGGTATAATGAACAAATTTGATTATCTTATAGACATTATAAAATGGAAAATAATCACTTTTGAGCATGTATGGAGCACTTGCTTTCCTCAAAACAAGTGGGAAAGTTCACTATTACCAGTTGAATTAGTTCCATATAAATTTATCTAAGTAAGTTTAAAATGATAATTTTATAAAAGAAGAAAATCTTTGAAAGTAAAATTAAATTATGCAATGGTCCTTAATCTGTCAAATGCTAAACCTTAATTAAGATTTTTCGTTCATACGCATTTTGTTTAAATTTGTTTTTTCTTTCTTTCATCATTGACTCAAAGTGTGATTAAGTCTGTCTTGTTATGTAAATTTATTCATAGTTTAGATTTAAACAATAAAAGTAGTGGTCCTAGAAGTGGTTATATGAAAGTAATACAATCACGATAATTTAACGCCACCATTGAGATAAATAATATTTATAGATTAAAACTTTAAATATAAAAGCTTAAATAAATAAATGTATAAATTCTTATCTAGTCTATATATTATGTGTTGCAAAGTAATAAATTTTTTATCACAGTTAGTTTTAAAGTTTTTATTTATAAATTAAGATTTTGTGTAAAACAACTAAATGCTATACAAAAAAATAATGATATATATTCTCTTACTTTTGAACCCACATCTATAAATGTTTTTGAACCTTTTGAAAGACTTAGAATCAGTGTCATTAATTAAAGCAGAAGTTGAAAGAAAGTGTTTTGCGATAAATTGTAAAAACAAGAGAAAAATTGGTTTAGTGAATAAATTATTAGCCTAAGAAAAAAATCAAAAGAAAGCTACCAAAATGTGTTTCATATTTAAAATAATATTATTTATGCATCACATCACAACATTAAATGATTATCTATCATCATATTATCTAATTGGGAAAAAATAATGCTGGTACAAATTACGTGTTTTTTTCAATAAACTAAATTAATGAGAATCAGATTCATCTTTTATTGGTCTCTCAAGATTAAACACTTTATTGAACAGTGACATTGTAAGTTGTTCGAAGAAACTCTGTAGAAGGAGAGTCTATTCAAAGAAATACTTCTCATCAGATTTATTGAAATTAAGAACTAACAATGAATATTATACCAACAAATTCAACAAATTTATTTTATTAACTTATGCATATTCACATATTAATTTTAAATCTTTAAAACAATCTATAGACTTAATTTTTAATTTATTAAATAAAATAAAATTGTATATTATTACAAATATATGTAATTTATCTTTCAATAAATTTCAAACTTAACCAAAATAATCAATCTAATCTATAAGAAATTTATCTACATCATCAATATTCATCTTTATTACAATTTCACGTACAAATCACTACTTAATCAACAATGGATCAAAGTAAAAAAGGTGATCCAAACGATTGGATTGAAATCCCTAAATCCAAGTATTCAAAAAATTCAAACAATTCAAGTACTTCTGAAAATGATAAAAATTCAAATCAAGCTGGTATGGAAGGTTTTAAATCAAACCCTTATGTATTATTAACTATTCCTGATGATAATGAAAATTCAGATAAAGAAGATAAAGAAGAAACTACATCAAATTCAACTTTAGGTCCAAAATTCAATGACGAGATTGAAGTTAATGTTTCGGATATAACTTCATTGGGTATTAATAAAGACATCAAGAAGAAGTTACCTACTAGTGGTTTAGTAATGAATGTTAATTCAAATGGTAAATCAAAATTAAATGAAAAAGCATTAGAAAGAAGTATCATTTCAATTGATCAAGATATACTTTCACCAAATGATATCACTTCCAAATCATCAACAAATTTAATTGCAGCAAAAATAGATAAACCTATTGGATATGAAAATTCATCAACATCATCATCATCATCAACCAACTTTGGTAATCATCAGAAAAGAAAATTTAATGAAGAAACCCCCGCCATCAACAATATTAAAAAACAAAAAAGACCACCAAAAAACAGAATGCTTTTAAGAGATCCAATAGGATCATTTTTTGGAGTAAATAATAATAACAATTTTGATTTAAAACCTGATGAACATCCACCTACTGAACATCCACCTGCTGAACATCCACCTGCTGAAGATCCACCTGCTGAATCTTATATTCAACCAACTAATGCTTCTGATGTTATACCATTGATCATTAATTCAGATACTACTAAAACAGAAGTATTTGCTCAAGCATCAGCTTTGAAAGAATTATCCAGACAGCAAGAAATATTATATAAAAGTGAAATTTCAAATGAATTAAATGATATTCATCATGTGACCAAAAATTTAGTTAATAAAAAAAATACTTTTGATTTAACAAAAATGGTAAAAGGTTATGATTATTGTTTTTTGTCTGAATTAAATCATGATAGTAACTTATTATTCAAAAGATTAAAATCTTATAATCATGTGGTTGGATCATTAGCAAGTCGTTCTGGTATATTAATAAAGGAATCAAAAAAATTAAAAGTAATAGAATCATTAAAAATCAATAAACAACTTCCTGAAATTTACAGAATTAGAACAGCTGATTGTCTTATAGAAGTTGAAGGTAAACAAATTCTTTTGATATCTATTTATGGGGTTCTGGGACATCCTTATGAAACTAAAGATATAATAAAATCAATTTATGAAAAATCTATTATCACTTATGACCAATCTACTACTATTCATTTTTCAGGAGATTTTAATTTTTCGATGCATATTCCTAAGGAAAATGACTATGATAAAGAATGTCGTGAAGAATTTAGAAAATTAATAAATTATTACAATGCTGTTGATTCATTAGGTCATCATGATAAATGTTATGCAACTTTTATCTCATCCAGGTCAATAAGAGCTATTGATTATGATTATAAGTCAAAACAATTGAATAATTGGTCAACTAAAATTAGATTATTTCATGATAACTTCAGTGATCATTTGTCTCTTGAAGGGTCATATAACACATCATTATCAACACAACCATCATTGAAGTTATTAAAGGAAAGTGATTTTAAATTTATTCAAAATGAATATTCCAAACTTAAACCTGCTTTTTCATATGTTTTTGCTGTTGATAAACTTCAGGAAATTGTTTCCGAAGCTGCAACTGAATTCGAAGAAGATGGTGTAGATGGTGATATCATGAGATTAATAGATAATGGAGAATTGCCAACGATGGCTATCGAAGACTATTTACAACCTCGAAATATAGGACCTTGGTCAAACTCAGAAAATGAGCTTTTGATAAAATTGATTAAAGTTTTTGGTGGGAATCTTTCAGCAGTTGCAATGTTTTTTCCAGCTAGAAAGTATTGGCAAATAAAAGATCACTATTTCAACGTTGCTGATAAGACTATCAAAAAAGGTCTGTTAACACCAAGTGAAAAAGAAGAAATTGTTAATCTTAGAAATCAAAAAAAATCGTACTTGGAAATTGGAATTATGATAAAAAGAGGTCCGGAATTGGTAGAAAGATATTTAATGAGAGAAAAAGAAAAAGCCGAAGGATATAAAACAAATGATTATAGCATAGAAGAAACTGATCAACTTTTGAAATTGGTGAACGATGGTATGAAATTAGGTCAAATTTCAAAAATTTTAAAAAGAAGCCGAAGAAATTTATATTTGAAGCTCAGACGTTTGAATTACTACACGGAGTTAAACATCGATGAAAAAAGTCAAATAGAAGAAATGTTAAGATCTAACATTAGTCATGGAATGATTGCTGCTAAACTTCACAGAAATAGATTATTCATCATGCAATATATAAATAGTATTGAAAGAGAAAAATTTGTTCAATCTATAAATGAAAGGTTTTTTGAAGTTGATCGAGAAGCTTTTAGTAGAGAATATCAAAAAGAAGAATTAGAAATCATTTTTAATAAACTGGATGATGAAGGTTTTCCTGCTATTGCTCAGAAATTATTGATTGCTGGTTATTACAGAACAATTGACTGTATTAGAAAAAAACATGCTTTACTAATGGAACAAAAAAAGCAACATGAACAAAAACTTGAAAGAGGTGAAATTGACGATGAATTTGTGCTCAAATTTAAATCAAGAACTGAAGGATGGTCTGGTGCAGAAGAACAAAAATTGAACGACTTAGTTGCTAAATATGGTAGAAGATTTCCTTTTTTTGCAGAAAATTATTTTCCAAATAGATCTGCTCAATCCCTTCAACATCACTATAATTATGTTAATCCCAGTAAATACTTAGTTGAATATCAAGGAAAATTTCAAATTATAAATGAAAAAACATATCAAAAAGGGTTGCTGGACTCAAAACAATTTACATTTCAAGCTAGAATTCCAAAAGAAAAATCACCTGAAGTAAAAAATGTTTATGATAATGATGATTTATATGAAGAACAAGAAGATTTTTTTGAAGATGATGAAATTGAAGATTCAGGAGATGATGAAGTTGACGGTGAAAATTCTGAGTTACCTTTTGTTGTAAAAACTACCAAAGCCTATACTAAGGAGGAAAATCTTAGACTTTTGGCAATAGGTGATGTTTTTAAAAGATGGTTTATTATTAGATCGTGGGGGTTGTTTCCAGGTAGAAGCGCCCTTAATTTAAGTGTTCAGTATTGTAAACTAAAAAAATATGATGAAAAATCATTAAACTCATATTTGAACGAGCCTGGTCATAATCAAAATGAATATAATTGGACAACTGAGCGTCAGAATTTTCTCATAGATAAAAGAGATGAAGGATTAAAATGGGATGATATTGTCAAACTTAATGAATTTTCTGGCTCAAATTCGAGATATTTGCAAAGTTATTATTATCAACTAAATGTTGTCCAATATTTGGTTGAAGAAAATGAATATGGGAATTTTTCCATTAAATCTAAAAGATATGTTGAAATTAGTACCAATCAAAATATGATTCAACCAATTGAATTGCCGAAAAAGTATGAAACCAGAGTAATCGAACCCGAAGACTACAATCCATTAATTGATTCATTCACAGTTGAAGACAATGATAGATTAAAGAAATTGTATAAAGTGATGAAAGATTTTAGTATTATTCAGCAGGTATTCAATTATCCAATTAAAGAGTTAAAGTCACACTGGTCAAGAATCAATGAAAAACTAGATCAGGTAGTTGAATATGATAATTCAACTTTTGAATTTTGTTCTAAATCAAGCTTACATGATATTGATAAAAGTGAAAAAGATGCTAAAGCAAACAAAATTCCCATTTTAAATTCTATTTCGAAGACATTCGATTTAAGTGGTAATAATGTTGAAGCTACGGCAGATCAGAAAAGTGATTTCACATGGGACCCTGATAACGAAAGAAGACTAGTAAATTTGGCAAAAGCAATGGATGTGGCTTTACCTAAAAGAAATTGGTTTGCCATAGCTCACAAAACTACGTTTTTTCCTGGTAAGTCAAATATGGATCTCTTCAATCAGCTTAATTACATTAAAAAAAGAAAATAAAGGAAAAATTCTACTTTAATGTTTATATTCATCATATAAGAATCTAATACTATATCGAGTTCAGAATACAAGATCTATACTATGAATTTTTTAACTCTATCTACTCTCGCAGTAAAAACAATTTCCTTCAAATTGATTAAATTAAGCAAATTTGTATAAGCTAACGAGATCCCCGATATTGAACAATTTGAATAAAAATCCTACAAAATGATGGAATGTATGCAAAAAATACTCAAATTTAGTCTTGCTCAGGATAAGCTATATTAGATGTGTCAAACACTTTGTTTAAACTATGAATTATATTTATACAACTAACAATCACCTTAAAAAATCTCTTAAATATGAACCTAATTTATTAGCACCATCTTCTAAAGCATCTTTTAAAACTTCTATATCTTGATTTGCATTACCTGAAAATCTTGAAGCAAATTCTCTTGCACTTGCTTCTAAATCATTTAAATTTATACCTTGTTGAGATCTTGAATTATTATTATTTTGTCCTTCTTCTTCTCCAAAATATGATGATGATGATATTGATTGAGCTCCTCCAAATGATTGTAATTTAGTTTGAGCTTCTTGTTTTGCTTGTTCATCAAATCTTGGACCTCTTCCAAAAAATTCATCTGATGATATACCTTTTTGTTGACCAAATTTATTTGAAACTTCACCAGTATATTTAATTTCTTTAATGTTTTTAGTGGTAGTTGTTGTGTTATCTCCTTGAGTCATACCAAATCCTAATTTTTGAAATTGTTGAGGAAGAGAAGGAGGTGTTTGAGTGGTGGGATTGTTTGCTTGTTTAGTTGTGATAGGTATCTTTATTTCTTCTTCCTCTTCAACTTCTGGAGTATATCCCAACTTCTTTCGTTCTTCTTCTTCTTCTTTTGCTTTTCTTTCAATTTCATCAAAATCAATAGTTTCTTCATTTTTAATTCTTTTTGAAGCTAATCTTGAATTTCTAGGACCATTTCCTTTACTTGATAAAATTGATTTTTTGACTGTTGGAGTAGTCTTTTTAGTAGTTCTTGTAATTGGTTGTTTCTTTTTAATTGATAAATCATCAGTTGATGCATTTGGAGTACCTCCAATTGAACCAAAAGGAGATGGAGTAGCAACAACTGGTTTTGTCCAATTTGAAAAAAAATCATCTGAACTATCATTTGAAGAATTTATTGAACTTATTTCATTTATATCATCTAATGTCACTATATCTGGATTCTTAATAGCATCTTGTAATGATTTTTGTTTTAATTTTTCTTTATATTTATTTGCAACTGATGAAGTATATTTATTAGTTGCATCTATACCTTGTTGTATATATTGTGATCCACCATTTTTCATAAAAAAATCTTTAGCTTGTTGATTACCTCCAAATTTGAAATTTCTTAATTGAATACGTTGCCATGAATCTAGGTTTGATGATTTTACAAATGATACATGAACTCCTAAATTTCTATGAACTGATGAACATTGTAAACATAAAAATATTCCAAAGGGAATCGAAGTCCATGTAGGATTTTTATTTGAACAATCAAAGCATACTTGATTCGCAGGATCTTTCTTTAGTTTATCAAAGATTTTAGCAGCTTCTTCTTTTGAAGCTATCGAATCAGACATTTGGTGGTGTTGGTGTTGGTGTTGGTGATTGTCGAAAGAGAAAAAAAAAAGTGAAATTTCAACACGTAAATATATATACATTATTCTAATGAAATGGTCTTGAACCACCACGAGCAAATTCAACAATTTTCCAACCTTCAGTTGTTGGATTATCAAATTCTTCAGGTATTCTAGTTAATACCATAGCATAAGTACTTAATTGAATATGATCTTCAGTACCTGCAGCAATTTCATTAGTTTTAGCTTTTCTATATAAATGGATTTCTTGAGCTCTACAACTAACAACAACTACTGGTATATCATTTGGTTGAAGTGATTTACAAGTTACAATATCAACTCCTCGAATATCTAAAATCCTACTATCTGAATATAATCCTTGTTGAATAAATTGTTTATTATTTGCTTCCCAAACATTATAAGGAGCTTCACTAAACCATTCTTTTAAAATTTTTGATTCATTTTTAATATATGCATCAATAACTTCTGGAACAATATAATTTGTTAAAGTTTTTTGAAAATCTGTTAATTTAAAAGATGGATCCATATATTTTAATTGTTTAACAACTTTTGCTTGTTCAGTTTCTGAAAAAAATCCTGTAATTTTTTCTATTATTGTACGTATTACACTTATTAATCCATTTTCTGATTCATCCCATTTTTCCTTTAGGTATACAATCGCTTTACCAATTGATGATTTTTGTTTAAAATTTTCCCATTTTTCTCCAGTTGTTGGACCTGAAGATTTATGTTCAGTTGCTATAATTTCTCCACCTGCTTCTTCATTTTCTTTAACTGGTCCTTTATATCCTTCTTTTAATTTTTTAGCTAATTCTTTTGCTCTTAATGCTTGTCTTTGTTCTTTTGTTAAAAATCCTCCATATGCATTAGAAGATCCATCATCTATAACTTCTGAAACATCTTTATATATTTGAGTTTGTCTTACTGGATCAAAAGCTCTATCAGCAACTTCTGCACTTGTTTTAACAGTTGTTCTTACACCTTTACCAACAGGTGATTCCCATGCTTTATAAGCTACATCACCCATTGCATCTGCAGTTTTTTTAACAACTACACCTGCAGCACTTCTTCCCTTTTGAGCTTTTGCATATGCTTCTTTAGCTCTTTTAAAAGCTTCTGATTCTGCCATTCTTCCAGATTCATCTTGTAATGCTTTTATATTTTCTTTTAATTCTGCTGATTTTTGAACTTCTTGTTTGAAAGTGTCGAGAAATACTTTTAATGGTGATGACGGTGGTTTATTTAAATTAGTAGGGGAGAAGTGAAATGAACGAAGCAGTTGCCTCTGTATCGATGATCTTAGCATGACTATGTACAAGTACTGTTAGAGTGAAAAATTTATTTTGTACATTTTTTTCTCTATAAATATAAACCTTCGAGATTTTCTTCAACTTTATTTTTCAATACTCTTTCTTTTGCTTGTTTAAAATCATCAGCTTTTACTTGCATACGTCTTTCTCTTAAAGCTAATAAACCAGCTTCAGTACATATTGCCTTTATATCAGCTCCTGATAAATCATCTTTACCTGTTACAATTTCATCTAAATTAACATCTTCAGCTAAACTCATTTTTGAAGTATGAATAGTTAAAATTTTCTTTTTAGTATTTGAATCTGGATTTTCAAATAATATTTTACGATCAATTCTACCTGGCCTTATTAAAGCAGGATCAAGACTTTCAATTTTATTTGTTGCCATTATAACTTTTATATCACCTCTATCATCAAATCCATCTAATTGATTTAATAATTCCAACATTGTTCTTTGAATTTCTCTTTCACCACCTGAAGTTGATTCATATCTTTTTGTACCAATTGCATCAATTTCATCAATAAATACTATTGATGGTGCATGTTCTGCTGCAATTTGAAAAATTTGTCGACATAATCTTGGACCATCACCAAGATATTTTTGAATTAATTCTGAACCAACTATTCTTAAAAATGTTGCAGAAGTTGAATTTGCAACAGCTTTTGCTAATAATGTTTTTCCTGTACCTGGAGCACCATATAATATAACACCCTTTGGAGGTTTTATACCCATTTCTTCATATAATTCTGGATGAGTTAAAGGTAATTCAACTGATTCTTTAATTTCTTGTATTTGAGATTCTAATCCACCAATATCAGCATATGATTCTGTTGGAGATTTATCAAGTTTCATAACTGAAACCATTGGATCTGCATCATCTTGTAATACACCAACAACTGCAACAGTTTTATGATGTAGTAATACTGAACAACCTGGTTCTAATAATCCTTTATCAACAAATGACATAATAGGTACATAATATTCTGAACTTGCTGTACTTGAAACAATTGCATGATCATCATCAATAATTTCTTCTAATGTACCAATTGCCATTGGATATCCTCTTAATTCATCAATTTTTTCTCTTTCTTCTGCTTGTCTTGCTTCAGTTGGTTGAAAAGCTTCTTGATTAAAAACTAATTCTTCTTCTAATAAAAGATGATCTTTAATTCTTTCTAATTTTAATAATTTTAATTTACAACGAGTATTTGGATAAACATTTGGTAATTTTACTGCAGTATCAGGACCTTTTCTTCTTTTTTTACCAAATTTAGTTTCAACTGGTGGTTCATATTTAGGTTTTTCCTTTTTTTTATCATCTTTCTTTTTGTTGAGATTATTGCCTCCAGGCATAGAAGATCCTTGTCCCATAATAAGGTGAAAAAAACTGCTTTAAACTTTAATTAATAAGATTTGACTCCAAAATGTAAATGATACTAATGTCTGTTCTGATTTGCTTTTGCAGTCGGTGGCACTTTTGTTGAGTTTGTTGCAACTAAAAAAAAAAAAATAAAATCTCTAAGATCAACTTTATAAACAAACTGTACGATTATTCAAGACATGTCTAATATTCATAGTCTACAAAATAAATCTTTCTCTTCATTAAATAGAAAGAGTTCATCAAGTGTTAAATATGGGATACAACCAAAAGATCATCTAACAGAAAGTTATGAATCAAGTTTTAAACCTTTAACAAGAGGTATAATAGTAAATATAGAAGATTCGGTTAAAAAATCAACAACCACCAGAGAAAGATTACAATCTTTAGATTCAAAAAGAATATTAATAGAAGAAGAAGAACCAAATAAAGTAGAAGATTGTGAAGGAAATCTTATACATTCAAAAGAAGCTGGACTTTTTGATATTAAAGTATTTCAAAAATTAAAATCATTTCAACTTCCAAATGATCAAATACGTAAAAATGGTAAAAAAGCATATTCTTTAACTATATCAAAAAATGGAATATATTTAGCAATTGGAGAACAAAAATCTAAATTTGGGAATTTTGAATTTAAACCTTTAGATGGATCTATTGTTAATCTTGAAACTCAATTAAGAGAATTTTCATTTGCAGAAGATAAATTTATATTACAATTAAAAAATGGTGAATTTATTATAGCTAGTCATTATGGTAGAGATGATGAAATTAGATCATATTTTAAAAAATATCCCAATCCAAAGATTAAAGAAGATAAATTATTAACAAAAGAAGGAGAAACAAAATTAATAAATTATAAATTTAATGATCCTTTGAAAACAGCGGGGACAAGAGCTGCTACAAGAAGTTCATTAAGAATTGCCACAGCAGCAGCCTTAAAAGAAAATCCACTTGAAGAACCCGACAAGTCTATAATAGATATAGATGAGGTTTTTTTTTCGGGTAATGATTATGTTGAACATACTCCAATTCCTAATTTCAAACCTCCATTACGTTATATTTTTCAAAATGGATATAAAATTACAGTTACACAAGAAGATTTCAAATCACTACATCGAAATAATTGGATAAATGATGTTGCAATGGATTTTGGTCTACGATATATTGTTGATGATGCGGTAAATCAAAATATTATAAAATCAGATGAAACTTATGTTTTCAATTCATTTTTTTATTCAAAATTAGTAGCTAAAAATGAAAATCCTATAAATTATTATCAAAATATTAAAAAATGGGTTAATAAAATAGATTTATTAAAATATAGATATGTTATATTACCTGTTAATGAAGATTATCATTGGTATTGTTGTATAATTAGAAATCTTCCAGATTTATTAAGTTCAGATGAAGATATAGAAGAAATTGATCCAATAACTAAAAAAATAAGAGGAGTTGTTGAAATATTTGTTTTTGATTCATTAAAAGGTAAAAGAGATAATGTTAAAACTCCTTTAAAAAAATTTATAATAGATTATTGTAAAGATAAATATGACATTGAAGTTACTTCAACTTGTATTTCAGTTGTAAACGCAAGAGTTCCTCGACAAAATAATTTTAATGATTGTGGAATTCATGTTTTATATAATATTAAAAAATGGATTAAAAATATGACACAATGTGAATCAAATTGGAGAAAATTTCAAGTAGCAGTTATGAAATCAATATTTTCAGGAGAAGAAAGAAGTAAAGAAAGAACTTATTGGATTAATATTTTAATAAAATTACATTCAGAACAAGATCTTCAACCAGAAGAACTTTTAGAAGATGATGAAGATGTGGTTGAGATTGTAATGGAACCAAGATTAATTGATGATATTTCAGCAGGTCTGGAAGAGAATCAAATAGATGCAAATGGTTCAGATTCACAAGAGAAAGAACAAAACATTGAAGTTGTAAATTCACAAGATAAAGAACAAAAGATTGAGGTTATAAACTCACAAGATAAAGAACAAACAATTACACAAGAAAAAGAAGAGCAAAGTCAAGATTCTTATCAATCTGTTCATCTGCAATCTCAAAATAAAATAAATAATGAAGCTTTACAAAATTATTTAAAATCTTATGATTTACTGGATGAAATTTGTAATTTATTAAATAAATATTTTGATAAAGATTCTGATATCACAAGAGTTAAAAGTAATTTAATTAAACATCAAATTGATAAATTAAAATCAGATGATTCAATAACTAAATTTGAATTATTTTTATCAACATATCATAATGAAACTGTTGTAAATGGTGTTAAAAATATAAGCATCAATGAAACAAAAGAAGATATAAGACCAAAATTAAAATGTGTTGAAAAATTAAATGAAAAATTATCTTCAAAACCAAAAGGTCAATTTGCAAAATATTTTCATTCAAAAAAGGAACCTGATTTTGAAATTGAAAGTGATGATTTGGAGAAGATTACACCAGTTAAAAGAATTGATGCACCCTATTCAGGAATAGCTAAAAGTGCTTTAGGTTTAACTACAAATATCGATAATGATACCTTCAAATCACAAAAGAAAGATGCAAGAAAATTAATTGAAGAAATGGAACCTCAAAAAAGATCTAGGTATAGGTAAGTAGCATTTATAATATAGCATTCTTTAGATAACATATATGTCACGTGACCTCGTATTTATATCCGTTCATATCCATAAACTTACTTTAAACAATATCAAATAAGTACATTACCTACTACAATCAATTCCAATGTCTTCTCCACCATTACCTGCCAGACCTCAACTTAATGAGAAGTCAGGAAGTGATAGCTCAAACCGATCACTTCCAGAAATTCCACAAACTAAAATAATTTTTGAACCAACAGATAATTTATCATTTATATCAATTGTTAAACAATTGGAGCGATATGAAATTAATGAAACAAATGAATATATTCGTATTGAAAAACATAATAGGTTCAATAAGTTGTCAATTGATAATGAATTTTGGAATAAATATATATTAGATTATTCAAATGAAATTATACGTAGAAGAGAAATTGATTTATTAGAAAATGAAATAATAAAAGGAATTCCTGAATCAATTAGATCAATAATATGTTTAAAGACATTAAATATTAACTACAGTTTCATCAATGATCACGCCCTTGATGATTTGAAAATAAAATCAAGTCGATATAATGGAGAAGTTTCAACTCTTGTCAAAACAAGAAATGGTAAAGAAATTTTACTGATTTTTTATTCAATGTTTCAAGATAATGAATTAAAAGATTGTGGAAGTTTTTTAGGAAATATTACAGATTTAATAATTGATATACCTGGATTATCTACTGAAGAACAAATTTACATATTGTTTAAAATTTATAATATATATCGATTTGAAAAAAAAGATGATTTAATTTATAAAATTAATCGATCATTAGAAGATAATTTGAGTAGTTTTAATCATATTGCAAGTCAGGGGATAAATTGGTCAACTTACTATAAAAGTGTATTACCAAAATTTTTTGCACTTGATACTGAAACAAGTTTAATTATTTTAGATTTATTTTTATTTGAAGGATTTAATTTTTTACTACGATTAATTGTATGGATATTCATTAATAACCAAAACTTATCTGAATTAAATGGTAAAGAATTATCAAATTATATTAATTCAATTGAATTTTTAACAGAAAATGAATATAATTTTAAAGAAATTTTAAATTTAAATCCACCAATAATAAATTATGAAAATGAATTATACTTGATAAAATCAAATTCAATGAATAATAATTCTAATGAATTAAAAAATTTAATTGATATAAATGAAGATTTACAAATAAAGATAAATGAATCAAATGTTAAAATTAATAATTTACAAGCAACTCATATTGAAATATCTCAACAATCTCAAGAATATAATAAAAATTTAAGTCAAGCGGAAGAAAAAAGACAAACACTAGTTAGAGAACGTGATGAATTAAAACAAAAATATAATCATTTAACTATGAAAGAAAATTTATTAAATACAATAAAAGCTAATAAAGAATTTTCTGAAAGAAACAATGAATTACAACAACAATTAAACACCTTAAAGAACTCAATAGCTGAGAAGAAACATAAATTATCAAAAGCTCCTAGTTAGTTACCTCCTCTTATATCTATCATATACATTAACTACTTGAATAATACCAAACACCAACAACGAAGAAAAAACACCAATTTGTAAATTTTGTAATATTTTAGATTGTCTTTTTTCAATTTCTATAGCTTTTGAATATGAAATATCATCTCTAAATGAAATCATTGTATATAAAGGTAACCATTTATTCGTGAACCATTTACCTAATGTATAATCTAATTTCTTTTTTGTAATATACCAAATATTTGTAACTTTAGATGACATTTCAAAATAATTATCCATTGCTAATTTACATATCGCATCAAGATCTGGCTTTCGTATTGTTGAAAATCCAATAAATGATTTTGAAATATCTTTGGTGGTATCAATTAATTCCATTAATATTCTAACATCTTCAAATCCACAATTCATTCCTTGACCATAAAATGGAACCATTGAATGTGCTGCATCACCAATTATAAGTGCTTTACCACTGGGGACGTTATATGGATATGAACTTACTTGCATTAATGAACCTCTTGGATTATTTTTAAAAGCTTCTATTAATGCAGTTTCTCCAATTAATTTATAAGCATCTGGAAAGTTCTCCTTAAAAAATTTAAGGAAGTCGTCACTACTCTTTATTGATTCTATAACAGACCATGGACTGAAAAAAGTTGAAGTAAATGAACCATCTTCATTTGGTAATGCAATTAACATAAATTTATGTCTTGGCCAAATATGTAAATGATTAGGATCAATTGAAAATTTGGTGGCTGGGTTTGGTGGTATATAAAGTTCCATATATTGCATATCTATATAAGTTTGTTGGAAATTCATTCTCATATATTTTTGCATTTGATTTCTAAATTGTGAATGAGCTCCATCAGCTCCTATTATGAAGTCGAATTTAAATTCTTTTATACCTTCTTTTGTTGAAAATTCTAATTTAGGCCTTTGATCTAAATTACTTAATTTTATAAGTTTATGTTCAAATTTTATTTTAACATTTGAATTCTTTAACTCTTCTATCAATAATTCATTTAAAAATGATCTATCTATTGAATTTATACATTCTCCATTTAATCCATATAATTGAGATTCTTCCTTGGTTCCAGTTATATCATGAATCATTCTACCTTTCATTGGTATTACTCTTGATAAAATTTTATCAGTTAAATTTGAATCAACATATTTTAAAGCTCTTATACCTCTATTACTAACTGCTAAATTTATCGATCTTAAGTTTTTTTGTCTAGATTGATTTTGAGTTGTATAATCTGGTCTTAAATCAAATATTGTTACTTCATAACCTTTTTTACTAAATGCTAATGCTGCTAAACATCCAACTAATCCTGCTCCAACAACACCAATTGTTTGCGTTGATTCAGTCATTTTGGTTTGTTTAAAAAGTTGCAAAAAAAATATCACGATATGAAAAAATTCACAAAATAAATTACCTTGAGCTTGATTTATCAAAAACTACATATCCAATGGTTAGCAAACTCATAATACGACTAAATCTAATAATATAAATGATATGATAAAACGTTTGAAAAATACAACATTATGGTCAAATTTTAAATTTTTACAACTGATTAGATACTCGTCATCATCAACAAAATCAAAATCTACATTCAATACAATTATAATTGAACAATCTACTGAAAAACAAACAAAATTAAGTAATGAATCAATATTAAAATTAATTAATCGTTTAAAAAATGAAAAATATATTATTGATGAAGGATTCAAAGCTATTTTAGTTAGTTATAAAGGTAAAATTTTGCAGATTAAATCATTTGGTACTGAAGATATAAAAGAGGAGGAAGATGAAGAAGTAATGCAATCAGAGAAAGTGCTAGAAGAGCCACAGCGAGTGAATGCTACTCTTGAAACAGAACCAGAAACCAAACTGAAAGTGCTAGAAAAGACAAAACCAGAAACAAAACTGAAAGTGCTAGAAAAGACACTGCAAGGGAATGCTACTCTTGAAACAAAAACAGAGACGGTGCAAGTGGAAACTACTTCAGAATCAACTTCAAGGACGGTGCAAGTGGAAACATCAGAAATTAAAGCAGAACCTGTTGTGGTGGAAGATAACAATCTTAAACCAGATGAAACAAATACTACAGAGAACCAAGACATAGAGGTAAAACCACTTACTTCTCGAAAAAGAAAATTACTTGAATTGAAAAATCGATTAGAATCCAAAAAACTACTAGCACCTACATTAAAATTTCAAAAAAGAGCATTTGAATATGATAAAGAAGCATTTTTAAGGAAAATTGAACTTGAATCACAATTTACTGATCCTCATCTAAAGGGTTTTAAATTTTTAAATTATGATAAATTAATTCAAACAGGAGTTGGAAGTTATGAATTTTTAAAAGAATCTAAAGATATGAAAATTCTATTAAGAAAACAAAATCTTATAATATCTCATCCAAAATTAAGAATACCTGAATTAAAATTAACTCAAAAAGAAACTTTAAATTTTGAAAATGCAACAAGTATGGAAACCCTTGAAATTATTGGTAAACTGTTAATTGATGAATGGTTTTATAAATGGAATTTTTTTCAACAATTTAGATCAAAAATTATGATTTATAAATTTGAAAATTTTGCAAATAGAGGTTTAAGATTTATTAAAATTGAACCAAATAAAGATATGACACAGATTATTTTTTCATCACCTATACAATTATTTATTTCAATGCATTATTTAGAAGATAAAAATTATTATCAAATTATTGAAAATTTTACTTCAAGATTTAGAGAAATTAATAAAATTAGAAATCCAAAGTATGATTTAAATTTATTAAATGATAACTACTTAGAATTAATTCAAAAATATACAAGAGAACAAAATATACCACTACAAAATCATTTATTTTCTCAAACTTTTAAACCTCAATTATTAACAAATTTTGAAATAAATTTACCTTGTTTACCAAAATTAAAAAATCAATTTTTTTATAATTATTTTCAAATTGCTTTAATTGCTCCTTTTTCAATAACAACAAATAATTATCCTGAAATTAATTTTTTATCACAAAATTTAGATGCAATTGGTGATTGTATATTGAAAAGATATACAGGTGAATTTTTAATAAACTACTCTAAATCAAACCCAAATTTTAAATGGAATATGGAAGATCATAATTTTTTAAATTCAAATATATTATTTAGTAGATTATCATTAGCTTATAAATTACATCAAGGATTAAATAATCTTAGACATCAAAAGGAAATTAGTGAAAAAATTTTAATTTCTGATTTAAATATTTCAAATGAATATTTAGGTGATATATTTGAAAGAATTGTTGGGATTTTTTATCTTGATGATTATGAAAATTGTAGAAATTGGATTTTTAATATTTATTCAATAATTTTAAAAAATATCACAGCTAAAAAAGATGGGATTGAATTTATTGATAAAGAAAAATATGTTAAATTATATCAATATCATTTGAAAAATTTCACAATGTATTAGGAGGATTCTATAGGTTTTATATCATTAATATTAAATTTATTTTCACCTTTCCGTAGCTTTAAAATAATTGTCTCTCTAAATGATACAATTTTTCTACATAATGGACATAAACCTTTACCTCTTGGTATTGAATTATTTCTAGCATGAGAACTACTTAAACTTTGTTCAATACAATTTAAACAAAAAATATGACCACATGTTGTAGTTGTTGCATTTTCTATATCATCAAAACATATAGGACATTGTATTGAGTTTAATTTTTTGCTGGTTTCAGGTTTACTATTTGAATTATTGTTACTAGTGGTATCTTCATTTGACTTGTTTTGAGGATTATCTAATAAATCTTGTGTTACTTTTCTAAATTCAAGAAATTGTATTTCATCATCTGATTCATCATCATCAAGATCAATGGATGGAATTATTTGAGCATTATTATTTGACATATAAGTTAATTGATTGATTACTAAAGTTACTTAAGGTGTAGAAATTTAAATCAAATAATTGACTACTTTTGATATAGTTTCGCGTCACAAAAACTTACGCGTCACTAAAATCTGGGTAGTGTAACTTGCACTGAAATAATTAAAATTTGTTACAAAAGTTTAAATTTGAGACATTGATTCAAATTGATATCAATACAAAAGATACCGAATAGTCTAATATTTCAATAAGATTAATGACATAAGAAACCGTTTTAATTTATACGAAACAATTATTGCTTCTTTCTCTTTCAAATTTCAACATTTTAAAGGATTTCGAGGAATTAAGGAATTAAGGTTCAAACCAGCTCAACTCAAGATTCTTGATAGTAATCTTATTTTAACCTCATGTTTCATTTTTGAAGTGAAAATTTTTCTATTGTTTTGTTTATTGATAAAATTCTTGGGTAAAACCGGTTATACGTTGAATCCCTTGGTATCTCGTAATTAAAGTTAATTTGAATTGTTTTATTCGAAAATTACAATCAATAATTAAGTCTATCAGTTTAGGGACTGTTGGCTTTGTCTATATCAATCATTACGTCATACCTTTTTTTGCACATGATTTCTCGTTAATCTCTTTGATTTTGTGTTGTAAGAAAAGTTTATCTAAAGTTTATATATGACGTAGATAGTGTTGGTGAAAAATTATTTGGCTTACCAGTTTTTATAGGAGCTCAATTCATAGGTATACTAGACTTATTCGAACTGTATTAGTCAGAGCGATGTTTGATTCAAGGATAAATTACTTAATTCGTATCTTCTTTAGTATCTGAAACAGTTGAAAAAAAAAAGAAAAGAATAATAAGTTTTTCCGGCTGCAAAATAGAAAAGAAAATTCAAATCTATAACGAATAAATTACTTTTGTAAGAAAAAAACTAAAACATTTTTCATGCAAGATTTGAAAACGGATAACATTGATACGTTGAATTCTTCAAATTAGGAAGGAAGGATATAACTTAATGATATTGTTTTACAAAACCTAGTTTGCAAAAAGAAACGATATGAAATAACTCTAATTTAAAACACGATATTCAAAAGCCTAAACTATAATTAATAACCTAATTTATAGCTTATTGAATATAGTGTCGGAAGAGAATTGGTTTCAAAAATTTTCTTTAATTCCATCATAGTGTAGTATCAAATTCTTTTTCCTCGCATACTGTTTCAATGAACGTTATCTTATCGCACATTTTTTTGTACCTACACCCCCCAATTAAAAAAGAAAACCCAAGTGTGAGCAATTGTTTCGTAAAACATAGAAAAATAAGTGAAACCTAGGGCTATCATAGCTTTTTTCGGGGTACAAATGAGGTGATGATAACCCAAATTGCTCATCTTATGACTTCCTTAACTTGACCAATTCAACTTACGGGTGTAGACAAAATTCTTTAGTACTTTTGATATCCTAAATTTCAAATATCACAGGATAAGTATAATAAACAATAGAATATCCCTTCTGAAATAACCAAACAGTATAGAGTAATGGTACAAAATAGAATTGATTAAAGCCAATCTTTATATTATATTATTATTAAGGTGTTTTGTTAGTAGAATAATTATAGTGTAAATGTTTTAACACAAAATTTGATAAAAGAAACAAAATATTATCATAAAGACACTACCAGTACATTATGCAGTATTTACTATTAATACATAGAAAACCATTACATATATACAGATGGGATTAAAACACACATTAAACAAAAAATTAGAAGGAGCAAATGATGAGATAAATATATAAAAATTATAAATGATATATAAAGAATTGAAAATGTCTTTAATTATTCATCAATTGACTATTTTTCAAATTTTAAATCAACATATAACATTCATACTTTCATTAATCTTTCAATTGTTATAAACCAATAAACAGATCTACAAATATGACTAAAGAACAACAACCAGCTGTATTTTACGTTAATGCTGCATTATTTGATTGTGATGGTACATTAGTAAATTCAACAGGAGCAATATCAGAATTTTGGAGAGAATTTGGTAAAACAAGACCTCATGTTGATCCAGAAGAAATTATAAAAACTTCTCATGGTTGTAGAACTTTTGATGTTATAAAAAAATGGTCACCAGAAGATGCTATACCTGAACAAGTTACTGAATGGGAAGGTAATATACCTGATTCTTTTGGTCATCATGCAAAAGCTATACCAGGAGCAGTTGAATTAGTTAAACAATTTGATAAATACTCAAAAGATGAAACTCATGATGGTGAACAAAAATGGGCTATTGTTACAAGTGGTACATTACCATTAGCAACAAAATGGTTAAAATTATTAACTATTGAGAAACCAGATTGTTTTATAACTGCTGAAAAAGTTACAAAGGGAAAACCTCATCCACAAGGTTATCAATCAGCAAGAGAAACTTTAGGGTTTGGTTCAAATCATGCAAAAGTTGTTGTATTTGAAGATGCACCAGCTGGTATTACTGCTGGTAAAGATGCAGGAGCAATGGTTGTTGGAATATGTTCAACCTATGATCCAGAAAAAGTTAGAAATGCAGGTGCAAATATTGTAGTAAAAGATTTAACAAGTTTTCATATTGATTCTTTTAATAAAGAAACTCAAGAATTTAAAGTTGTTGTTGATGAATATTATTTTGCTGATCCTCAATATTTAGAATCAACTGCTTAGGCTAATTTATTTCATTTCAGTTACACATTTTTTTTGGCTTTTTTTTTGCTAAACTTTTAGATTAAATTGTATAATAGTTATATAGAATTAGGAATATAACGTATTCTGAACTGTCTAATGATTGATAGTTGTAGTTTATTCTGTTCTTTGGTTCATGCTTTAGTAGAATCTTCAATTTTGTGTTCAAGCGATAGAGATGGCATCAGAAAAAAATATGTACAACCAAATTTAAATATTTGCAACACATTTTACCAGACAAATCAACAATCATCAAATGTCTATTCCATCATTATCCAATCAATACCCAATAACTACTCTACCTAGAGTTAGTGGAGTACCTATAGAAAATAAATTACTAATACCACAATTTTATCAAAATGAATTTACAACAAATACTTTAGATTTTGCAATTTCAAAATCAATGATTTGTTCATATTTAATTAAACCAACTCCTAAATTATTATGGTCTTTTGCATTAAAACCTTCATATATTGTTGATTGTATAGATGTACTAAAGTTGGGAGATGAAAAAATTTATGTTGTGGGTATAACAGAAAGAAATTTATATAAAATTATAATAGTCAAAACAAGTATAAAATTGGAAGATGGGATTATACTGGCAGATACTTTAGACACAAATGAGTATAAAATTGAGAATAAAGTTGTTGGAATTAAAATTTCCAATTCAAATAGTATTGTGGTGGTTTATCAAGATGGGAAAATTGAATTTGTAAATTTTAAAAATAATGAACTCATCAAGGGTTTTAATTTTCAAAATGAAGGAGAAATTATTTATAATCAATTTATAAATGATTTAGAAGATAATTTGTTATTAGTTGTATCAAAATTTAAAACACAGTTGATATATAAAATTCTTTCAATAAATCAAACAAAACCAATATTTGAAATTCAAAATTTTCAAAATGAAATTTTAAAAGATCCTATTTTTACATATATATCTGGTAATTTATATCAATATCATGATGGAATAATTGATAACATATCTATACCAAATTTCAAAAAAGTCAATAGTACATCAGTATCTTCGTTGATTCAATCAGATGAAAAAGTTTCAATAAAATCTCCAGCACCAGATAGAATTTTATTAGGTAATTCAAATAAATTATATTTATTAAATTTAAAATTTGGTGCAAAATTATCTGAATTTAAATCAATATCAAGTTCATCTAATCCGGTAGAGGATAAAGTATTTATAAATCAAATTATACCAGTAAAAGGATCATCACAAAATACATCACTTACTAATGGTTTTTATTTAAATTTAAAAAATAAAGATAATAATTTATATTTAAATATTATAGATATAAACGTTGGATTAAATAAATTAAATGAATGTCTAGGTAAATCAATAAATCAAAGAGACGATAAACAATTAAATAATATTAGAAATATTTATAATGATGAACCAATTGAAAATGAATCTACTGAATTAAATGAAATTTATGAACACCTAAAAATAGCACAAGAAGAAAATAATTTAAATAAATGGGAATCTATATTAATACCATATCTCAAAAATAATAAATCTTGGAACGAAATTAAACAATTTCAAAATAAATCTCATAAAAAAGATAAAATATATCAATTTAAAGAATTTGATGTTGAAAATGATAGAATAATAAATATAAATTTTATAAATTTAATATTTGAATTAATTTTTAATAAATCATCACCAAATTCATTAAATTTTAAATCATTAAATTTTATACCTGAATATACTTTAATGTATTTATTAACAAATCCAATTTTTCCTAAAACTTATACTCGGGGATTATTAAAATTATTTTATAATATTAATAATTTAACATTATTAAAACAAGCTATTATAACTTGTTCAAATTTAGAAATTGAAGACTTGGTTAATTTATTAATTATTTTGGGACAAGATCAAGAAGATATTTTATCTGATTTAATAACTAGAATAATTGATGAATTTTCACCTTCTGAAATTACAAAATCATTTAAAAAAGTTTTTGAAAATTCAAATGAAACAATAAATATCATAGAGTTTATTAATAAGATTTTAAAAGTTACAAATTATAATAAGTGGAAAATTATTGAAATTTTAATTGATATAAATGGTTTATTTAATTGGAATTTAACAAATATTGAAAAATTAAATGATTTATTAGATTCTAAAATTAAACTTTTAACTGCTAATTCATATAATTTAACATTAATTGATCAAGTAAATTTAAAAAGAAACACCAGCAAGAAACAACAAACAGAAGTTAATGGTATATTAACAATTACTGATCAAACTAAGAATAAAAAATTATCATCAACAGTTGATTTAAATGATGAAAAAATCCCATTATATTCAATAGAAACATTAGAAATATAAAACATCTATTTACATGAACATTATCTATATTAATCTCTACTTTATTGATCTTATACTATTACCCTTCTTACCACTTAAACTTCCCATTTCATTTTTATTTAATTTTATACTTTCATTATCTCCTAATTCAATTTTATCATGAAAATTTAAAAAATATTTCCCATCTGATTTTAATTCACCTTGAACTAGGTTGCTTATTAGGAATTTTGATATCTCTTTTAGCTTAGTTATAGCTTCGTTTATTTCTGATTCATTTTTTAAATTTGAATTCTTGTAAATTTCTGTTTTTATTTGTTGTTTTGCTGCGTTTAATATTGGATAATCGTTTTTAAATACTGTGTTTATTGATTTTAATGCTTGTCTATATGCTTGTTTTGTTGTTAGTGACATTTAATGTGTGTTTGATGTGTAATGATCTTTTGATAATCTCGGAATATTTCTGAAAAATAAATTTATATTTTTTTTTCATCTAGATCTTCATAAATCATGTAAATGTCAGACAATCCAAAAAGAGATGTTTTAATATCTAAAAAATTATCATATATACTCCGACATGGAGCTAAAAAGGAGAATATATCAATAGATAATCAAGGATTTGTTTCAATTTCAGATATTTTAAATCATCAACTTTTTAAATCTTTTAAAACTACAAGAGAAGATCTTAATAGAATAGTTTTAGCAGATGCTAAGAATAGATATACAATTGATTTTGGAGCAGATAAAATTTGTGCAAATCAAGGTCATTCTTTAACTAACGTTAACAATGAAAATTTAATTAAATTATCAAAAGATGAATTAATTAATTTGAATATTTATCATGGTACATATTTTAAAAAGCTACCACTAATCAAGAAATCAGGAGGATTAAATAAAAGGAATAGAAATCATATTCATTTTACTTGTGATTCATTAAACGGTCAAGAATATATTAGAAAAAATGCAAATGTATTAGTATATGTTGATATTGAAAAATGTATTGAACAAGGGTTAGAATTTTATAAGAGTTCAAATAATGTTATTTTAACATCTGGTGATTCTTTGGGAAATATTAAATGGGAAAATATTTCAAAAATTATTAGTTTAAAAGATAATAATGAATTGAATTTAGATGATATATAGAATATATAGAATAAATACTCAGTTTCTGACGAAGAACAAACAAAGTGACTTCTTTCATGCATTTATTCCCAGATTGATTATCATGGTTGGATTTACAAATCTATTTTTCTACATCATTTAATTTGAAGAAGTCTTTATGTTTTATTTTTGCAAAACACAAGGAGATCTTCAAACTCATTGCTGCAAAAAAATTGTATGGCTTCCAAAATCCAAACATGATAACCGATTTATAGATTGTGAAGTGATTGATGTATCAGCTAGATAACTTGTTTGAAAGCTGTAATTAGTAATTGTTTTACTGTATATTCTCATTTCCCATCGATATATGACTTTGCTAGTGATGTCATTACGACATTGAATCTTTACCTACTTGAATTATTGAAAACCATTTTGGTTACTAACCCATTTATTATAACTAATGATTATATTTACCCATTTAATATATCTAATCAAAGTATATCAAATATTGTTAACCCATTCAATATTTTGGTTGCGAATATTTGATATACTTGGTTAACAATATTTGATATACTTTGATTTGTTCAATAGAATCAACAAAAATACCTTTTACTACTGTAAGTATAATCTTTTGCAATGTATAATGTAAACTTGTGGCTTCCTGTTGGTGAACTTATTTAAGTTAATACATCCAAAACAAAATTGTAATAATTTGTCTCTAAGATGAGTCATTTACTTTTGCAATTCCGTTTGATTTTCTGTTGTGATCCCAAATGCTAAATAACTTGGAGTATAAACAAATATCGATGGTAAGGTGTTATATTAGTCAACTGCTTCAATTAATCTGGAATCTCAATCAAAAACCAAACGAGACACAATGAACAACGTGATAACGGAAGCATCACTTTTTCATTGCATCTCGTCTGGGCTTCCTTTATCACATTGTTCATTGCATCTCGTCTGATTTTTAGACTGACATTATGACTTCTATCTTTATTTATAGTTTTTGCTTAATATGGTTGATTCATACTGATTACATTCTCACAGGAAATGTCAATTCTTCAGATTCGAATTCCTTTTGATGACTAAACTGAAACTGTATTTGCTAACGAAATTGATCTATTAATTGAAAATGGTTGAAAAAATCTAATTGGTTAGAATCATTTATTTAAGGCTTATGAGGACCACTCATGTAAACGTTTAAAGTGCTTAATAACTTTTAACTCCTATAGGATGATGTATGAACTTCGTGTATGTGATTGAAGTTCTCTTGAAGAAGCTTTAACTTCTGGTATGAACCCATCTAAAAATTGTAATCAATTTCAATATGATGATGGTTGTGTTTAAGTAAGTAAAAGGTATTGAAAAAAAAAAAAAAAAAAAATTTCAATGGAATCAACAATTTGTCTATATAACGTAAACAACAATCACTATTTCAATTTTGGTCTGGACGTATCAACTAAATTACTTCGCCAACAGGAAGCTACAAATTTACATTATACATTACATTATTCCATCAGTATTGCAAGGTATTCTTGTTGGTTACACTGAACAAACCAGATTATATCGATTTTTTTTAGTGAAGATGGGAAATGGTGAATATTCTATATGGTGTCCGTTGTTGCGTATCTCTCTTCTTAAAGAGGTGTATGATTTTGCATGCGTTGCAACCGCGGAAGATACTGGTTCTGATGTTAGAGCAACCCATACTTCAAATGATGAAATTATCAATCCAGACTATGGTCAAGATATACTTACCTTATTTCAATTTATAGCAGCATATGCAATTGATTTGAGGAATCATACACCTCTTGCAACGAAGAGAGGTAGGTAACAAAGGACACCTGTAAGTGGAACTTATAAGGGACACTTGATGAACATGGATCTGGAATATTGTGGGTCAAAAAGTAAGAAATTATAATGTTGATTGTAATCCAAAAACCGCATAAAGATGATTAGAGAACATTGAAATTATGATGAATTTATTTTGATCCATGTACTCATTGCTTACCTAGCATCAGATGGCTCATAAAATTCAAGTTTCATTGTTTGACAAGCTGCCTATTATTTTTGATTTAGTACATCTTCACGATAAGGAGAAAATATGATTTTTAAAGGTTGCTGTTTCATTCATTCTCCTTATTACAAACTTTATTAATGGGTTTTCACCACTTGGACCTGATGGATTAACCATTATAATTGGGCTAGTTTACACTCTACATCACGACGATTCAATGTGTCGTTGTTTGGTGATTATTACAATCAATGGGGGAACATGTTTTGAGCACAAAGGATTATAGGAACTATATCCAAATCTGAATTAGTAATAAGTTTGAAGTGATCCTAATGGATTCTTTTGCACTTTTACTGCTTGGTTCTAAAACGATTTTAGGTATAGTTAAGAAAGATTAAGCACAATCTAATATCAAGTGCTTCGCATAGTTAAGAAAGATTAAGCACAATCTATTATCAAGTGCTTCGCACTCAATAGTATTACAGAATATGATGAACATCGATGAAAATAAGAAATATACATATCCTTATTTTTATTTCGAAAAATCTCCAAAAAGACAAACACACTATCATTTATAATCAAAGTAAAAAAAAGTTCCCCTGTTGGTTCCGTAAATCACCAAATGAAAATTCAATGAATCGTCGTGATTTTGAATGTAAACAAGCTCAATGAGTATGGTGAAAAGTAATCATTCTAGTGGAAAATATTTTCAATTAAGAATCCAAGATTTTTAGAACAACCAAATACTCAAACTACCTGTTGACTGCAAGAACAAAAATTAAAGTTTATCACTGTCTACATATTAATTCATTTAAAGATGACCAAGTGGGGACACTTGGACTTATTTTTTACTTCATTATATATCAACTTTGAGATACTGTTGAAATCCTTGTATGGATATCTTCACAAGTGGAGAATACCCAAAATATAGTTCTCATGAAGGAGATTACTTGTAGAGATTTACTCTTCAAAAATAATACTTGGTACTTTTGACATTACTGACACTATACGCAAACAAAAAATTTAAGAACATTACGCTGAAACTCCCCAAGATTTGATCTTTTAAAGTTATGTCTCATACAATTTACACTAAGAATCGTTTGAGTATTCTATATTCAAAGTTTGAAATCCATTTCAGCTTTTTTCAAAAAAATAAATTTTATAAAATTTTAGTTGGTGGCCCGCAAGCTGTTGCAACCGCAAATCTAAAATAGTACATCTAATATCAATACAGGACGTAAAAAAGAGCTTTCAGAATCTTGTAAATCAAACTACACGAAATTAGCAAAAAGTTAGATAAAATGTTTCTATTTTATGCATTCGATAATAATAAAAGAAAAGCAAGTTCTAAATCACCATGTAATTATGTTTAATTAGAATTTTTCAAGAAATGTTTTTACTACCGAGATTTTAAATCTTGATATCTACACCTACTATCCAAAATGTTAAACAACTTGATTTACATATAGCAAGTTGACGGTAAGAATAAAGTAGTATGGTTTCATTGTACATTTAGAAAAAGTTCGAAAGACTCATTTTGATTTTATAGATTTGTTTCGCTTTAGAATGTGGTCTGATTACAACCTCATTTAAATTTTAAAGTTTTGAAACATTGATAAAAAGAGACTTTGAATTTGCTGTAAATTTTCAGAATCTACTCCTTGACAGTTGTATTTAATAGTATGTTTTATCTTATTCATCATTAGGCTTAATTATGGTTTTGGTTCCTGAAAGAAATTAATAAATAAACAGAAGGCTAAATAATTATTTTTACACCCAAATTGTAAAATTTAACTTGAAACGTTTCAGATCGAGTAATTATTTGCGCACAAAAATTTTACAAATAACATTTCATGTTTCAAAAGATAATTCTTTAAGTTGTTAGACAATCTCATATCTCTAATCATTTTTTCATTCTTGTACCTTAAATTGTAAAGAACCGTTTTTTGTTTTTGGATTTGAAATTTTTATCACGAAGTTTATAAAATAAATTAAATAGATGCATATGAATTATCACGTCTAGATCTATAATATTATATTAATTAAGTATTGATGCATAGAATAAAAAGTAAATCTAAAATCTTTTTGGGTTAAATTAAATTTTAGTTAGTTAGGTTGGTTACAATTAGAAATTAACAAGAGAACTTGAAATCAATGTTCACAAAGGTATTCATCAACTTTGTACGATTTGGTTAATTGATCAGACGAGGTATGTTTGATTAATTTTGATTTTTTGGTCTAACCAAACAACGCGTGTGCTTCCTTGAAACGAATGGTTTCGGAATTTTACACCTAAAATCTTTAAGACTCGTATAATATACCCCTTTTAATACATTTGAAAAGCAACTAATGAAATTCTTTTAAAAAGAAATGGTAAAAATTTTGAAATGCTTTAAAAGATTATTCCACAAGTTTCTTCGAGAAAGAATTGAATATGGAATTGTTTAAACAAATACTTTAGTTACACGGTGAAATTGAAATATACCAGCCCTGATCATCAACAATTACATGAATAAAAAAACCGTTTATTCTCTATTATACTTAGCATCAATGTATTATTGTCTCAAGTAATTAATTTTTTTTTTTTTTTTATTTGTAAGTCAGAATGCCCTAATCTATAATATCGTATTTCACAACTTTTATTTAAGATCCAAATTGAATCAATAATACATTGAGATAACATAACAATAGAATTTAGAAAATGAAAGCTTGGTCACAGTGATCTACTAAGTCGAAAATGCAAACCATCAATACTACAGAGTTACTTGGAGCTTCAAATCAAAGATGGTATAAGTGCTGAGGGTGATGATACCTTTCATTCCGCAATCTCTAAAAATATTATTGTAAAACGGAGGTTATTTTATTATTATTCGGATATACCTGGGAATGTACAATATAAATCTAGTAGATATTATACTTCTGGAATCACTTTAGTATGTGTTTTGTGTAAAGAGACATGAAAATCTCGTAATTCTAGAACGAAATTTTAAGTATGTTGAGTCGAAAGTAAAAATGTTTTAATTAAAACTTTCCATTAAAACTTCATTGATTTCTTTTTAGTTTAAAACCTTTATAAAGTTGAAGTACTAGACTTGTGTTTTGTTTTGGAGAATTACTTCCTAAATTTAAATACTTTGTTGATTAAAGGCATTCTGTATAAGTTAAAATTAATATATATATAATCTCGTATTATTTCACATTAATTTTTAAATCACAAAATTTAACATTTTCAAAATCAATAAAATTTCATCATTTTGTATTATTATTTTCATATATATTCATTTCATTATCCACATATTTCAAGATTATGGTCTACTAAATTCAATTCAAAACTCATTTGACTCATTAACTCAATTTTCAAATCATATTTATAAAGTAGATCACTAATATATCTAACATTTTTAAGAGGGATTTTCGATTTATAAAACTTCCTTATACATTAAATCACAGCAATAACTAATTTGATAGAAAACAAAATCAGCAAATTCACATTCAAGTCTGATAAGAAATTTAAATTACAAATTCTTTCTACTTTCCCAATAATCATCTTTATCAATCTTTGAATCATTTCATTAACAAATCTCAGATTATTTGTATATTAAATTTTTTTGTTTCATGTTTGCTAAAAAATATAATCATTATTCAAATAATATAAATTCAAATAACTCAAGCAATACACAATCAACAACAAGCTCATCAACTAAATTTCAATCTAATGATTCTTCAAGTATTTCAAACAACAAGAATACCAATTTACAAACATATACAAATTCTATAAATTCAAATTTTTCATCATTATCACCATTTGCAACCACTTTTTATCCAATAATGCAAAAACTGCCATCACCAACTCCTACAACTTCTACTTCATTACCACAAATTAAAACAACTAATCTAACATCAAGGTATAACAACGACACAGATCCAAAATCAAGTCCAATTCAATTAAATCATGAAAATATTGATCAAAATGATAGAAAATTACCTAAATTATCATCTAATTCAAATAAATCTACTACAAATCCTTCATATCTATCAACACAAAATTCCAAACCTAACATAAATAATACTACTAATCAAAAATTTTCTCAAAACTCAGATAATAAAATATGTCAATGGTATTGTTGTTCATGTGGTCAATCTTATGGATCAGTATTATATAAAGAAAATGATAATAATAATCAATCATCTTCAACAATTAATGAAAAAAATCAAACGACACAATCCAATGAAACACAACTACCTTATAATCAACTAGAAGAAGAAATTCAAAGATCATCATACAACAGGGATAATTTAAATCGAAATTATATATTTGATAATTTAAAATATTATAGTAATGTTGTTTATAAAGATCATCATCAAAATCAAATAATAAATTCACCAATAAAATCTAATCAAAGCACCAATTATTTTGATTTTAAACCATCATCATCATCAACACCAACATCTTCTTCAACAGATTTAAAATCACCATCAAGAAAAAGAGAAAGAGAAGAAATAAAAGAACTAACGGAAGATAATTTAGAATCATCACCAAAAATACGACAAAAATCAATATCATCAGACGACCCTCAAATTCAAACACCAATATTATCACCATTAAATATAAATTTAGAATTACAATCCACCACCAGTTCAAAAAATTTATATGAATATAAACAAAAAGTAATATTAGATATTCCAACAAGATTTATTTGTCATAGATGTAATCATATGATGTGTCCTTATTGTTTAAAATTAAGATTAAAAGATATTTAATAAAAAATTGAAAAACCTTTAGGTTTTTTAATTTTGATTACAAATTGCTTCGAATATTTCATTATTATGTTCAAGTAGTATTTACTTATATACTTTTGATTTAAGTAGTGTTACCACTACTTATATACTGGATTTTAATTTAGTTTATAGTCTTTTTCACGTTTAATTCACGACTGTTTAATTTATTCATCTGCTATATTAAATTAATTTGATTTTTTCTCGTGTTCTTTCAACTAGATGATTTTTTTTCTGATTATGCACATAGTTTTCATGTTCAATTTATTAATGTATTCAACTTGATTTACTTTTAATATGATAATTTATCAACTAATTCATTTTCTCACTATAGATTTTCTATTTAACCATTTATGTTTATTTTTTAAAATTTTATTTTCAGATTTTGGAACAATAATACTTCTACCCATATTTTGAATTTTAACATAAACAGGTCCCTTTTTTATAGCACCACCGCTATTTTTTTGTTTTAATAATCTTAATTTTGTTTCTAATTTTAATTTTTTTGTTCTTTCTCTTTCTATTAATTTAAAATCTTCTTCTTTTAAATGTTTTGGTTGAGGTTGTGATGATGATGTTGATGATTTTAAAATTATATTTTCTGGTAAGAATTCTGGTAATTCAATCGGTAGATTTTTTTGTCTTTCTTCTTGTTCTTTAGCAACTGCTTTTGCTTTTGCTTCTTTTTCTTTTTGTTCTTGTAATTGTTTAGCTTTTTTTTGTTTTATATTTCTTTCATTTGTTAATTTTCTTTGTTCTTTAATTTGTTGTTGTCTTTTTAATTCTAATTGTTTTAATTTTTGTTGTTCTTCAATTATTTTTGATTTTGATGATGATACATTTTCTTCTTCTGGTGCTTCATCTGAGTCACTTTCTGAATCTGAAACTATGTCGTCCTCTTCAGAATCTGATACATCTTCAACTTCAATTACTTCTTGGTCTCCACCATTTTGACTCTCATTTATGTTATCTCCATCATCATTAAATTTTATCTTTTTATTTTTTTTAACTACTTGAATAGGTTGATCATCATAACCCAAGATATTTTCACTTGAAACATCATCTGGGTTATTCAATTTTGGATTATCTTCAACATGATGGGGAGTATTATGATGTAGTTTACTTCTTGTTAATGCCATTTTGTTTTGTTATGTGTTAATATTGATGTTAGATAAAGTTATAGATAATTGTGATAGATCTCATCTTTCTCATCTTGTGATTTACGCGTACTTTCAACTTATGCACTTGGTAGTTCTCTCTCTCTTTAATAAAATTACAAAAACATACGCTCAGAGATATTTTATTTTACAACCACTTTTTTTACAACCAATTTCAAAACAAAACCACCAGAACTTGCAACCATACTAAATGCTCATTAATGATGATTCATTATTCTTATATAATAAAACAATAAAACCTCCTTCAAATTATATCAAATCATTAGTTGGAAATTTCATCTCAAATCAAACTCAACAACAATTAATACTTATTTCATCAACTTTTATATCATTATATATATCAAATTTAGAAACTGGGAAATTAGAATTACAATTTAATCAAAATATTTTTAGTTGTATTAATGATGTTGGGAAAATTAAATGTAAAGATAAAGATGTATTAGTTTTAACAAGTGATTCAGGAAATTTAACTGTGTTAGAACATCATAAAAATTCATTTATACAGTTATGTAATTTACCAATGAGTAAAAATGGTTGGAATAATACTTACCCAGGGGAAATATTATCAATTGATCAATATAATCGTTGTATTTTGATAAGTGCAATGTTAAATAAAAAATTATTATATAAATTTGATGATAATGAATTATTAAGTTCACCTTTAGAACATCAAAATAAAAATATAGCTACTTTACAAATTATAAGTGTTTTTAATAATTTTGAAAATCCCATATTTGCAGGTTTAGAATTTGATTTGGAGAAACAGCTTACATTATTAAATTATTATGAATTTGATAGAAGTTTGAATTATTTAGTTAAAAGAAAAAGTTTAGGTATACCTGAAGATTCAAATCACTTAATTCCTGTACCTGATCCAGTTGGTGGGGTTTTAGTTTGTGGAAAGAATTGGATAAGTTATTATGATAAAAATTATAAAGAAATTTTGGTGCCACTACCTCGAAGACCTAATCAAAATTCCATCATAGTCAATCATTTAATTCATATTTTAAAAAAGAAATCTTACCGATTTTTCATACTTTTACAAAATGAATTTGGTGATTTATTTAGATTAATTATTGAATTTGATCAAGATACAGAGATAGTTAAAAATATAATGATTACGTATTTTGATACAATACCAGTAAGTATATCATTAAATATTTTTAAAAATGGATTTCTTTTTGCAAATTGTTTACATAATGATCAAAGATTTTATCAATTTGAAAATTTAGGTGATAATATAAAAGAAGGTGATTTAATTATAAATAGTTCATCAATCAAAGAAGACTCAGAATATATTTTAAATTTAAAAACTTTAGAAAATTTAGAATTAATTGATACTTTAGAATCACTAAGTCCTATAACTGATTCTTTATTAATTGATGATAAATTAATAACATTATCTACTAAATCAAAATTAAAAACTTTACAACATGGTTTACCAACTTCAATATTAGTTGAATCTCCATTACCTATGAAACCAACAAAAGTTATAACATCAAAATTAACTCGTGATTCACCAAATGATGATTATTTAATTATAACTTCAACATTAGCTTCTAAAACTTTAGTATTATCAGTTGGTGAAGTTATTGAAGATGTTAAAGATTCAAAATTTATATTAGATCAACCTACTATAGCTGTGCAACAAGTTGGGGTAATGTCAATAGTTCAAATTTATCTTAATGGTATAAGACACATCGGTAAAAATAAAAAATTTACTGATTGGTATCCACCAGCTGGTATAACTATTACAAATGCATCAACAAATAATCAACAAATTTTAATAAGTTTATCAAATTCTGAATTAGTTTATTTTGAAACTGATTTAGATGATCAATTAATTGAATATCAAGAAAGATTAGAAATTTCATCTCCAGTTTTAAGTATGTGTATTTCAAAATTTGAAAAATCTTCATTTGCTATAATTGGATGTTCAGATGAAACAATTCAAGTAATTTCACTAAAGGAAAATAATTGTTTAACTGTTAAATATTTACAAGCTTTATCATCAAATGCAAATTCCTTAGTGATGACTACAATAAAAGATAAAGCTTGGATTCATATTGGAATGGAAAATGGAGTTTATGTAAGATCTAAAATTAATAAATTTAATGGGAAATTATCAGAAACAACTATAAAATATCTAGGTACAAAACCATTAGAATTACAAGAAATTAAAATTAATGAATCAATAAATGGAGTTTTAGCAATTACATCAAAACCATGGATTTGTTATCAATATCAAGAAAAATTTAAATTAACTCCACTTTTAAATATTGATATTATAAATGGTACATCTTTTACTTCTGAAGATATTGGAGGAAATGCATTAGTTGGTATAAATAATAAAAATGATTTAATAATTTTTGCATTAGGTGGAGAAGATATGATATTTGATCCAAATCAAGAATTAACAACAAATGAATTAAAATTACGATATTTACCAAGACAAATTTTAGAATTTGAAAATTTTTTGGTGGTTAGTCAAGTTGAACTGAATATTAATTCACCATATAAGACAAATTTAACAAAAGATGTCAGGAATGAAGTTGATGAACAACAAATTGAGAACTTTGGGTATGAAAAAGGTGAAAATTATGCTTCTTGTATTCAAATGATTGCAAATGATGAAATTTTACAAACTCTTGAATTCCCCGTGAATACAAAAATAATAGGTATAACAAAAGTATTATTTCAAAAATTATACCTTATCGTTGCAGTTGAAATTAATAATGATTACCTACTATACACATTTAGATTAGATAAAAAAGATAAATTTCAATACGTCCACAAGACTCAATTAAATTATCAACCAACTACAGTAAATTTATTTGAAAATAAATTAATTATTGGATCAAGTGAAAGTTTATCATTATATGAATTAGGACAAAAGCAATTATTAAGAAAATCCTTAACTAAAATTCCATTTATTTCAAAAATTAATAAAATTTCAGTATCAATAAATCAAAGAATTTTGGTTTCAGATTTACATAATTCTTTGGTTTTATTAAAATTTGATTCTGATTTAAATCAATTCTTACCTATTATGGATGATATAATTAAAAGACAAATTATATCAATAAAACAATTAGATTATGATACATTTATAGGAAGTGATAAATTTGGTAATATATTCGTATCAAGAATCTCGCGGGAAATATCAACTGAAATTGATAAAAATTGGTCAATTTTAAAAAACAAGATTCAAACAACCACCAACTCAAATTCATGTATTTATAAATTTCAAAATTTATGTGAATTTTATATACCTGATATTATAACTTCATTTCAAATTGGAAAATTTATGAACACTGAAGAAGAAAAAATTATAATTTATACTTCTATTTCTGGATTAATTGGATTTTTAATTCCATTAACTTTAAAATCAAAAATTGAATCATTGAATAACAAACAAATGGAGTTAAAAAAGAAAGATAATGTTGTTGGAAAAGATCATATTAAATTTAGAAGTTATTATAATCCAATTAAAAATATAATTGATGGTGATTTAATTGAAAGTTAAATATATAGACTATATATATAAATAAAATTGAAAAATAATAATAGATAAATTAAATTACGTAGATAATGTTTTTAATCTTTATTTCGTAAAGGACTTTGTTTTTCATCATTTTCTGATTCATCTTCATCATCATCATCATTATTATTATTTTCTTCATTTAAATTTCTTTTAATTGGAGTTTGACCATTGGGAGTACTAAATTGAACAAAATTCCAAAATGCAGGACTTGATTGATTTGGATGTTGTGATTGATTATTTGGATTAAGTTGATTTGAATTTGAATTAGTATTTGTATTTTTTCCATTTTGTTGTTGATTTTGTTGTTGATTTTTATTTGATCCTCGTTCTGGTGTATATGCTTCTAATTGTGATATTTTTTTAGGACTTGTAAAATTTATTACATCATTTGTTGTATTATTTGAAGATATTGGTATTGAATTTAATGAATCATTTTGATTTGAATTATACAGATGATTTATTGATGAAATTACAGTATTTGGTAATTGTGTATTAGTTACATATGAAGAATTTCTTGAATGTCCTAAATTTGGTTTTGTTTCGTTATTGTTGTTGTTGTTTGTTGGTGGTGGTAGATTATACAAAGTAGAATTGTTTTCAACTTTAGGTATCTTGGTGATAGAATCTCTTTGTTGATGTAATTGTTGTGGTTGTCTTAATGGTGATGCTAAATGTGTTCCATATCCATTGTTGTTTGAATATTGGGTATTTGATTGTTGACCAAACATCATTGGTTGTGGTTGCTGTTGCGGTTGCTGTTGCTGAGGTTGATCCTGTGGTTGTTGTTGTTGAGAATAGGAATAGGAACGTCCAGATTGAACATATTGATTCGGAATATAGTTCATATGGTTTTGTTGTACATTATTGTATTGAAGGTTTTTCGTCTCTGGACTTTGATGATTGTAATATGCTTGAGGAGGAGGCTGTTGAGGTTGTTGTTGATGTTGTGATTGTTGTTGTGGGGGTGGTTGTTGTTGACCATGAATTTGTTGTGGATGAAATTGACTCATATCATGTCTATCCAATTGAGATTCAGGTAATTGTTTATGAGTTGCTAAATGTAAACTTAATTGTCTTGAAACTGATGAACCTCTTCTTGTTTTTGAAATTGTTCCATCATTTACTTTATTTAAAAATTCTTCTCTATAAGATGAACTAATTTGCCATTTCATACCTTTTCCAGGTTCATTTGGTCTTCTTGGAACTTTTTCAAATGCTTTATTTAATGATAAATTATGTCTAATTGAATTTTGCCAACCAGTTTTAGAATATTTATAATATGCATAATGACTTGAAATCCAATTATAAATATCTGCTAATGACATAACACCTGATGGATTTGATAAAATAGCTTGAGTTATCATTGTTGCATAACTATATGGGGGTTTTATATCTTTTGAATCTTCTTTTGATAAATCTTGATCTAAATTACTTTGCAATGAATTTGCTGTCATTTGATTTGGTGAATGATTTAATTGAGCTTTATTATATACTTGAAAACTTTTAATTGATCCTCCACCATTACCATTATATGTTTTTTTATTTTTCCCATGTTCTTCTCTATATTTGGCCATTGCTTTTTCCAACATTTTTGGTGCTACAGTAGGAGGTGAATCTGGTAAAATAAACATCATTTGAGTTCCTCCAACATCTAATATAGCTCCAGAATGTAATGTATTTTTTTCCAGTGATCCAATTGAAACTTTTTGTCCATCTATTCTTGCACCATTTCTACCAAGAACTCTTAATTCCCAAGTTCTTGCATCTAAATTATAAGTAATTGTTGCATGTTGTCTACTTACAATTTTTGCTGGACCTAAATCAATATCAATTAATGGTCCAGTATTTACATTTGAACTTGCTACATCTGTATTTCTACCAATAGATATAGCTAAAGATTTAACATAATAAGTCCAATCTTTACCCGCTATTTTGGCATAAGCTTGAACTTGAGTAGCTATATTTTTAGTATTTGCATAAGTTTCTGAAACATTTGTTTTCTCATCAGGACATTGTAATACACCAATAACGGCATTTATCCTTTCTTGAGGGTCATCAAATGAGTAATATTGGTTTTCTAAATGATCTGAAAGTGTTCGTTTTCTTGGAGTAGTAAATGAATTGGACATTTGGATTTGTGTTTACCCTTGAATAATGATGATGATCTTGAAGCTGTAAATATGATTTGACGTGTTTGTTTAATGACAATAAATGCTATGAAATGATTGATCTCTCAATTTGGTCTGTTCTTGAAGTCGACTTTATGTCCTTTATATGCAAATTAATTTGGTTTGTTGAATTTGCTATCGTTGTTGATGAATTTAATCCTTAATACAAAAAAATAAATAATTTAATTGTTTGTGATCAACTATATTAGACTTTTGCTATACTGAACTAATCTTTTTTGAAAGTGGTGGATGAATAAGTGATACTCAGAAGTATAATTGAGATCAAATATGAAAGCTCTTGTCCAATTTAAACGAGCTCTTGTAGTATATTTTTCAACTGTTAATTGAACTTGAAGATTTGTTAACTATGTAAGTGAGTAAGTGTTTACTTTTTTAAAGTTGAAAAAAATCTTTTGTTTGTTTTTGTTTTTTTTGAATTTTTTTGTTTAATTTTGGGGGAGATTGGTAGCAGTTTCCTTTTGTCAATTTTTTAGTCAAAAATTAAGATTATTGCCATTCATTGATCTAAAAAATCAAAGGGGTCAATCTGATTGATCGTTCAAAAAATAGAGGATCTACTAGCTAGCATGGGAACTTAGACTAAGCTGTAGCTGAAAATTTATCTATACTTGGAGTAGAGAAATTTCTTCTCCTTTAATTTGATGATGATGTTAAATTCCGCATTGTTCAATACAAATAGAGGAGCTATGAAGACTCAAGTAGCTACTGCATTAAAGAGTATCGGATGATACCTGTCATCAGTTTGGGTTTGGTTTCATTTATTATTTGATAAGAGAATAGCTGGAGAATTAAATATTTCAATTTCAAGTAAATATTTCATTTTCAAGTTTACACAGAATTATTGCTCAATTAAAACATGATTGGTGAGAATCAAATAGTGAAAACTGACTATATCAGTTACCCTCTCTGCTTGCAATATTTTAACTAGAAAGAAGAAGCTAAGCTATTATTGAAATCAAATGAACAAGTACTTCAATTGAGTGCGCAAAATCAGCAAAATTGCGCGTCTTGCTAATTCGCGTTTCAAATTTTGTTGCACAAAATTAATTTGATATACCTACACATAATTTATTGGTATTATAAAAGACTCCTTAGTTATATCAAATCCTCTTGCATCAGTAGTTTCTTTAGTTATAACATCAATATCCAAATCTTCTTCTTCCATTCTCTTTTTATTTACTTCAGATTCATCTAAAATATCAAATTCATCTTCTTTTTCAATATATTCAATATTTTCTTCAACTTCAACAAAATCAGGAGCTAAAGCACTCCATTTTTGAGGAAATTGAATTGACCAAATATATATTGATCCACTATCTAAACCAATTGATCCTATTTTACATCTATTATAATTCCATTTAACATCAATTAATTCTTCATTTGAACCTTCTAAAATTTTAATTAATGAACCCATTGAAGTTTCCCATAAATATAAATCATGTGAAGATTGACCATGAGTTGAAGCTATTAAAAATTCTGCATTATGATTAAAAGTTATTGAATTCCATTGTAATCTATTTACAACATCTTGATATTTATGATCAATATCAAAATCCCATTCAGTTGTATCATTATCATCATTCATTAAATCTGGTAAATCAATTTGTCGTATAATTCTATCTGAAAAATTTACTGCTAATTTACGTTGATTTGGTGATATTGAAATATTTTTAATATTTGAATTTGCTAATTTTACAGAATGTATTAATTTTAAATCATTAGTTCGAAAAATATTAAGCCATCCTTTACTTGTACCTGTGAATATATATTTCCCTTGTTCTGTAAATGCTGTTACTAATGTTGATTGTTTTGATGTATTGTCTTTTTTCCTCCTCTTTTTCAATGGTGTTTCAACTCCATCTTGTTCTTCATTTCCATTTTCTAAAGGATTTGTTCTTAATTTTTTAACAATCGGTTTTTCATCTTTTAAATCAACATATACAGGTGAATCATCTAATAAAGATGCAATAAAAACAAAATGATTTTCAGGATGAATATTTGCCAGCCAAATAGGTCCATCAAATTTAACTTGTCGTATTACAGGTGAATCATCATTATTTTTATTTATTTTACTTAAATCCCATAATTTACAATACCAATCTTGAGATGATGTTAAAAGGTATCTTCCACAAGTTGACCAAGTTATAGAAGTTATCGGTCGAACATGACATTGTTCTGTAATATGTGCTATTAATCCATTTGAAACCATATCATATATTACAATTGATCCATCTGATAATCCAGAAGCTAAATAGTCTCCTTTATGATTGAATTGAATTGCTACTGAATGACCATAGTTTAAAGTTGTTGATAAATTCTCAGGAAATTCTTTTGCAACTGAAAAGGGATCTTGTAATTGTAAATTCATGTATTTATGTTGGTTGTATCAACTCCATTGATAATGTTTCATGTTAATTTTTATCGCGATTAAATTGATTTACTTTTTTACAACCATTTCTTATTCTACAATCAAAAATGATCAATGACATCAAATTCAGACAAATTAACAATATTTGATTTGTCTACAAGAACAATTAGATCACCTTCATTAAGTATATCATCTAATAATTCTTCAATTAATATTTTAGGTCATAAACAAAGATTTGATGATCGTTCAACCACAAAAACAAGTTTAGCATTAAGATATCATAGAAATAATTCATATCAACATGTATTAGAAAAGAAAAATTCTATTCAATTTGAAAAACAAGAATTGGAGAGTATTTTTCATTGGTCAGATTTGAAAAAGATATCAAATATAATTAATTCTTCTGAATTTATTACAAAATATGGTCAAGTATTACTAGTTAAAACAAATTCCATATTTATTGCCCTTGGAACAAGCTCTGGTAATATCGTTATTTTCAATTATAAACAAGAAATAGATTCTATTTTAGTAATCCCAGAAGAAGAAGAAAGAATAGAAGTTACTTGTATTTCATTTTCATCTGATTGTACTTTTTTCATAGCTGGATATAAAGATGGAACTATAAGATTATGGGATTTAAAAAATGGAACTGTAATATTACCTTATGATAAACTACCGTATCATACATTATATCCATCAGAATCCGAATCATCTACTAGAGAAAGTCATGCATTTAATCTGGAAATCACATATGTAAAATTCCTTCAATCACAAACTCATCAATTTATAAGTATAGATGAAACAAGTTTAATATTGCGACATAATGGAGCAAGAAAACTAATGAAAACTTATTTTACTAGTGAAAGATTATTTGGAACAAATGATATATCACGAGATGAATTACAATTAAAAGTTTTAAATTGTGGGTTATTACCTATGGGTTCTTCACATCAAATTACTGATGGAATGGGAGTAATGGCATTAATGACTCAAGACACACTCACCATAATTTCAACAATTTCATTAAATGATCCAACTTTAACCAACGTAAAGCCTCATTTCAAAGTTAGTAAATCAAAAGAATCAGGTAATAAGATAGAAACTACAGCTATGAGTTGGTTTCCTTGTGTTAATACTTTGAGTGGTATTAGTTGTGCTAAATTAGCTTATAGTTGGAATAATGTTCTTGGAATATTAGAATTAGAAAATAATGTCCTACCTTCAAATTTAATTAATATTGTAAATAATGCAAAAGATAAAGACAAAGCAGTACCAAAATTACCATTCACAAAAACATGTAAATTAGATGCAAAATTAAATATTATAGATATAAAATGGGTACAATCTAATATTTTAAGTATATTTGTTAATGAAGAAAATGAATCAATTAAAATGATGACATTTTTTTATGATAATAAATCATTAATTCCAATAGCAGAAGATACTTTCACAAATGAAGTAAAACAAATTAATATTGCAAAACATTGTTTTATATTATTAAATGAAAATAAAATCTTAATTGGTAGACAATTAAGTTGGGCTGATATATTATTATCAAATATTTCAAATTCAAATTATTTAAAAGCTTTAAATATTGCTGATGAATTTTATAATACAACTTCAGAAGGAAAATTAGTTGCTGTTGGATTACCTATAGATAAAAATAAAAGATCAGCTTTAATACGACCGTATTTGATTGAAATTATGAAAGAATCTATAAATTATTCGGTTGATCATTTAAATTTATATTTAGAAATTGTTTCATATACTGGATATATTGATATTCTAGAGAATTTAATGAATTATATTAATAATGATCAATTTTTTTTCCAAAATTTAGAACCATTTATTTTATCACAATTTATAATTAGTTTACCACCAATAGTTTTAAAAAGATTAGTTGAATATTATGCATCAAATGATATGGGAGATTTATTAACTGAACTCATATGTACTTTAGACTTGACAAGTTTAGATATTGATGTTACTATACAATTATGTAAGAAATATAAATTAAGAGAATGTTTAATATTTATTTGGAATTCATTATTAAATGATTATGAAACTCCATTACTTGAATTTATAAAAGAATTTCAAAATCCTGAATTTTTAAAAAATGATGAATATTTAAAAGCTTATGATTATATTTCTTTTATTTTAACTGGAAGACAATATCCTACTGAAAAATATATAGTTAATGGAGAATTTGATGCAATAAAATCTGTTTGTGATATTCTTTTTTCAAGTTCCTCCATCATAAGAGATAATCAAATAATTCATGCATTAAATGATGATACAATTTTTCCATATTTATATACATTTTTAAAAATAAATTCTTTTAAAACATTATCAGCATTAAATGAATTTTTTGAATCATCATTTTTAAATGATCAAATAAAATATAATAGACAATTTTTAATTGAAGCACTTTTGGATCTTTTTGAAACAAATGAACACAATTTTAATGAATTTGATAAATGTCAATTATCAATATTTATAGCAAGAAATTATCCAAAATATTCTCAATTTATAAGATTATCTGATTCAATATTAAATTCCGTTGTAAATAAATTAAGTTCAAATTTAAATTTAAAATTATTTAAAGATTGTGAATTAGCTTTACAAAGTTTAATTTCAAAATATTTACCTGATGATGAAGAATTTATTGATAAATTAAAAATTGCAGGATATTATAATGTATTAGTTGATTATTATAATTCAGAAGGAAAATATTCTATGGCTTTAGAGATGTGGTTGAAAAAAGATGAAAATAAGGGGGAAGAAGTAAAGGGAGAAGAATTAGCAGAGGAAGTAGAAGAAGAAGAAGAAGATTATGTAAAACATCTTATGATATTAATTGATCAATCTTTTGCTAAAAATAAAAATATGAATGAAAAAATAAAAGTTATTAAAGTTTTGAAAACAAAATTTAAAAGATTAGTGAAATTAGATAATGAAACATTTTTCAAATTAATTGATAAATATTCACCTCAATTACATATTGAAATATTAAAAATTGATGATGATTTATTAAAATATGATTACCTACAGAGATTGTTTAATGGTAGTAAAAACTCAATTGAATTAGATGAATTTTTATATGAATATTTAAGATTATTAATTGAATATGATAGAGATCAAGTATTTGAATTTATTAGTAATTGGAAATCTCAATTACTGAAAATTTACGCAGATAATGATCAAGTTTTACAACTTTTGAAAGAAAAACAAATCATTGATGGTCAAGCTTGTTTATTTGCATTTTCAAAAGAATATAGTAAAGCAATTGATACAATTATAGATTATATAATTCAAATTTCAAATGAGATTAATGAATCCAACAAAGACAGTATTATTAATTTAATCAACTATGCAACAGAAATTATTGAAAGTCCTCAAACTTATAATATTGAAAAAGATAATTTAACATTAAATGAACAATTATGGCTTAAATTAATTAATTCATTGATAAAACTTGCAAATACATCAAATTCTGTTGAAATTCATAATTTTTTAAATAAATTAATTCATGATTGTTTTAAAAAAATAAGTGATTATAAATTAATAAATAATAAAGGAGAACAATCATTTTTAAAAATTTTTAATTTATTTTTAGAATCATCTTCAATAGATGATCAAGGTGATTTAAATCATATAACAAAATTATCAAATATAAGAAATATTTTACAAGATTTATTTATTTCTTATAATTATGAAAATGAAATTTTAAAAATTATGTTAAAAATTATAAATAATGATTTTAAAAAAAATATGAAATTAATTCAAAAAGATAACTTGAGTGGTTGGATATTAAATAATAGAAAATGTAATTGTTGTGATAAATTAATTTTGGGAATGGAATTAAATGAAGAAGTGGTGGATCAAAATATATCAGCTTGGGAAAATAAAGAATATTATAAAATTCAACTAAAATTAGGAAAAGAATCAACTGATGATTATCGAACAGAATTTGATAAAAAATTTCATTATTTAGAACTTATTTTTTTTGAATGTGGTCATTCTTATCATTCTAAATGTCTTGAAAATTTACATAGTCCTGGAATTTGTATACTTTGTAAATAAGGAGATAGAGTACTACTTTGCTTTTGACGTAGATTAAATTTTTATTTTATTAAAAATACACTAACATATCATTAAAATTGTCTAAAACCAAAAAGATTCATAAATAATTAATACCTAAGAAATTGTCTTATTCTTTATGTTCAGTAGTTGATTTAACAGCTTCAATTTCATCCATTCCAACAATATCTTCCATTCCATCTTCAATTGCATCAGTATGATCACTTATTCTAAACCAAATTAAAGGTATAGCAATTAATAAAGAAGCTTGACATAAAGCCCAAGAACTTGCAAATAAATTCATATAAGGTAAAGCAATAGCATCTAATCTCCAAGCAATAGCTGCACCAGCAGATTGTATACCTTTATAAAATCCAGCATATAAAGCAACTTTTTTTGGATTATTTGATAATGCTCCAATACACCATAATGTAAAAGTTTGAAATAATGCATCATAAGCACCATAAAATATATAAAGAAACATTGGACCAATATATTTACCTTGAGTATAATCCATTGGTTCAATAGTTGGAGGAGTTGATTCAACTTCTTCTCTTGTAAATTCTAATTGAAATTTTAATCCACCACCCCAAATAGCTAAACCAGTAACAAATAAAATAGTCCAACCAATTCTACCTCTTGTTGAACGTTTAAAATATTTTAAATCCATTATATAACCCAAAATTATTGAACCAATCATTTGAGCAAACCAATATAATAAAGAATTCAAAGATCTTGTTCTTAAATTAAACATACCATGATTAAAATTATTAAATTGATAAGTATAAAACCAATTTGAAGCAAAAAACATTGGAAACATAAATAAAATTTTTGGTTCTTTAAATAATAATTTAAAAAGTGCAATAATTTCATCTTTTACATTTGGAGCTTTATGTTGATCAATTGCAACTCTTGTACCATCTGATTTATAAACTTTTGAAGGTTCTAACATAAAAAATGCAATACATGATCCACAACACATTAAAACAATAAATGCAATGAAAGTACCATTATTTGCTGCTGATCCAGTATTATTAATATTATCAGCTAATGGAATTATTGAACCAATAACAGCACCTAAATTAAAAATAACCCAAAATATCATAATTGCTTTACCTTTATTTTTTTCATCTGAATAACTTAAAACAACTTGTCCTTGAGCTGCCCATAATACTGCTGCACATAACCCCAAGAATGCTCCTGCAAATATAACAAATCCTTTATTTTCATTATGATTAAAACTTAATAATGATCCAGCATATAATGCATAACCAATACCTCCAAACATTAAAGAATACTTAACTCCTAAAATATTTACTATAGTACCTCCGAAAAAACCAATTGTTGCAAATGTTGAATATAATGCAACTGATGCATTATCTGATGTTGGTTTATCACTTATACTTGCACCTATACCACTTAATGCATTAAACATACCAGGTGTCTGAGGGATTCAGTTAGTATTTGGACATTCTCTCTTGCTGGAAAGTGATAGTAATCCACGAGATATAATCTCTTCTGGTCTTACTACTCATTCCAATTTTTTTATGAAACACTTCTTCATAAATCTAAATACATACCATAAATATAACAAAAGCACAAACAACAATTTGTACCATTGAATTTGAATAATGAAAATTTTTACCAAATATTCTAAAAGTTTTATCATACCAATTTCCACTACTTGAAATTTCTTCAATTGTATGATGTTTTAATTCTAAATGAACATCATCATCATGAGAATATTTTTCATTTATATTATTTTCTAAATCTTTTGAATGTGATGAACTTGAAGTTACTTCTACTGCATGAGTTGCTTTTTCATCTGTTGTTGATGTCATTTTTAAGTATTTCGAGATTTTATTTTATGATATTGGTTTATACTATGAATGAAATATTATTGAAATTTTGATGAAAAATTATTGAAAATTCTGAAAATTTGAATTGAATTAGTTGGATTGAATTTGTTGGATTGGTTGATCTGTTATTGATCTGAGTGATTTTGTAACAAGTCGTGATCTGATTGAATTTGTCTTGCCTTTATATAACTATCAAAGTTATAATTGTTTATGATTTGAATTAGAATAGGTTGATGGTTAAATGAAAAATGGAAAAATGAAAAATTTCAAATGAAGGTTTTATCGTTTATTTATAATAATGAATGAATGAATATTATTCCATGATTTTATATTTTTCATTATTCAACACAATCATTTTCTATTGATAAGATAATAAAGAAATCAATAAATTTTTGTTTGTTCTATTTTACTAATTAATAAAACGCATAATTAATTAAAAAATTATCTACACAAAGTAAACAATAGAAAGAGTAGGTATAAAGGGCCATACTTACATGATATTAAATCTCCACTTTGATTTGACTCTAAAGTCAAACTAGTCTCAACTAAAAGTTAAAATCAAGCTAAGTTACGAATTCAAACACTAAGATATGCTTACTCCAGGTTTTAATGAATCATCTATAACACAAATGCATAGTCACAAGTTGAATATCTATAAGAAAAAATATTATAATATTCAATTGTTGTATTTGTCATAGAAAATTGAAACAAGCTATGGAATATTGATAAAAAATAAATTGGAGATTGTAACATAAATACATTTAAAACAATAAAATAATTATGAACACAACCACCACCACTCTGAGTAACTACTACTAATAATGCTACTATTCAAAGTTATTAAAGGGAGAGAACATGTTTTCTACTAATTTAAGATAATGGAAAAATTCAACAATCTAATTAAATCATATTGTTTAACCAATAGTATATCCACAATGAAATTTGTTCAAGAACAATACCATTAGATTAAAAACAGATGGTTATAAATCAATAATTTTCAATTATGACAATTTCATGAAACAATAAGACTACTAAACTAAAATATTAATATTGACAGATTTATTAGACACTCCCCAAATGTTTTTCTAAAAATTCTATTTATAATTTAACGTATTTCTACTAAATTCATTTTAAACTTTACATTGTTTTTGTACATATAATTTTATTCAGTAACAGTACTTTTTAAGTAAGGTTAGTAATTGCATTGAACCATTAGTAAGAAAATTGATAATTTATTCTTTTTCAATTACAATACAATCTGCCTCTAATCTAACTCTCTTTTTACAATTCCCTTAGGTTTAATTAGAACCCGTTCTTAGACCTAACTTTTCACCGGTTAATTCAATTTAATTAAGTAACCCAAAAAACAAATCGAAGAGAGAGAGAGGGAGGGAGGGGTGGAGGAATAAAGTGACAAAAGAAAAAGCGCAAATTGGACTAAATTTATACTAATTAATGCCTTATGCTTTTATAATATTATACAGTAATAAAATTACATGCATGTTAGCCGTATAATTAGACTGATTGACGAAAACACTTTTATTATTTGATTCCAAGTTGAAATTTTCTTATGAAACATTAATTCTAAATTAAACAGATCTAGATTATGTAAAATATTTGAGACAAAATTAACGTATGATTTAAAGAGGTAATACATTAAGGGAGTCAAAAGAAAAGGAAATGAATCTGTTCTACTCAACAATCAGTAGTATTTGTATACCAACCCCTGGTTAATACATTTCTACTTACCGTCCTTTATCTCGTTGAAATTAATTCTATTTGGCTTATACTTGAACATTAATATTAATAAACCTGTATATAAACAAATTATGAAACTGCAACACCGTTTCATTTACACAAAAATAAAAATTTAAAATAAAAAAAAAAAAAACATCTCGTAATTTTATTGGTAGCAGCAAGCTGTCAATAATTATTTATATACATTACTGGATAAGGAAAGATCTATAATTCTGAAACAAATGATACTATACACGTTATGACTATAATCTAGTAAAACTTATCTTAGTGAGTTGTATCAACGTAATTTTAATTCTTGACTAATTACTCATCAAAGCAAGTTGTATAATAAAAATTTATTTTGCAACCTAGGAACTATAAACACAATTTCGATTACGCGATTTTAGATCAGTACCTTAAAATTTTTTTGCAAAACTTACCCCGGATTTTAAAAAATTCTTAGATTACTGAATCAATATTTTTGTGGATATCTGAGATTTATTGATTTGATTGCTGTGGTTTTTGAGAATCTTCTCGATCAAATTATTGAGATTATGAGTTATCAAGAGAATACAAATGCTTTACGCTATTCAAAAAATGTTGTCGACTTTTGGTCAATTATTGATTTCAATTTGGTGAGGAAATGAACAACTGAAAAGTATTACAAGATCAAAACAAAACTCCTAGGTGTTTTTTCATTCGAGCTATAGCATGTATTAGCTAGCCAGAATAAATTTTCGCAAAGAAATATGATGTAAAAGTTTAAAATTTTTTACAACAATTCTGAAACAAATTTAGTTAAAAAGCCGTTTCATACTAAAAAAAACTTTAATTTAAAATTATTCTAAAAAAGTTTAACTCCAAAGACCCTTCAACTATGGAGTATAACAATCAGCATCAACTATGAATTTTTGATTTTTACTCCAGAATTCTCCAGATTTAAGAAAATTTATTCGCCTGGGACTAAACTTTATTCAAAATACAAGCTTTTGAAACAGATTTCTGCTCATCTGTTGTTTTCTAAAAGAATTGTGGGGAAGCGCTAACATTGGGATGAGAAGTTAAGTTACATTAACGGAACTGACAAGGGAATCTGATACGGTTAAAGTCATCAAATTTCAATTGATTCGAATTTCGTTGCATGAGTTACAGAATTAAAATAAAAATAGTGCATCATTTAGCTTATGTATCAAAAAATTGATTACATACTAAACATTTTTTCAATATCAATCGAGCTCCATTAGATCAGAAGATGTACAAAAGGTACCGAAAACTGCAAGATGATCGGCATTTGCTTTGTTCAATACTAAACCAGTAATTTTTAGACTAGTTTCTATGTGACATTAAATATTTTATTTTTTTTCTCAATGTAACATCACCAAATAATTTTGATGTTGCATTTTAATATTTATACACACGATAATAATAATTTGAAACACAAGATCAAAATCTCCAATACTTATTATTGTTTTTACTTCGTAATTGGTATTATCTCGGTATTGATCTTCGATTTGAGCGGGATCGGATGATGGGTTTTTAAGGCGGCCCAATTATTTAACCAGGATTATTAGTTTCGGAACTAAGCCGTATACTTCGTTCTTTTGCAAGTCAAGTCAATGATTCCACATTGCAGAAATAAGTAGAATAAAAAAATTTACTTAGACATCGACAAGTTGAATGTTATTAAAGAAAACTCGAACCGTTTTTGATTTCAATTTTATTTATTAAAAATTAAATGCAATATTAAATTAGGGTCCAAATGAAAAACAAAAATATAAATCAAGCCGGAAAAATGCAATCAGAAAAAGTGTATTTTAAACTTAGTGTAAAGACATAAGTTGTAAACTTGTAAATCGTGAGAAAAATATTGAGACTAGATGTCCTTCAAAACTCTTTTTTATCAACTTCAATTTTCTTCTTCATCAACTTCATTTATATCACAAACTGAATTAAATCCAATACCATTAGGTATAGAAAAAGTATGAGAATGATTAAAAATTTCAAAATTATTATTATTATTATTATTATTTCTTTTTAAATTTGAAATTGATTTTGATTTTCTTACATTTCTATCACCACCAAAGGAAGTTGTAGGTATTGAAAATTCAACTGGTGTATCATTTATTGGATCATATATTGATGAATGTGAATTATTAATATTTGATTGTATTGTTGATAAAGTTAATGAATTATCTTCTTCTAAATCATTACTTTTAGGTGTATTTATATTCAAATCAATTGTTGATAATGGTGATGATATTTTCGGTGATAATGTAGATGAATCTTTTGTTTTCAGTAATGATGGTTGTTGTTGTTTTATTAAATTAATTTTCGATGTTGAAATTGATCGTTTAGGAAATTGAAAATTTTTTGAAGTTGGTGATTGAAATTTATTTGGTGATTGATCATTTAAGGTTGTTGTTGTAATTGATGAAGAAATTGATGGTTTTTTACTATCAAAATAATCAGTAATTGAAGAATTTGAAGTTGAAGTAGATGATGCTGAATTATCATGAATTAAACTTGGACTTTGATAAAGGTTTTGATTATGATTATGATTATGGTTGTTATGATTATGGTTGTTATGACTATGATTCGATGTTGAATCAATAAATGGAGAATTTGGAGTATCAAAATTTAATAACAGATTATTTTCTGAATTTATTGATGAAGATCTTGATAATGTTGAATTTATTGATAATGAAGATGATGAAAAATTTGATGAATATGATTTTCTATGATATTGAGAATATAAACTATTATTATTTCTATATGAAGTTGAAGGAGGTAAAAAATTAGGTCTTTGAAGTGTTGTGGATGAGGTGGTTGAGTTTGTGTTAGTATTGGTTGAAGTTATTGGTGGAGTTGAATCATCATTAAATTGAAAATGTTGTAATGTTGGTGAACTTGCTGGTGATGATGAATTTGATTGTTGATTATAATTTGGAGCTGTATAAAATATTGTTGAATTATTATCAAACAATTTTAATGATTGATGATTTGTATTTGAACTAAAAGTATTTGCTCTTGTTAATCTTAAGTTTAAATTAACTTTTGAATTTGATTTTTGACGTTTTATTGTCTTTTTATTGGAATTATTATTATTAGAATAATATAAATTTGAAAAAGATGATGATTTATTATGTTGTTGATGATATTCATTATCATTATTCCAAACTTCATTTACCAGATTATTTGAAATTGATGAATTAAATTGATTGAAAGATTTAGCTCTATTTAATAATTTATTTTCATTTCTTATATTATTTATTAAATTTTTACTATCATTATTTTGATTCATTGGTATATAATTTTTTGGATAACAAAAATTTGGAAATTTTTCAAAAAATCCTTTATATCCACCTTCTAATATAACAATATCTGGCCAAGTTAAATATGGATAATTATTTTTATTTATTAATCTATCATATCTTCTCCATTCTTTTGCCATTAATATACTTCTATAAACTGAAAATTCACAATGAAATATTAATAATGTAGTTGGTGAATCTTCATCTTCATTCATTAATTTTTGAATTTTATTTTCTAAATCATCATATGAGTTTATATTAATTGCTGAATTTATATGACCTCCATTATATTCATATTGAAATCGACAATCTACTATTAAAAATTTATTGAATTCATGATTATGTTCACCTTTTAAAATTTTTTCTAATTGAGTTTCATTTATTCTTAATAATGTATCTGAATTATTTAAACTTTTATGATATTTAATAGTTGAATTTTTTAAATTTGTATTATCATTATTATAATCTATAATTTTACAATCTTCAAGTTCTTTTTGAGTAGTTGAAACTGAATGATATCTTCTAAAATTAGGTTTATTAATTAATTTTATTGATGAAGTTGATGAAGGAAAAGGTTTTTCTACCATTTTAGATGGCAGATTATTAATATTATTACTTATTGATATCGAGTTTCTTTGTGACCGATTTCTTAAGTTTTCAGTTGGTGAACCTAATTGTATTGTATCAAAAGTATCATCTTCATCTGAATCACAATCTGTTACAACTTCTTCTACTTCTTCGTTTTCTTGTGATTGTTTTCCTGTTTCTTCAACTTCATCTTTTGATGTATCAGGATTAATTGCAGTCATATGAAAACTATTGAAAAAACTATGCGATGCTTTTGATATTGCTTTTATTGAAGAATGTAAATTTGTGAGACTTTTTAAAGGTTTTCGACTACTCAATGGAGAATCTGAAATTTTTGATGATGATGACGACAAATTCTTAGATTTTTGAAAAATTGGTGATGTAAGTGATGCAAATGATGATTTTTTCTTTAATTGTGAATTGTTTTTACTGTCTTTTACTACATTGTCTGATTTAAATGTTGTTGGATAATTATATTTATCATTAATCGTAAAATAATCTGTTGATTCAAATGTTTCATCCATATATGAACTTAATGGTCTATTTCTTTTAGTCCTTTGTGATTCAATTTTATTTAGATTTAAGTCATTTGTAAAATTATATTGTCTTGTTGGATTTAAAGTTGATGAATCCGTATTTTTTGATGTAAATTTTTTGTCCTCATTTTGATTCATATTATGATATTATTTGAACGAAGGAGGAAGATCTATTTGGAAAAATGGAGTTAAGGAGTTTATCAAGTTGTTGAATTTGAGGTGTTCTTTGATAAATTGATGGTTGAAAATCAATATTAATTGTAATTTTAATGTCCCGACAATGATATCTCTTGTGATCTGGTGGATTGTTAAAAAGTGTTAATGAATGATTCTTATCTACTCGATTTTCTTACTTTTTTCACTATTTATTTTCTTTGGTTTTTCAAATGATGGTGTTTCTTTGTCTTAATTCCTCCAACGTTACTTTGATTTATGACTTTCCGGTCACTTTCTTTGGTTGTAAAAATATTTTATAATTGTTAAACTATTTAGATTAAATTATAATAATTTTTGATTGATTATTAAAAAGAGAAATTTGATAATATTGATACTGTATACAAATCTAAATAAATAAAGAGTACAAAAAGCTTTTAATATGTTTCAATTGCTTTCAACTTGAAACACAAGCTCTAACAATCGACCAAACTACGCGTATTCCCTTTGACTGTTGCTCTTTCACTAAACTAGGCTATATACAATGCAACACTTGATCTACTCCAAATTGTTTGACTAAATCAATTCAAAGATTTATGAAGCACATCTTCAATTGAACACTCCCTTGATCCCTTACTTTATTAATAAAAGTTTAAAGACTAAACTTGATTTAATGAGACCTCTCGAACATTTAAGGTTTTATCGTATTGTTCTTATTCCGTTCAATTTCATTTCATGATTTCAGTGGAGTAAAAAGTATGAAGAGTAGCTACAACCCCCCAAACTTTTGTGTATCGTTTTTATGTTTATTTATTTATTTTGTTCTTTCGTTTTTGTACTTTTTTTCTTTTGATTTTGTGTTATTGTTATACGAACATAATAAATTTATTTATATTTTAGTAAGATTATAAATGAAATTTTCAAATGATTAGAACTACCCTAATACTTGAAGATTTCAACAGGGTGAAGAAGACTGTTACAATTGCTTGAAAAGCTTGCTCATACTATTTTTTCTTCTCAAGAATTTGATTAGGTATCTACAGATATCCAGAGTTTAGTCATTTGATTAATGGCACAATAATAATATATAATACCAAGAATATTACTACTTAGATTGTCAAAAAATAGTCATGTAAACTTTAATTTGAACGTCATGTTGTTACAACCTGAAGTCGTTTACAACTTGTTTTGCATAATATTTTAATTCATGATGTTGTATCGTATAAGATGAAACTATCAACAAAAGATCAATTTAATTGAACTTCCTCCTTATGTTGATATAAAAACTAGATATATCAGCTTGGAGAGAGATTAAACACTTAATGATACACGTCAGCAAGACAATTGGAAAAATACGTTGCTTCAACTTCATTTGGATTAAAAACATTACTTTGACGAATAAAAGTTATATTCAGACCTAAAATTAAGGTACGATATTACATTGTAGTTCCCATATCTGTTGCATTTGCAAAATCCGACGATCTGAAGTCGTAGTAAACGAATACAAACATCAATTATACTTAATGCTAAATACTATAGCAGGAAGAATAAAAAGAGAAATAACGTTTCAGAAAGTTTTTACACTAATTGATCAGCCGTATTTCATTTTCTCATCCTTGATTATACCTTTTCCATCTTGTGAAGTTTGAAATTTGAAATTTGGAAGTTGAAAATTTCATATTCAAATGATTTATTATTTTTTATTCAAACAATAAATTATTACGCGTATTTAATTTTAGTCAACTTACTTAACTTGATAAATAATTATAGATAATTTTGTGTCATATTCAATTTAATCAGTAGTGTATAAATATCAATTTTTTTTTCAAAGCTCAACCACTTCCTTACTTAAGATTTTATTTTGAATGTCACTAACAACATTAGAAATTCAATCCACAATTCATGAACTTAGAAAGAATTGGGAATCATTACAAAAACATACAAAAGCAGGATCAGATGGTATAAAATATCATGCATTAAAACCCTTGTTGGAACTATTAGGAGATACTTTGACACAAGTTGGAAATCAACTCACGGAATTAGGACAATTACTACTATCCCTGCAATAAATCATAATTAAACTCATCCCGAAGAAAATAAAACTAAACAAGTATCAAATCAATGGATCAAAAGTTTGATATGATCCATCTATTCTGTATTTGTTTAGATTTATCTTTTCATCGTGAGTTTTTTTTTTGAACAAAAATTACAACCTTTAGTTTCAAAAATAATTGAATTACTCACGAATGGGATTTCTAAAGGAAAGAAATATAATCGATGCTGTTAATATACTTTTTAACAAGATAAAAGGTTCACAAAGTATAACAAATTGAATGCTTTATAAACATTTGATACCACAGATGACGAATACTTTTTAAAATAGAACTACAGAGAAATTTCTTGTAGTGATTCAATTATTTAATGAAGCATTCGATATCTGTGGAGTTAGATTATTATAAAGCATTAATTCAATAGATCAAGAGTAAATTGAAACATTATTATATCACATCAATCAAGGTCTCAAAGCCATTTACTAACAATCATAACACAACACAAATCATCTATAGAAATAAATCAACTTTATGGCCATCATTTAGAAGTATATAGGTTATCAATTTCAATATCTGTTATATTCGTGTTTTAGGTGGGATTTTCTTTTTTATTAATCCCATTATTTTACTTATTGGTAAGATCTGGTTTATCTTTTTTACCTAATATTGCCATTAGTCAAATAGCATATGCCTTGATTTATCCTTAACGCTTGATCAAGTAAAGGTAATTAAACTTCCTCATTCTCCTCGGTCTGGTATAAGATTATTATTATTATTCTTCCAATTATATTGTTTATATTTGATTACTATCTTTAGTATTTCTAATTAATTTTGTAAATTTAACTCAAATTTCCTATCTTTCAAAGACATATTCACATATCAGCATAGCGCTGTTTCAACTTCCTTCGGAGGACACGTGAGACACTTCAAAATCAGCGATGCTTCATTTGAATGTCTAGCAACATTTGTATTTTCTTCACCTAACTGATCAATACTTTGAAATGCCGGTCTGCAACCCACTGTTAAAATATTTGATCTTATATCATGAAAATCTCTAATTTTTGCTACTCTTAAACCCTCAAATCTATTCGGTATGCCATAATCTATGGGTGCGTAATCTATAGATATAATACCACCCAAATAATTAAACTCTGCTGGTGGTGGTATTCCATTATCACCTTTTGCCCAGAAAGCTGATTTAAATGGGATTACATTTGATTTACCCTTTTCGAAAATTTCATCACTGAATAGTTTTAACAGAGCTCCCGGTAAAACAGCTGCACCCTTAAAGATTGAACCAAAATAAACTCCAGACTCATCCCCTGCGCTCATACCATCTAAAAATAAAGCTGGGTTCTTTCTTAATGATGTAAGTCTCAAATTTATTCTATAATTAGTTGACCAAGTTGTTACTTTACTAACTGTATCTTCAAATCCTGGTATAGAACAACTACCACCATCATATGTTGAATATATGACATGATTCATTTTTTTACCAACAGGTAATATAATGGACTCAGGGTTTAGAATTGTAGTTGGTTCAACCCAATACCACGGTGCAACCACTTCCATATTATAGTGTTCTACCTTCCATTTTGAATCTTCATAAGCATTTGACACAAATCTCTCCAACCAATTTTTCATTGATGTCTCTTTCCCTAAATATCTAGTGAACATTCTAACTAAGTTACGCATCATCCTAATATATGGTGTTCTCAAGTTATTCTTATGAATCATTAGCCTTTGCTGAGTATCATTGACTATTTTGATATCCCCAAATTTATACCGGCTCGAATACGCCTCAGGAACAGTTGAGCTAACAGTTGGAAACCAAGCATTATCTTTTATACCACCAATATCCGCAGGGTATACCATTGCTGCACTCGCTAAAGCTAATGAATCAAGGAAACAACATATGTTACTGCGTGTTCCATATAGCGGGTAAGCTAACAAGTTTGAACTCAAATTTATTCCTACAACATACCCTGAAGGTTTTGCAATGCTTCTCCTCATTGCTCTAAAAATATCTCTTGTCAAACCTCCCTCATCTGTATGAGCAACAACAGTTGTAGAACTGTGTAATCCAGCTAATAAGATTAAACAGAATCTATCAAATGAGTTAGCGTCTAAATATAAATTAGACATATAGTCCAATATTGCCCATAAAGATTGAGCAAAAATGCCACCTTCCTGATTTATAGTCTCGTAATTGTCTTCATCATCGGTAGGCATACCATGAGCATAAACATTTGATCCCAAGGATCTACATATTGCAATGAACAACTGGTATCCACCAAATGTCAAACCTTTCATAGCACCATTTGCAAGATAAACATCCACAACGCCCTCTGACATATTCTTGTTCAATACATGTGCTGGAATTATCGACCCGTAGCCCTCGTTACTGCTCAACTCACTAAGTGACAATGATGATACGTCTTCGTGATTTACATATGCACATAACATCTCAACCACTCTATAAATTACTCCATCAAAATCAAAACCCTGGTTTGGATTAACGATCATCTGTCCATCAGATTTCGTTGAAGTAACTAATAATTCTCTCATTTCTTCAGTTGTATCAATCAATGGCAATGCCCCTTTGATCAAATAACGATGTTTAAATGTTTCCTTTAGTTGATGCAACATCTCCTCGTAGTTATCATATCTTGAACCAACACGATACAAAATAGGAATATGATCTTGAATCGGTAATGATTTTAAAATCGAGGTCATTACTAATATGCTTTTGTAAGTTCTAAAAGTCTTCAGATTTAATGAAGGTAAATTGTTCGGAACATTTGACCACAAATAAAGATGTGATAGATATCTATTGAATTCAGTTTCATTTTCGTCTCCTTCAACCACTGATGATTTAGGAAATACAGGATCTGGTGGTGAAAAGTTGTCACCTTTAGGATGAATAAAATCAGACATTGGATTTAGCGTTTAACTTATTTGTGGTTGTATAATATGTACACTGGCTTAATTATTATAGAGGGAAAAAAATGTATGTGTACTCCCGCTTTTGGTCAATTTAAATGCTACCACTTGGATTTAGTCGAGGTTGTTTTACATTACAATTTTGTTGATAATGTTTATAGACTTTGTTTCATCGATCCATTCCATTCGTTTTAGTTAGTTAATAAGTTTATTTATCAGGGATTTTTCAATATTTGAGATAAAGATTATGTGTCAAACGTTCTGCGTCAGGCTCAAAATATTGATTTGTGAACAGTTCAAATCTGAACTGTTCACTATAGCTCATACATACTCAAAAGTTAAATACTAATTTATTAGTAGAAATATCAATATACCTACCCAAAATCTTTTCAGTAGAGGTTTTTTTACTCCTAGGTTGATTGATATTTTCCAATTAATAGTTGAAAAGTTTCATCGATTTCTTTATGCGCTTATTTTGTGGATCTAGAAGTTATCTAGTCAGTTCAGCATATAAGGTCGAAATCAGGTGCTATTAACAAAAATCAATTGAACTTTACTCCTTTAAAATTCCATCACTGTGGAGCTCGTTACAAATATTTCATCGAAAACTGTGAAGGATACCTAACACTGGACATTTTTGAATAATCAGTCTTTCTTTCTATCATTATCAATGATTAGTAGTATACAACTTAAGCTTATATATAGTGACTACCAATTGATTTCTAATAATCGTAATTTACTACCAATTTGAGTATTTTTTGTACCTTGAATTTACTAAGAAAAAATTATTTGTGTTTCAGAATTTAAATATATTATGTAATGTATTATGTAATATACAATCCATTTATTACATAATACATAGTATATAAAAAAACAATAAGATAATACAAAAATTAATTAACAAAATTTCATGAGGGAATTTTAGTAATAATTAATATTTGAACATCTTTACACTACCCATAATAAATAAATAATAAATAGTCTAGTTGACATGTTGAAAATTATCAAAATTAACAATACTTTGTCCTAAGTGAGCTATAAGATTAATTAAGGTGGAGCATCAGAAGTGTTGTAGATTACAATTTTAGTTAATTTACTCTTCCATCTTGAAATTAAATATTGTACAACTAATAATTTATATTCCTGTGTTAAAATTTAAATCAAAATTTACTCTCTTTTAAACCAACAAAGAAAAAAAAAAAAATTAATAATTATTATTATCAAAATTTAATTAGAGTTGATCATTTAAAATTTCTACAATTTTCATCAGTTCACACCAATAGTCAATCATCTAGTAACAGGATACGAAAGACAGAGTACCTTTTATTTATCTGTACTGCCAACAACTGATACAAGGGTTTGGAAATTCGGTGAAAAAAAAACGTTACAGAGTCAATTATTAATTGTTTATTATCTTTTCATAAGGATTTGAAATTTGGAAATTTACAACCAACTAAATTAAAATAATTAATCAATCAACGAAAAGAGTATTAAACCAAATACTAAAGTAAAGATTCAAAGCTTTCACCATTTAGTAAATCAAAGAACTTGGAAATATCAAAAAAATGCTGCAAATATCAAATGATACCCCACCAAAATTACCAAAAATTAATAAATTAACAACATCTTCATCTTCATCTCCACCAAATCAATATCAAAAATTACCATCAATTAGGAATCATGATATACAAAATAATTCAAATTCATCACATCCAAGATTACCATCTATACAAATTAGAGATAATCAACCACAAACTTTACCTTCACATCATCAATTAACTCAACCATCTCATTCACCTCCACAACAATCACATCCTCATTTACCAAGTATAAGTCATCATCAACCTCATCCTTCTCATCGTCCTCCTCATCAACCTCCTTATCCTCCTCCACATCAACAACATCCACATGCTTATAATCCACAAATTCATCATCCTCCACCACCTCATTTACAAGATGTTACTTCATCAACAATTAATAAAAGAAAAGATACTGGACATTATTCTTCTTCTGATCATGAAACTAGTTCAAAACCAACATCGGATTCTTTAACAAGTCATACTTTCCCACCACCAAAACGTCATAAACCAGTTACTTTAAATTTAAATGGTACCAATAATGCAGATTTAGCTTTAAGAATTGTTAGTCCAGGTTTAATATCATTAAATGATGAAATGAAATCAACTGTTAAATTATCTCATAAAATTCATCAACAACAAAGAAATTTAATTGCTTTAAGAAATGGTAAAGATTTAAATAGTAGACAAGTTGAACCAACATTATCAGTTATAACAACTGCTGCAGTAACTGGTAATGATCCAAATTCTGCAAATTTAAATTCAGATCAAAAATTTATTCTTGAAACAATTCGTAAAAATAAACATAGTGATGGAGTTATATTAATTGCAAATCCTCCAAAAGAAAATCCACAAAAGGAAAATCCACCAAAGGGAATCAATGAAGAACAACCTCCTAATTCTCCTCAAAAGCCAATAGTTATAGAAGATGAATCTCCAACTTATGCTGCTGATGATACTGAATTAACAAGATTATCTGAATTTAAAAATAAAAAAATGAAAAGAAATAATATACCACAACCTTTAACAATTGATCCATCAACTAATTCAATACCTATAAGTTCACCTTCAATACTATCTGCTCCAATAAGAACTATTGCACCTGATTTTAGAGGTAAAAAGAGACAACTATCTCAAGCTCCTCCTGCACCTGGACCACCACCACCTCCTCAAGCTTCTATAACAGTTCCTCAATTCAGTAATAGTTTTTCATCTACATCATCCTCATCATTACCAAATATTGGTTCTATTATTCCATCATTAAAGAGTAATCGAAATGGTTTACCACCTAACGGTATAACACCTTTACCACCTCAACTTCCTCAACATCAATCCTATACTTATGGAAATCAATCTTCACCTCCACCACCATCAAATTATAATCCTTTAAAACCAGTTACAAGATCAGGTGTACCACCAAGATTTAGAACTCATGGTAGCAAATCAACTTCAGCAGTTCCATTTACATTAACACCAACTTCATCATCTCAATCACAAGCAAATATACAATATCAACAACAACAAGAATCAATAAAAGCATCATTATCAAATCAAAAAAGTGCGGTAACTGATGTTTTTAATGATAATCATCATAGAGCTGCTCCATTAAATTCTCAACCACCTTCAACAAGACGTGAATTTTTTACAAATGGTCAAAAAAATATTATATTAGAAAATGATGAAAATTCGAATCAACCTGTACCTCAATATGTATCAGTATATCCACCACCACAAACACAGTACTATAGACAACCTTTACCACCTCAAGGACAAATTGATCCAAATCAAAAACCATATCCACCACAACCATATAGTATACCTATAGCACCATCATCATCATATGGACCACCACCACCACCAAATACTTTTAATAATGGTAATATTTCATCTTCACAAACTTTTCAATTACAACAAGTTCCTGATTCTCAATCACCATTAAAAAGTGGAGAAATATTTGGTAGTGTAAATTTTATGAATGAAAATGTATTTAATTTTAGAATATATGAGAAGAAAGATAAGGAGGATGAAAAAAATGGTAAAAAAGAAGAAGATACAAAAGGTAATGATAAAAAGGATGATAAGACAGATGAAGAAATTATAAAAATTGATGAAGAACCAAAAAGGAAAAGAGGTAGACCAAGTACTAAAACTGAAGATAAAGAGAAAGAGAAAGAAAAAGATAAAGATAAAAAGGAAGAAAAAGATAAAGAAAAAGATAAAGATAAAAAAGAAGAATCAGTAGAATTGGATAAAAATAAAGAAATTGATTTATCTTATCAAAAAGAAAAATTTATGAAAATTTGTGAAACTTGTTGGGATGAATTTGTAAAGACTAGAAAAGAACATTAATTAATAATTAATTAACTATTATATTTTACTTTTTTAATAACTAATTAGATACAATTTATTAATATTTGAATTTATGTTGATTTTTTTTTTTTCGGTTGAATTTCTTGGTGTAGAGCCAGTTTAGTTTGTCTTGTAGTGGATCTTTATGTTCTCGAAATGTCGTCTTTTCCTAATTCTTTAGGTAGCTTATAAACTAGATGATTCAATGTGTAAATTTGGTTTCTCTGATGGAGATGATAGTTCTATCGGTTTAACTGACTGTTTATTATGAATTCAATTTTGCGCATCAATTCCATTTTTTTTTTTGCAACCAAATTGATCATACCAAACAACTCAAAAATTTAATTCAAGCATCTCTCTAGGTGACGATGTTAATTGACTTATATAACAAACAGATAGAAGTGAAAAACAAGGAAATTGAAGAAAAATATTTGAAAACAAAAGCTAGCAAACCATCTGCTCAATTTGTAAATACTTCAGATTCTTCAAGTAAATATAGTACTATCAATACAACTGCAAAAATCTCAACTTCAAATTCTCAAAATGATAAACTAAAAAGTGATAAGCCTCCGCTAAAGGAAAACACTAATTTGTTAAATATTAGTCCTGGTGAAGCTCCAAAATTTCATAGTCGTCCTGATTCAAAATTTTATACAATTAATATTAATGAAAATCATGCAAATAATCAACGAAATGTACACTTTTTTACAACCACCACCGCCACTACTAAAGAAATTGATGATTCAAATAATAAATTTTATGATCATTCATTCATTGACCCAACTATACATGAGAATTTAACGGTCCCAAACAAAACATCAAATAAATTTTTTAGTATGAGTAAACTCAAAACTGACTTGAAAAATCAAACCTATAAGCAAAAATTAGATCATATAAAGAATAAGTTTGAAACTTCTAAAACTAAATTTGATACATTTAGGGCTAAGTTTCATCGATTAAACCATAGTCATGACAAAGATAGAACAATTAGATTTGGCCATTTTAGATTTAAGGACAATAATAAGGATGATACAAATCATGATGTCAAAGAAAATAAAGAAGGAGCTGATACCGTTAAATTTGAACCCAATAAACACAATTAAAGCAATGAAATCAAATTTAGTCGATAGCACCCTTATGATCACGATATAACAAGTCATTCATATTTAGGTTGCAAAAAATCATTTGGTAGTAGTTGTTAGTTGTTTTAATGTTTGATTTTCATTCTCATTTTTTCAAATAAATTCCGACTCAAACATTTATCATCATACATATCACACATAAATTGAATAATTGTATATACATGACATGCTAAATAGTCAAATATCGTTGAGACTCCTAAGTGGGTCCATAAGATCACAACTTAGAACTAGATACATATCACGAACATCATTAATACTGCCACATATAAGGTCATTTTCAAGTATATCGCGCCACTCATTTCATCAATCTTTCATCAATTTCAACAAACAAAATCAACCAAAAGATGATAAAGATAAAGACAACGACAATAATGACATTGATAAAAAAGCTAGAGAAGAATATGAAGCGAAACTAAATGAAAGAAATTATACCAAAAAGAATGAAGATCCCAAAAATAAACCAAAAGATGAAGAAGAAGATAAAATACGTGAAGAATTAAAGAAAAAATTCATGAAAAAACATCCAGGAATTCAACCAAAAGATTTTAAAATATATAAAATTGAATGGAAACAAATTATAAATATATTATTTATAACAAGTTCTTCATTATTAATTTGGCTTTATGTACTATCAACTTTTAAAGATGAAAAAAATCAACAAGAATTATCTATGCAAAGTTTTATAACGAATTATTTGGAAAAGGGTTTAGTTAAAAAATTAACGGTTATAAATAAATATGTTGTTGAAGCACAATTAATACCAGGTGCTGCAAGTTCAAATACTTTTAATAAATCAGATGGAACTCCAGCTGTTATGTTTACTATTGGATCAATTGAATATTTTGAAGATGAAATGAATAAAGTACAAGATCGTTTGCAAATTCCAATTAATGAAAGGATACCAATAGTATATGAAGATAAAGGATCATGGATGAATTATATTTTACCTATTTTACCAACTGTTTTATTAATTGGTGGATTATATTATTTAACAATGAGAAGAATGCCTGGTAATCAAGGAGGTGGTGCTGGTGGTGCTGGTGGACCAGGTGGAATTTTCAAAATTGGTAAATCAAAAGCTAAATTATTTAATCAAGAAACTGAAGTTAAAATAAAATTTAAAGATGTTGCAGGATGTGAAGAATCAAAAGAAGAAATTATGGAATTTGTTAAATTTTTACAAGATCCTCAAAAATATGAAAAATTAGGTGCAAAAATTCCAAGAGGTGCTATATTAAGTGGTCCTCCAGGAACTGGTAAAACTTTATTAGCAAAAGCAACAGCAGGTGAAGCAGGTGTTCCATTTTTATCTGTTAGTGGTTCTGAATTTGTTGAAATGTTTGTTGGTGTTGGTGCTTCAAGAGTTAGAGATTTATTTAAAACTGCAAGAGATATGGCTCCTGCTATTATTTTTGTTGATGAAATTGATGCAATTGGTAAAGAAAGAGGTAATGGTAGAATGGGAGGTAATGATGAAAGAGAAAATACTTTAAATCAATTATTAGTTGAAATGGATGGATTTGATACAACTGATCATGTTGTTGTGTTAGCTGGTACAAATAGACCTGATATTTTAGATAAAGCATTATTAAGACCTGGTAGATTTGATAGACATATTTCAATTGATGTACCTGATGTTGAAGGAAGAAAAGAAATATTTAAAGTACATTTATCAAAAATAAAATTACAATGTGTTGAAGAAATAGATATAAAACAAAAAGATATTGATTTTGCAAAATTTCAACAATTAAAAAATAATTCAATAGAACAATTAGCAGGTAGATTAGGTGCATTAACTCCAGGATTTGCAGGTGCTGATATTGCAAATTGTTGTAATGAAGGTGCTTTAATAGCAGCTAGAGAAAATGCTGAAGCTGTAGATGTTCATCATTTTGAACAAGCAATTGAAAGAGTTGTTGCAGGATTAGAGAAAAAATCAAAAATTTTATCACCAGAAGAGAAAAAAACTGTTGCATATCATGAAGCAGGTCATGCTATTTGTGGTTGGTTTTTAGAATTTGCTGATCCATTAGTTAAAGTATCTATTATACCTCGTGGACAAGGTGCATTAGGTTATGCTCAATATTTACCAAAAGATCAATATTTAACTTCACAAGAACAATTTAAACATAGAATGATTATGACTTTAGGAGGTAGAGTATCTGAAGAATTGCATTTCGATACTGTTACAAGTGGAGCTTCTGATGATTTTAAAAAGATAACACAAATGGCTCAACAAATGATTCTTAATTTAGGTATGTCTCCAAAATTAGGTCAAATTTGTTATGATCAAAGTAATGATTCTGGTTTTAAAGTACATAATAATTATTCAGAAGATACAGCAAGAATAATAGATCAAGAAGTTAAAAGATTAATTGATGAAGCTTATGTTGAATGTAAAAAATTATTAACTTCAAAATTAGATTTAGTTGATAAAATAGCTCAAGAATTATTTAAAAAGGAAGTTTTAACTAGAGAAGATATGATTAGAATTTGTGGAGAAAGACCATTTTTAGAAAGAAATGATGCATTTGATAAATATGTTAAAGGTAAAGATGCATTTAAAGGCAAACCAAAATCAAAAGAAGAAAATAAAAAAGAAGACGATGGTGGTAAAGATATTCCACCTGCTGAAGTGGCTTAAAGAATCTTTTCAAAGTAGATTAATGTTATGATAATGACGTTTTATGTGATATATAATATAATAAAGCATTTTTGTAAATAGTAATTAAGGGTATTAATTTAAAATATACATATTATATACATACATTTAGAATGAGATTAAAATTTCGTTTACTGGAATAATTCGTAAATTGAATCATACCCTTCATCATAGTCTTGATAAGAATTGTTCATGGTCTTAAGATTTGAAGAATCATGATCAACCTGATCTGAAAAATTTGGAGTTTCTATTGACACGATCCTTCTATTGATTCTCACTTTGGAAGTATTCAGAAAAGTTGGAGGAGATTCTGGTATGTCCGAAATTGGTTTAAGTGAAGTTATATGTTGCTTATCTAAATCAGGCAATTCAGGTGAAGTTTTGTGAAATGGTGATGACATGATTTCATCTTCCTGGTCGATTTCTATGGGATTAAGGCTAGAACCTTCTGCTTCTTCTTCTTTTTCATCTTTTTCTTCGTCATATTCCAAATGTTTTGCTTGAAATAAATGGTCTCGCCATTCTTCAAATCCTCCATCTGTTAAATATCCACAACCCAAAATAGGACAAAATAGTAGTATCTTCCCATAATAACAATCACCTTTTGTTTTATGGTTTTCCAAATCGTAGTCGTTATTGCAAAAGTACTGACACACTTCATTATTGTCGGTTGTTTCGTTGCATTTCAAAAACTTGAAAGTTTTGGGTAATTTATATTTTAATGGAAAGATTTCATTTAAGGAAGTGTTATTCACCAATTTTGAGGAACACTTATCTTCGGCTGATTTGAATTCTATAGGGTACCCCATTTTGCTTAACGCATTGGAATGATCATTGAGTAAATGGGTCTTATATGAGCTTTTTCTTTTTGATTTAAAATCACACATTTCGAAACAACAAGTATAAAGTTGAGGTTTTTTTGACTTATTAAAATTTAGGAATTCAACTTCATCAATTGTACAAAATTGATCTTCCACATCTGGAGAAGCAGAACTTGAATAAGTATTAGATTTTGATTTGAAATTTTCGATTGGACTTTCACTTAATTTTATATCTGAATCAAGAATGGTAGTTTTGACGGCTGGTTTAGGCAGTGATTGACTAAGAAACTGAAGTTCTTCAAATTCTAATGGTGATGATTCTCTTTGTTTTTTCATAGGAGATGACTCTCTTGATTTTTTAGTAGGAGATGATTTTCTTTCAAGACCAGCTTTGATAGGTAAAAGTCCGTCCTCAAATTTAATATTATTCTTCTTTATGGGTGAGCTTTTTGTGGATTCATTTTGAAATTTGATCGGTCGTAGCTGGGAAGTCTTACATAAATCTAGAATATCCTCGGACTTAGCTCGTTTTGGTCTTCCAAATTGTTCTCTTTTTCTGATAGCTTTATCCTCGAAAAACTCTTGACTCTTGTCACAAGTTGTGGAGATATCATCAGATTCCTCCTCTTCGTCTTCTCCAACAGAATAGGAATCATTCGAACTTTCAAAATCTGATTCGGATTCTTCTTCAGCCAGCTGATCGTCATCCTCTTTCATGATATAAACTCTTCTTTTCTTAGTTGGAGATTCTTCTTTAGTGTGAAATGTTGTAGGGATTGATCCTTTTGTTGGTGAATTATCTTTAAAATTATCCCCATTTAAAAATGCACTGTCAAGATCTGAAGAATGATGTTGTAAATCCAATTTCAAACTTTTATTTAACATCTGTTCCCTTTTAACTTTCCCTCTCCAATCTCTTGCTCTTATTCTTAATTCTTCTTTTTCATAATCTTCTCTCCATATATTTACATTCTTGATATTGTTTTTATCTAAATTGTCCAAATTTTTTAAATGACCATTGTCTGTTATGATTTTACCTGTAATAATATCAATCTCATCACTTTCATATTCATCTTTGATTTTTGAGTATTTATCAATTATTTTACTCCAATTATTCTTCAACTTCTTGATAGACTCCAGCTTTAGGTCCTCGACTTTTACATTAAATTGATCGGGTTCTTTTTCAGTTATGAGACCATTAAATTGGTGAGACAAAGTTCTGTTTGATTCACTATAGTGCTTTTCATTTTTATTCACAGCTTGATGTTTAGTATTGTTGGTTAACAAATTGGAATTAAAACCTGGTGGATGAAGTGTTAGTTTCAAGGGTTGGCTCGGCTTATTCATTCGTAGTGGTTCACCTTCTACTCCATACGGATTACTTCGAGACATGAAATCATGTGTAATATATGTATTTATATTGAATAAGTTGTTGTATACAGTTTGAAAGATGTATTTTTTCAAAATTAATTTGGTTTAATCTTGATGATTATTAGACGCGTTTCAAACACGAGTACAACATCAAGCACACAAGTATGTGATCGATGTGCACAATATTACAACTGAGAGATCATAAAGTGTAGTCAACATCGTTACCTGGAAGAAAAGTTCAAAAATTTAATAAAATATGTACATAAATGAATTTGCAACGACAGGAATAGTGTCTATATACATGAAGTTATGAGTTTTCTCAATCAGTTATCCACTGTTGAAGTCCTTTCATTATTCTTATTTTGACCCCAACATTTCTTGAAAGCTTGCATTTCCTTTAAACATTTCCTCCAATCACCAGTATCAGCATGACATAATTGTAAATTCAAATTTTCTTGATGACAACCTGTCTTTAGTATTCTCTTATCCCATTCATCTGGTTCATCATCGTCTTCTATGTTGTCATTATGGCTATTATTTGGTTGCATTTGGGAAGGATCGAATTGAAGGAAGGTGACTATTGAAAAGTAAACAAAACGATCAAATTAAAGGATTCAAGCCAAGTTCGATCAAGCACTGTTGTAATCAACACAATTAGCTAAGAATGTACGACAATGACCGAGCAATATATATGTTATAAGTTTGATGTGTATGAAACTATGGTTGTAAAATAAAGTACCAATTCGTATTTGCAACAAAATAAAATTAATCTCGCTAGTTAAGTTTATTGACAACCCAACCAACAATGACGACGAACAAAACCATTGAAGACTCTATGTCTATGTTTTTTGACGATGAATTCAACCCTACCACATACATTGATCACCTAGTATCAACAATTACACAACAAAAGACTTCAGCAACTCCAATGTCAGCATATTCCAAAAAGTCATTATCAAGTCTATCTCATACAATAAATCAATTAATAATACATTTTGATTATTATGTTAATGATATTGCAAATAATGAATTAAAACTGAAACTAAATCAATTAGAAAATGCAAGTTCAATTATAAATTCAAATCAAGAAGGTACTTCAAGATTACAATATTATACAAGTTTATTAAATAATTCAATAATTTCATTACAAAATGAATTAACTTCAATAAATGAAAAATTAGAAATAAATGAAGATAATGAAGCAGTTCAAACACTTATAAAATTAAAATTAATCAAGACAAATTTATTAAAAGTTATAAAAATTTTAGAAACAATAACATTAAATGATGATAAAAGACTATATACAATTGATGAATTTGAAATTTTACTTGATGAAACTTTTGAACAAATTAAAAGAAATAAAAATGATCCTTCTGTACAAAATTATATTAAAAATATGATTGAAATGTCAAATTTATTTCAAAATTTAAATCATTTTAATCCAGTTTTTAAGAAGTTTATAAATAAATTAATTAATGAACAATAAATGAATGAATGAATGAATGGATCAACTTATTCTTTCAATCTCCTTTTCCTCCTGTATTTGTTGTTGTTTTGATAAATTTTTATTCATAACATTTAATTTTCTAATTTCTTCTTTTGCATCAAAATGACCAGTTGATAAATTTTCATAAGTTTCATCAAATTTTCCTGTTGATAAAGGAGCATTACCTTTCATTCTTTTTCTCATATCAATCAGTCCTGTTTTACAATCCATAAATGCTCTAAAATATGCTTTACATAATTCAGGTAATTCTTTTTTTAAATTTGGATTTGTTAAACATTCTTTTGGTGTATTACGTTGTATTAGTACACATGGTGATCTCTGTAGACATATTGCTAAAGCTAATTTTTGATCTTTGCAACTGGAGGATGTAACTGTTAGTAAAAGTTTGAGCTTATGTTATTAATCTTGACTTTAACATACCTTGCACCCATTGATATTCAAAATGATGTAATGAATTCAAATCGAATGTTTTGAAAAATAAAACTCGCATAAATTTAAAACGGTTCATATTAAATCAATTCATAGTTCAAATTTACAACCAAGATAAGTCAAGGGTTATATGACTATAACATTTGTTCCTGGTGAGGTCAACAAAAGCTCAAGCTCAGCCATAGAAGCAACTTGGAAAGATCATCATATAGTAGCTTATGGTTCAGGTAATAATTTAATAATTTTAACTGCAAAATTAACAATTTCTCAAAATGGTGATAAAGTAATAAGTATTGATAAAAATTTACAAACTATTTATTTGGAAAAAGATCTTTATGCTATTGGTATTAATTCAAAGAATGGATTTATAACAATTGCTTATGATTGTAAATTAATTATTTTCAAACCAATTGCAGAATATATGAAAATACCGAAATGGGTTGAAATTTATCAATTTAATGTAACATCTAAGATAAATTGTCTTGAATGGGCGATCGAGGAGGATGAATTAGTAATTGGATGTGAAGATGATTTGTTCCTTTATCACATTTATGAAGAATTTGGAGAAATACATGTATATAAACGATGGGAATATAAACAACCAAACCCAGTAACTAAAATATGTATAACACCAAATTCAAAATTAATTTTAACTACAAGTGGATGTTATGATAGATTAATAAAAGTATGGACAAGAATAAGTTATGGAGATGAAAATACTTTATTTGAAGTAAGTTATCTACTGCATTCAAGTTATATTAAAGAATTTCAATGGAGAAAGAAATCAAATAATAAACAATTACAACAAAAGGCAATAGATAGTTCAATGGCTAATATTAAAAAGATACGAAGTTATATAAATTCAATTGATGAAAGTGAAGTGATTTATTCGTTTACAAATAATGAGTTCAAAGTATGGGCTTCTTATGAAACTAATGGTCATAATCATATAAGTGATTGGGCAACTTTAAAACTAGAAAATGTGGAAAATATACTAATAATTGAAAATTATTATTTACAAGATACCCTAATACCAATACTAAGAAATAACAACAACAAACTATTTGAAGGATTAAATCTCAATGATTTGGATTTATTATATACAATTTCAAAAAATGGTAAAATTCAATTATTTACAATCACTAATATATCACAAACACCACCAAATAATATTAAATTTAAATTAATAAAAGAATTTCAATTTGAAATATTACCATATTTGAATCTACGATGTAATCATGATTTAACAATAGAATATATTCAAAGTGAAGAATTTATAACAAATTATTTAAATCCAATAATTTTTAAAAAAATTTGTAAATTACCAAAAGTGCAGGCACTTTCATTTTTAATTCATGATAGAATTAAAAATACTTTAAGATATGAAATAATAAATTTTAAAAAATTACCCGGGGAATCAGGTATAACATTATTTAATAAGTTTCAAGGTCATAATAAATCAATTAGAAAATTAGTTAGATCAAATTCATTATATTCAACTGATAATGTATTATTATCCATATCAAATTTTGGTCAATATAATTTCATATGGGAACCAATTATTTTAGAATATGGTATAATTTCAATAACAAAAAGATTTCAAATTAATGTTGGAGAAAATAATCAAATTTGGGATTCTGCTATAATAAATGATATTGAACCACCTATTGGAAATAAAAGGAGACATTTAGTTATTGTATCTGAAAAAATTGGTAATATATCTCTTTGGAATTGTGATGGTAATGTTAATGATGATTTACCTGCTGATTTGATTGAAAAAGTTGATTGTTCAATTGTTCCTAAAGTATTTGTTTTAACTGAATGGCCAAATGATGATCCTAATATCAAACAATATTGTGTTGTTGCTATTTATTCAAAGGACGAAATTAAATCATGGAAACTTATATTGAAGTATGAGAATAAGAAAATAAAAGATATCACATTTGAAGAACAAAAAATTTCAAGTTTACCTCAAGATACTGAGATTTTTCAAATTGTTAGAGTTGATGCATTTTTAAATTCACCAGAAAAGAGTTTAATTGCAGTAATTGATGAATCTGGTTATTTTGAAAGTTATACATTAGATTTTGATAACAACAATGAAGAACTTAAATGGATTTCAACATATTCTTTACAAACAAATATCAAAAATTCTAAAAGAATTAATGGATCAACAGTTACTGGGAAATTAGCAATATTAGATGATACAGGTAAAAAATTAACTATATGGGATACAAATCAAGGAGTATTAGAATATGAGGAAACATTTGAAGAAGAAGTTAAAGATTTAGATTGGACATTTATAAATGCAACAACAAATTTTAAATCAACAACAAATGCAATTTATTCAATTGGATTTAAACGTCATGTTTTATTATATACTCAATTACGTTATGATTATACTAATAATATTCCAACTTATGCAGCAATTGAAAAAATAGATATTTCTGATTTTACATCACATGAAATTGGAGATTCAATATGGTTTGATGATGGATATTTAGTAATTGGAAGTGGGAATCAATTTTTTATTGATGATAGATGGGTTAAATTAGGTTCAAAAACTATTGATTCAACTATAAGACAATTAATGAGTGGATATGATCAAAACTCTAGTAGTAATGAAGAATCAAGAATTGATAATCAAGAACAAGTTTATGATATTTTTTATTTAGTTAGAGTATTAAATGGTCCTTTACCTTTATATCATCCTCAATTTTTAATTCAAGCATTATTTATGAGTCAAATTAATATTGTTCATGATATTTTAATAAAATTATTTCAATTATTAAGAACTGATGAAATTATTACATGGAATTTAGGTATTGAACTAGATAAGAGTTCTTATACAAGAAAAAGAAGATTATCAACTTATAAAATTGATGTATTTACAAAATTTAATGATGAATTATCAAAATTATTAATTGATAAATTAATGAAAATTTCATTACCTTTATTAACTAGACATCAACAAAGTACTTTAATATCAGTTATATTAATTGTTCAACAATTAGGTAAATTTTCAATTGATGATAATGGTATAAGATTTATGATTGGTTTTAAATTATTTCAATTATCTACAAAACAAAAAAGTTTATCAATGAGAGATATAAATTGGGCATTACATTCAGATAATAAAGAAGTATTATTAAATAGTATTGAAGATAATTATAAACAAAAATTATATTGGGAAAATGTTCGTAAAACAAAATTAGTATATTGGATTAAAACTCCAAGATTAATTAAATTAATTGAATCAATTGCAAGAAATGAATTTAGTGAATCTCAAGATCCTTCGGGCTTGGTATCATTATTTTATTTAGCATTACGTAAAAAGCAAATTTTATTAGGATTATGGAAAATTGTAAATCATCAAGATAAAACCAAAATGATTAAATTTTTAAATAATGATTTTTCAACAAATCGTTGGAAATCAGCTGCTTTAAAAAATGCTTTCGTTTTATTAGGTAAACATAGATATTTTGATGCAGCTTATTTTTTTTTATTAGGTGATAAACCTTTTGATTGTTGTAGTATAATAGCAAATAAAATTGGTGATATATCATTATCAATAGCAATTTCAAAAATTTATTGTGGTAGTTTAAATATAAACAAACAATATGATGAATGTTTAATTAATATAATTGAAAGATTTATATTACCAAAAGCTATTGAAAATGGTGATAGATGGACTACAAGTTGGATATTTTGGCAAATTGGTGAAAAACAATTAAGTATTCAATCATTAATTAAATCACCAATTACAATAATTGAAGAAAATCAGAAAATTTTTTCAAATTTAGATTTAAAAAATTTACAGTTGTCGATCAAGAGTCAATCATTTTTAAATGATGATCCAGTATTAATATTATTATATAATGAATTAAGAAATCATAAAATTGATTATTTAAAAGGTTCTAAAATGATAAATCCAATAGAAGAATTTGAAACAGTTATAAAAGTTTCTATGATATATACAAGAATGGGTTGTGATTATTTAGCTTTATATTTATTAAAAAATTGGTCATTTCCTGATTATTCTACGGGTAAAGAAATTAATGGAAATGGTAAAATTAAAGAAGAAAAAGATTATGATGATGCGTTCATGAAAAATATTTTGAATAAAGATGCTCCACCTGCTCAAGCTTTTGAAGAACCAGATATGAGTTCATTCAATTTTGGGTTTTAAGATGTTTATGTATCGTTTAATTAGTTTATTAAAAAGTCTATTTGATCTTTAATTGTCCTATTTAACCTTATCCTATTTAAACTCTATTCCTCTATACTTCAAAATACAGAAGATCGTCTTAAGACATTCCAAATTGGTCCACCAATTTTATACCATGGTTCAATTATACTTAAAACTAAGCCCATCATAAAAAACATATACATTTTTGAAACAAACATTCCCCTAATTGTATGATAAATTGCTGTATTTGATATTCCTATAATTATGTGGATAATTTCTTCAAATGTTTCAACACTATTATTATCATCTTGTTTTTCTTTCCAATTGGAAATAACCTTGAATACGTATAATATTGGACTATATTTATTAGCAAGAATCTTTATTAAAATTTCATCAACTACCAATATATATTTATTTACAATATAAATTAATTCAAATTTTGAAAAATATATTCTTTTTAATAATTTTGGATCTCCATATTTTGAATTTAAATAAATTTTACATTGTTCTGGTCTTATCATACAAAATTTTTTTGATATTAATTTAACTTTAAAATTTATTTGTAAATATGTTAATAATTCTGGTGATATAAATGTTGGAATTAGATAGATTGTTGTAATTAGTAGTGTTATAAATAGTAGAATTCTTAAATTATTTAGTGTTGATTGAGATAGAAGATGCAGCATTGGACTTTCAATTGAAATTGTGGTTGGAATTATGGTTGGTTGATATGCTTAATTTCGTGATCTTAATTTTTTCTCTCCAACTTTGATTCGATTACACAAAATGAAGGGTTTTAGATTTTGCAATCTTTAACATAGATCATGATTTTTGTTATGACATGTTTCAAACATAAGAAGAACTTTTCAACCGTTTCAATTACCAACTAAAGAGAAATAGAGGACCATTTTAGACCATGTTATGTATTGCAGTCTCCATATTTATCATATTGCAATTCACTGTATTAACAATCTCATCAAATGACGTCATTGACCTAGATCAACCAGATCAAAAAGTATTAAATTATTCAGAGATTTCAATTTATCAATTATCATTGCAAGAGATAAATGAAAATTTATTATCATCAATATTTTATCATAATCCAAAATCAATAATATATATAATTGAAACAAATAATAGTATAGTTCCAATAGATGAAATTTTATATTCATCAATAATTGAAAATTCCCAAAGGAAAGAATTAAATTATTTAGAAATTCAAATAAATTTTCAAAATTTACCAATAGATTCATCAGAGTTCAATTATATACCTATATCACCATGTATATCAAGTAATTCATTTGAATTAGATGCTCCATTAATGGGGATAGCATTAACTCATAGATTTATAATATCAACTAGATTTATGACAACAATAGGAGAATCAATAAGTATTAAAGGTTCATTAAATCCATTTGCATATTATTATTATTTTTTATATTATTTAAATGATTCATCAATTGCAATAAATTTACAAGAAAGATCAAAATTAAAATATTCAAAAGAAAAAGATTTTGATTATTTTTTAGCTTGTTATTCAACTCATTTTGCTTCAAGATTATTTGGTTATATATCACTAATAAAGATTACTCCATTAATTAGATTAATTAATTTTAATAAATTAAAAAATAAAGTTGATATTAGTAGGATTTGGATAAAGCATAAATCAAGATTAATTATAGACAATAATGAAATTAATCCAAATCGTATTGTTTGTGATGTTGGTACAAGAGATTATTTAAAATGTGATGAAAATAAAGGTACTATAAGAGATGGAAATGGGAATGAAATTATATGGGAAAATGAATATTAGGAAGAATATATATCATACAACAGTAGTCACATGTTCATAATTTATCATTCTTTCTACTCTTGAATGGTTGCAAAAAGAAAATAGTTTTGATGGAAAAATGTTTTAACTACTTTCTCTCTCTCTCACTTTAAAAAATTTTAATTGCCAACCCATTCCGGGACTCGAACCCGGAGTCTTCAGCTTAGGAGGCTAACGCCTTAACCGTTGGGCTAAATGGGCAAGTTTAGCAATTTTGAAGCCCTACAAACAATAGTGGCTGTAATGATATGTCCTATTCTGGTCGAGATATTTAGAACGAAGTTGGAATGGTCCTGAATAAAATTTAATTCCTACAACCAAGTTTCCGACTAAATGGAGGAAAAATGAGTGAAATATAGATGTTCATTTGTTTGATCAAGATGATAAGCCTTTGGGTACATCTATTTGAATCTTTTAATTGAAATCAACATGGCAAGGTATATTTAGAGTATTCGAGGTGTTTGTTGTTCAAATTTTACACTCAACTATTTTTTGCTGGTTATTCTCTCGTGATCAATATGATTAGATATTAACGTGAGCCAAATTTCAAATGATTTATCAATAAGTCAAATTACATTTACAACTCCTTTTTCATGGGGTTTCCACCTAATCTGATTAGTGAAAATCAACTCTAAGCCTTGACTGATACGATAACAAGTTGAAATAAAAAAAAAGACATGTTCAATAATAAGGAACTGAGCAGGTAAGGAGGTGATGGAGGCAAATTTTTAACTAAAAATGGTTGCAAAAAAAAATCAAATAAATACTTGGCGATGTTTTAAAGTTGACGAAACCTTTTTTTTTTGCTACTTCTTTGCATTCCCTTGTGGTAGGCGAAGTAAGTCGAATGATGACAAGATGAAATTTTCATCTGTTAACTCATTAATGTGGCGAAGATAATCTCTATTTGAATGAGATTTCAACTCTCATTTTTTGACAATGAAATAAGTCTTGGAAATAAAAATGTTGATGTAATTTGATGAAATCATCATTTAAAACCAATGTTATCAAAAATCATTTGATAATGGTTGCAAAACATAAAAAATGTATACCTAGAGAGTATAACAATCATTCGAATATGCAAAGTTATATCTTGCGCCTCGTTTCAAAACATTATACATCTTGTTTTGTACTCTTCATTCAATGTATAAACTACTACAACGGAATATTCTCATTAAATCTAAGAGCGTAAGTGGCTCAAAAAAAGATCTAACTTAATGGCTCAAATTTGAAAATTATTTTAAAATTTGAAACATCTGAATGAAATAATATAATTAGCGGAATTTTAAAGTTTATAGAAATCTCGCTAGTCTAACACAAAAGCTTGTAGTGAGTTTGGTTACACAAAGGTGTTATAGCTTGCATATATCCGATTGTTGCATTTTGAAGTTTAAAAAAAAAAATAGAGGGAAGACCAATTAATATGTTTAATAGAATGGACCTCGCTGAACTGTCTAATCTTTACATTATCGATTGATGAAGAAAAAGATTAAGTTGATGTAAATATTTTGGATGTACTCATTTTCTTTATCACGGTTTTAAGATTTTACTTTGCCTCTTAAGCAAACGTAAAATACTTAATTAAACAAGCATTTAAGCATGTAAGTAAGAAATTAAAATTTACGATAAATACATTATTATTATCTTAGGTCAATTTTAAGCCCAAATTTCTTTAAAACAATAAGATAAAATTATTCAAAAGTATTTTACACATACTTGCAAAAAGAAAGGACCCTACAGAACGGTCAAACAACAAATTGTAGGACGCCTTCGACCGCAGTGTTGTTTGAATTTGAAAAATATATGTATGTTGAAGTACCTTTTTTATTTATTTATTCTCTCTCGTGACTAGAAAATGATGAAATTATGTAAATATAATATGTCATCTTTATTATATATTTTTATTTTATTAATCTAAATGACTAAATGAATGATGGTCCCTGTGCTATTACTATACCTTTATTTTTTGAGTGAGAAAAAAAAAGTAATTATTACTGAGTTATTAGTAGAAATTAACCGACCATATTAAACTCTAGTTGGAGAGAGAGTTGTATGTTCTCCACATAAAGATTGTATCAGAAGAATCTAAACGAATAGGGAGAGAAGAGAATGTATAATGAAAATTATTTTCCTATCAATTGTACGGCTTCACTTTGACTTCTTCATCCAATTGTACTATTACTACTACTTGTACTACTAAATTAGGTCGAGTTGACCTTCTCTTCTTTTATTGTTTCATTTAACTTTTGTTCGTTTTTTATTTTTTCTTGGTTTTACACAGCCTCTTTTTTTTGGTTTTTGTGCTCTCACTTTGGTTTCGGATTTATTTAAGATCATTCATTCAAATACATTCAACTGAAACATAACAAGAAGAAGAAGGATGAGTTAGATGAACACACTATGGTATAGCTGTCACACATACTAGAGGAGATAAGCATATAATCAAACATTGATATAAGCCTTCTACAAACTTTTGTACAACTAAAAATCTTAATTAGGTTAAATTAAAATTATTCATTGGTTTTGTACCTTATTTTCTTTTTTTTTATATTTTTTTTTTTCATCAATACGTACCCATATACAATTCTATACATCATTCAATAATATAGTGTAGTAAGATAAGTGGTTTTTTTAATTTCTATTTAGATTCAATTAATCAGTATCTGTGGTATCAGTAACATAAGTATTAGTACGGAGTATATTGTGTATCATTCATATTCTTTATTTCCATATATTATATACTTAGATAAATCTCACTCTATTATTTTTACTTAGTTTAATATTTTATCAAAATTTACAAACCATTTTAAATAGATCAAATCTTATAATACTACTATTCATTTGATCGTATTATACATCAATAAGAGCATAACACTTCATTAGAATCAAACTATAAACTACTACTGAGAATCAATCAATAACTAGGATTTCAATTTAACTAAAGTAATCAAGTAAAGTAAAAGAAGATCTACATAAATATTAAAAGATATTTTTTAAAGTTAAGATTGCCCTTTTTTAAAAAACTCCATATAAGTTCATATAAGTTATATCGAAGTTATCTACATCATTATAGCAACTCAGGTCCATAAGAACTCAATCATCATTTAAAGTTAATCAAACTCATTCAATTCAGCTTATTAGCATATTTCACAATCATACATACTATTTTATGAAATTTCAGATATAGCATCAAATCATTTTTACAACCAAACTATTATATTATATTATTCAAAAAAGTACACATTACTTACAACCAAAACATACATATTTAACTTCTAGAATATATTCAATCATCATATTTATATAGCATACATATAACACATAACTACACACAAAAATATGGCTCCACGAACTCCAGCTGATAAGTTGGGTCATGGTAAAACTTTAGAAATACCTCAATATGATGATGATGATGATTCTTCTTCAATAAATTCAAATACTCCATTAAATGAAGATGATCATACAAAACAAAAATCAACTACACAATCACAACAACCACAGCAGTCACAACAACAACAACAGTCTCAATCTCAATCTCAACTTCAAAATAAAATTTCAGTAGATACAACTAGACCAATTCATAAACTTTCAAATAATCCTACTTCATTATCATTACATAAATTAGCATCAAGAATTTCAACTTCAAATTCAAAAAAACATTCAGATTATAATATAACACCAGCAGAATTAATTCCATTACATGATCCAAAATCATTAAAATATCTTTATGAAATTGGAGGATTTGATAAATTATGTAATTTATTAAATACAAATTTAAACAAGGGGTTAGATAATCATAATTCCAAGGATTTAGATATAAGAAGATCAAATTTTGGTATAAATAAATTACCTCAAAAAGTTTCAAAATCTTTTTTCCAATTATGTTATGAAGCTTTTAAAGATAAAGTTTTAATTATTTTATCAATTGCTGCAATTGTTTCTTTAGCTTTGGGTCTTTATGAAACTTTTGGTAGTGGTACTCATTATGATGATGAAGGTAAACCTTTACCAAAAGTTGATTGGGTTGAAGGAGTTGCTATATTAGTTGCTGTTTGTATTGTTGTATTAGTTGGAGCAGCAAATGATTATCAAAAAGAAAGACAATTTGCAAAATTAAATGCCAAGAAGGAAGATCGTGAATTAATTGTTATTAGAAATGGTGAACAAAAATTAATTTCAATTTATGATTTATTAGTTGGTGATATTATAAATTTACAAACTGGTGATGTTGTACCTGCTGATTCTATATTATTTCAAGGAGAAGTTGAATGTGATGAAAGTGCATTAACTGGAGAATCTGAAACTATTAGAAAATTACCTGTTAAAGAATGTGTGGAAATTTATGAAAAAAATTTACCAACTGATGAAGACATAGGTAGTAAAAATATAAAATTTAAAGATCCTTTTTTAATTTCTGGTTCAAAAATTTTATCTGGATTAGGTAATGCAATGGTTACAGCAGTTGGTTCAAATTCAATTCATGGTAGAACAATGGCAAGTTTAAATGTTGAAGCAGAAACTACTCCAATGCAAGTTAGATTAGATAATTTAGCTGAAGGTATTTCAAAATATGGATTTTTAGCTGCAATTATATTATTTATTGTTTTATTTATAAGATATTGTGTTGATATTGCTCCAGGTGGAATTTTTCATAATTTAAAATCTGCTGATAAAGGTAAAAAATTTATTGATATTATTATTACTGCTGTTACTATAGTTGTTGTTGCTATACCTGAAGGTTTACCATTAGCTGTTACTTTAGCATTAGCTTTTGCAACTACAAGAATGGCTCAAAATGGTAATTTAGTTCGTGTTTTAAAAAGTTGTGAAACAATGGGAGGAGCAACAGCTGTATGTTCAGATAAAACTGGTACATTAACTGAAAATAAAATGAGAATTGTTAGAGGAATATTTGGATTAAAAAATAATGGAGAAATTTTAGAATTTTGTGATTTAGCTGATAATAAATATAATGAACCAACTTCAAAAGAAATTATAAATGAAATAACACCAGAAATGAAAATTTTTTTAACAACAAATATGATTTTAAATTCAACAGCATTTGAAAATTCAGATTATGATGAAACAAAAGTATTAGAAGCTAAACAAAGACCACCACAAAAATCATTTTTCCATAGTTTATTTAAAAAACAAAATAAATCTCAATTACAATTAGGTATGGTTGATGAACCTTATTTAGGTAATAAAACAGAATCTGCATTATTATTATTAGCAAATAAAACTTTTGGAAGTTTTTTATCAAAATCATTAGAAGAAATTAGAAAAGAAAATCAATCTGATATTGTACAAATTATACCATTTGAAAGTTCAAGAAAATGGGCTGGAATTGTAATGAAAATTGAAAATGGTTTTAGAGTTTACGTAAAGGGAGCAGCTGAAATTATATTTAAAAATTGTGGATTTGAAAATAGTGAAAATGGAGATTTAATTAAATTAGATAGAACAAAAAGAGATTCAATATTAAGTAAAATTGATGAATATGCTAATGATGCTTTAAGAGCTATTGCTTTAGGTCATAGAGATTTTGTTGATATTAAAAATTGGCCTCCTTCAAATTTATCCCTCAAAGAAAATCCTCAAGAAGCTGATCCTTCTAAAATTATTGATGTTTCATCAAGTGCAAGTGAAATTAATAAACAATTTATATTAGATGCATTAGTTGGTATTCAAGATCCTTTAAAACCTGGAGTTGCTGAAGCAGTAAGACAATGTAAAAGAGCAGGAGTTACAGTTCGTATGGTTACTGGTGATAATTTAAATACTGCAAAAGCAATATCAAAAGAATGTAATATTTTAACTCCTGATGATTTATCAAATGAATATGCTTATATGGAAGGTCCTCAATTTAGAAAATTATCACAACAAGAAAGAAATAAAATTGTACCTCAATTAAAAGTTTTAGCAAGATCATCACCAGAAGATAAAAGAATATTAGTTGATACTTTAAGAAAAAAAGGTGATGTTGTTGCAGTTACTGGTGATGGTACAAATGATGCTCCAGCATTAAAATTAGCAGATGTTGGATTTTCAATGGGTATAGCAGGTACAGAAGTTGCAAGAGAAGCTTCAGATATTATATTAATGACTGATGATTTTACTGATATTGTTCAAGCTATAAAATGGGGTAGAACTGTTGCTACATCAATTAAAAAATTTATTCAATTTCAATTGACTGTTAATATTACTGCATGTGTTTTAACATTTGTTTCTGCTGTTGCTTCTTCAGAAAATCAATCTGTTTTAACTGCTGTTCAATTATTATGGGTTAATTTAATTATGGATACTTTAGCTGCTTTAGCTTTAGCAACTGATAAACCAGATGATTCATTTTTAAATAGAAAACCAGCAGGTAGAACAGCTCCATTAATTTCAACATCAATGTGGAAAATGATTTTAGGACAATCAATAACTCAATTAATTATAACATTTATATTACATTTTGCAGGTAAACAATTATTTTACCCTGGTCAATCTCATATAAGTAATCATCAACAAAAACAATTAGATGCAATGACTTTTAATACATTTGTTTGGTTACAATTTTGGAAATTATTTGTAACAAGAAAATTAGATGAAGCAGATGAAATTAAAACTATTAGAGGTAGAATTACATGGGAAAATTTAAATTTTTTTCAACATCTTTTTAGAAATTGGTATTTTATAACTATTGCTTTAATTATTGGTGGTTTTCAAATTTTAATTATGTTTGTTGGTGGTGCTGCTTTTAGTGTTGCAAGACAAACTCCAGGAATGTGGGCAACTGCTATATTATGTGGTTTCATTTCAATTCCTGTTGGATTATTAATTAGAATTATACCAAATTATTGGGTTGAAAAAATTTTCCCAACAAAAGCATTTAATAAATTTATATATATTGTTGGATTTAAATGGGTTAGAAGGAAAAAAAATAAAGATTTAGAGTTTAATCATGAAGATGATGAAGATGAAAGAAATGGTGATTTAAGTAGTAATAATAATATTGAAATATCTCATGAGAATACTACTAATTTACCTCATCATAATAGTTTAGATAGTGATGATGGTAATGATCATTTAAATGATAAATTAAGTGGTGATAAATGATGATAATAGATTTTAAGTTTAAGTGTATAAACTTTTGTTCATAATTTTGTATTATTATTTAATATTGATTCAAATATTTATTAAGTTGTATCTGTATTACTATATTTATATTCTTCTCTTTGCTTTAATTATTTGATCGAATGACTAATCCTTCAGTTTAGAGTTTGTTTCAGTAGTTGTAGAGAACTGACTTCGTATAGAATTATGAAACTAACTTTAGCTTCTCCGTAGTAATTCGAAACCTAATTTATATCAAAGTTTATTTTAAAGTTTTTTTGATATTTTGCAACCAAATTTTGCAGCCACAGTCAGTCAACAAGTTTGATTCAAGACATGCTTGTAATCAACGAAAAGTCATTCACAAAACAAGCTTTAGATTTTAGACTAGCTGTATTAGTCTTGTTTAATGGATCGGGATATGAGTGATAAGCGATTTAGTTACTAACTCCACATTTCACACAAATTACACTAAAAATCTGTTGATGTATTATAAAACACAAAAATGATAATCTCATACATCACCTGAAAAATTGAACGAAAAAAAAGAACCAAACTCTAGTTCATAAATCAATATCTACCATTAAGCTTAAGAAAGACTATACTCACCAACATGACTATTGAATCAGATTTAGAATCTAATAGAGTTAAAGAATTAGATAATTTATTAACTATTATAAAACCAAAAATTCTTGAATATATAGCGAGATCAGATCCAAAAAATGAAAATTATTCAAATGATTCATTAGGAAAATATTATGAACCAAATTTTTTAAAATCTAAATTTATAAATATTGATGATAATTTACAAAAACCAGCTTCACAGACCGAATTATTGGAAGTTATTGATAAAGTTTTAGAATATTCTGTAAATACTTGGAATCCTGGATTTTTAGATAAATTATATGCTTCAAATAATCCAATAGGAGTTATTTCAGATATTTTATTAAGTATATTAAATACAAATTCTCATGTTTATACAGTATCACCTGTATTATCAGTATTAGAAAATTTTATTGGTAAAAAATATGCTTCATTATTTTTTATAAATAATCAAAAAACATGTGGTGGATTAACTTTTAGTGGAGGATCATGGTCAAATATAACAAGTTTACAAATTGCAAGAAGTTTAAAATTTCCAGAAACTAAAACTAGGGGAAATTTGAATTATAAATTTGCTATATATACAAGTAAACATTGTCATTATTCTGTTGTTAAAGGAGCTATTTTATTAGGATTAGGTTCTGATAATGTTTTTAAAATTGATGTTGATGATGATGGAAAATTAATTATTGATGATTTGGAAAAAACTATAACCAAAAGTATTGAAGATGGTTATACTCCATTATATATAAATTCAACTGCTGGTACCACTGTTTTTGGATCTTATGATAATTTTACTGAAATTTCAAAAATTGCTAAAAAATATAATATTTTTTTCCATATAGATGGATCGTGGGGTGGTAATGTTATATTTTCTGAAAAATATAAAGATAGATTAAAAGGAAGTGAATTTGCTGATTCTATAACTGTAAATCCTCATAAAATGTTAGGTATACCAAATACTTGTTCATTCTTGTTATTACCAAATGTGAATAATTTTCAAACTGCAATGAGTTTAAAAGCTCCTTATTTATTTCATCAAAGAGAAAATGAAGATGATGAAAATTATGATTTAGCAGATGGTACAATGGGTTGTGGTAGAAGAGCTGATAGTTTTAAATTTTATTTAAGTTGGCTTTATTATGGTCAACAAGGTTTTTCAAAAAGAATAAATCATGCTTTTGAAATTCAACAATATTTTGTTAAAAAAATTAGTGAAGATTTAAGATTTGAAATTGTTGGTCCAAATCCTCCTCAATGTTTACAAGTTTGTTTTTATTATAAACCTAAACATATTAAAACGGAAAATAATACAGAAATTACAAGATTTATTTCTAGAAAATTACATTTATTAAGTAAATATCTTGTTGATTTTAGTCCTAATCCAAATGATGATTCTAAAGGAGAATTTTTTAGAGTTGTTTTTAATTCACCTATTCTAACTGATAAAACAGTTGATGATTTAATTGAGAATATTATTAATGTTGGTGATGAATTTAAGGAACAATCATAGAGTTTATAGATGATATATATTTTCGTATAAGACGTTAATCATTATTAGTGATACTTACGGTAGTATATGCAGAAAAAAAACTTACTTTAATCTAGAATCTAACGTTTTATTTATACAAGTTGATCGACTTTTAGTATTATTAAAATCCAAAACCTCCCTTTGAATATGCCATTGGTTTTATATCTGGATGTTCGACAGCTTCAAAAGTTTCATTAGTTAATAACCATGGATTATTTTCATCTTCAATTTTTTTATATCCATCACCTTCATCTTTTGTTGGATCATATTTTGAATTTTCAATAAAATGTAATACCCCACCTAAATTACCTGTTGAATCACAATAATTTGGTGCTGAAAATACAGTTATTAATCTACCATTATGTTCTTCTTCTATACCTGACATTCTAACTTCATGTGATCTTAAAATTTTTCTAATTTTATTATTTAAACAAAATCTTTCAGTTATATCTGGTCCAAATTGAATACCAATACCTCTTTTAGAAGGTGATCTACCATTTATAACTTGAGGATCAGTCCATAATAATTCCATTGCTATACCTTCTTTTGGAGGTTGTGATGATCCACTAATGGGGAATCTATTTATATTTTTAATATCATTTAAGGTGGTCTTATCATTTGAAAATAATCCTCCATGCATACATAAATATTCTCTATTTATTAAACAAGCTAATGGTAATGAACCAAAACTTTCAGTAAAAAATTTATAAATTTTTTTATTATATTTATGTTCAACTTCATCACAAAATCCATAAGTTTTATTCATATCATTTGTTTCATGATTTCCTCTATTTAAAAATATTTTTGTTGGAAATAAAATTTTTAATATATACAAGTATAATATAACTTCAGTTGACCAAGATCCTCGATCAACAAAATCTCCATTAAATAAATATACATGATCATTTGAAACTTTACCAAATTTTTTAAATATGTTTAATACATCATAAAATTGTCCATGAGTATCTCCAACTACTGTTAATTTCGAGCCACCTATTATTTCATCATCATTTGAACTTCTTGATAATTTTGAATGATTTATTGAAACTTCAGTCATACTTTTTTCATTTTTTAAAATTTGATTTACTTTCGCTATTATTGCAAAAACGTGTTTTTTTGGTAATCTACCTCCATCTTTAAATAATTTTATAACATATTTCAAATAATTTAGATCAAGTCCTTCAATATCGACGATTACATTATTTTTATTATCTTTTTTAGTCGTTATATCTAAAGTTGGTCCTTGCCATGATTTTTCAATTTGAATACTTGAATAATCAATTGTATTAAAAATAGAAACATGAGAATCTCCAGCTATAGCTTTTTCAAAAGCTTCTCTTTTTAAATAATTTGTACATTGTTTATAATTTTCTAAAGTTAATTTATCATTCGGCAATTTTGTTAATAAAAATTTAAAATTTTGTTGAGCTTTTTTATGTTGTAATATAGCCATTTGAGATACACCTTTTCTATAATATGCTTTTAAAAAATTAGGATTTTGTTCAATTGCTAAATCACAATCTTGTATAGCTAAACCATAATTTTCTAATTTAATTTGAACTTGAGCTCTATTTGAATAAAATATTGCATTCGTTGGATCTAATTCGATAGCTTTTGTATAAGACGCTATTGCTTCTTCATATTCATGATTTTTCAAATGTTGATTTCCTTCATCTTTATATTTGATGGCTTCATCAGTATTTGTTGACATTTGAATCCAAAAAGAATAAGATAGATTTTAGTTAATCGTATCGTGATTATTATAATTTTTATTTTTCTATTTTCTTTTTTTTTTCAAATTTCTAATTTCCATCAACTATTCAGAACGATCAAGAATGGAGACAAATTTGTGAATGATGTTGTTCAAGCGTCAATCCAACTCTCTTAAGTCGTATGCACTGTTATAACTTTAAATAGATATTCGAGAAACAGGTGCCTCAGAAAAGGTGGTATTCTCTGTTTGATCTGATTTGGTCTACACTAAATTATTTTTCTAATAACAAACTATGACTATGCTACTATTAAACTATTTACACCATATTGAAGCCATTTGATTCTATTTTGATCAAAATTGATTTTTGAAACTAACCTTTTTCTAAGTATAAAATTCATTGTATCTTCTGATATACTCAACCCATTAATATCTAGAATATTTAATTTTATCAAATTCTTAGAGTTTAAATAATTTAATAATTTCAATAAATCAATGCCATCTATTTGATTGAAACTTAAATCAAGATTTATGGATCTTTGTTTTTCAAAATTTAAATTTTCAAATTGTTTTATTATATTCATTATACCAATAGTATCAATATTTAATTCATTCAAATATAAAGTTGTTAAATTTGAACATAATTTTAAAATATCATGTAATTGCATTTGATGTTGTTTTGGATGGAAATGATTTGTTTGGTTTTTGATTGAAAAATCTAAGTAAGTTGAATGACCTAAATTTAATGACAATAAAGTAGTTGAACACATTTTTAAAAGCCTTATTAGTCCGAAATGTGATAAGTTGTTTCTATAAAGATCTAAATGCTGAAGTAATGATAGTTCTGGAATTAATACTATATTACCTAATTCTTGTAGATTTAAAATATTATCAACTTTTACTTCTCTGAATGTAAAATTTAATAATTTGAAATTTGGCTTGTAATTTAAAAACATTTGTAATAATGTAATAAGATTTAAACCTTCATTATTTTCTAAATACAATTTTTGCAATTGCTTACAATTGATCAAAGATTCACCTAATATTGGTAAGTGATTACTCAAATCAAATGAAACTATGGTCAAATCTTTTAGCTGGCTGAAGGATCTACTAATAAGTGATGGTGGAAAGGGTGAATAAGTCTCATTTGAAATTCTCATTGTCGTGGAATTTAATAATTTTGGATGATTTATTAATACGAGTTCTTCTAAATTTGGATAGTCTTCTAATACAAGACTTTTGTATTTGTTGAAAATTTTGTCATTTACAGGTAGATTTTGTAAAGATGATTTTTCAGGTATGAAAACAACAATTTTCAATCTTTTCAAGTTTGGGAAGATATTAACTAATATTTGTGATGATTTCATTGAACAATTTATACCTAAATTTAACTCCTCCATATATTTGAAATTATTTAATCTCCATCCATTTTTATAAAGAGCATAAAAAAAATCTTGTAAGTTTAATTTCAAATCCTTTAAATCAAGTGATCCTAGATGTATTTGATTTTCTTTTACCAACAATGATATAACATGTAAAATTTTAGAATCATAAACTTGATTAATCTTTAAATTTTTAATTATTTTTAAATTTGTATTACTTACATTTTTCTTGAAAAATTTAAGACCAACATTAAATTCATCTAATGTGATGTTGTTCTTACATTTGAAATCAAAAATTTGTAGTTTATTTAAATTGTTATACCATTGTTTGCAAGTTAAAAGGCAATTAAATTTTTCAATCATTGATAACTGTTTGACAATTTCGTTTACTATTTCAATTGGTAATTGGTTGAATGGGTCTATATTTTGCTTTACAACTTTCCTTTTCTTCCTTTGTTGTGAATCTTGTGATGATGATGCACTAGACGTGATTGACCTTAGAATGGAATCATTGGGCACGCTTTTTTTTTCTTTCTCTAGTTTCAATTCTTGATTGAGAAGTTTGTATTGCAGTTTCAATTTCTCAGTTAAGTTAGCTTGACTGTTGAGAATTTGATCAACGTCTTCCTTCTTATTCTTTTCCCGTAAAGATCTTAAAATATATATCCCTGTTTGATAATTTTTGTAAGCTTCAAATTTTTGATTTAATAAATACAAAATTTTACCAATTCTAAGGTATCCCTTTACGTTAAATGGTTCATATTTTAGTATCAATTTTGATTCTTTTAATGCTAAATTATGTTTATCTAATTTTTCGAGACATGATGCTTTCTGATCTAATAAAGTACTGAGTTTTGGATGAACTAATTCACCAAATTTTGGAACTTTTGCTAAATTATAATGATTTGATCTGATTTGTTTTATTTCGGTTGGAGTTAATTGTTTTAATTGGAATATTAAACGGTTGAATAATTGGAGTGCCTTAGTATATTCATTTGATTTGAAATATAGTACAGCTAACTTGCTCTCCTCCCTCAATTTTTCTTCTTCAATCATGCTTATTGCTCCATCTCTTATACTGGAAATATGATTTTGTCAGTGGTTTTTCAATGGGTTCTTCTCTGATCCGTCGGTTTTGAATTCATTGTTTACAATATTGTAAACACAAAAGAAGTTGATATTGAAATCAAACGCGTAAAAATATATTTGTATCACTAAAAGCTCATTTTAAGAGTTACCACTGATAACAGCTGCAAAAGAAAAAAAGATATATTGATGAGGCATTCCATCGACTTGAATAACTCTAGTAAACTTATGAATTACAAAGGGTAAGAAACTTTACAATTTACTGTTAGTCAATTCTAATTTTGAGTATTGGAAAATTGACATACGTGTTCTTACTCCTATCTACTTCTTTCCAAGAAGATTCTAATATCAACGTTTTGTAGACAGAACTCATGCCATAATTCTTGAGATGGGAACAATTCATAAAAATAATAATAACTTTTGCTTTGGGTCCATCAATATAATAAATTTATAAAATGAAACTTGATATTATATGAAACAAGATTACATAGCTACTTTTGTGTAATTAACTTCTGTCGTGTGATCGTAAATTTTAAAATTCAAATATTTTGCAACAATTGGACTAAAAGCTCTTCGACAAATAAATCTCAAATATCTGTCATTTCCGGTGTAAGATCTTCAGACAAACGAGAACTTTTGAAAATTTTGTAGAAGTTATTATTATTATTTTACCATTTATATGAATATTTGGTCTATTGGATTCAATTGCGTTAATATCTCGTATATTTTTGATTTGGTAGCTTTTTTGCAACACGTGCTCCATCAATTTTAATTTGGTCCTAATATTTAGTAAATGAAAATGGAAACAATGCGGCTCTTTCAATCTAATAAATTAAGTATTTTGATAAAATGGAACATCAAATTTTAACAAGATTTAATTAGTTCTAAAATTATCAATTTTTGAAAATTCAACCATTTACTGAAATCTTATTCCAGATTTAACCAGATTTTGACATCTAATTCCAAATCTTAGATCAATTGAATAACATTCATTCATATAATTTGAATACTTATCATCACACAATACAGATATATTTTTTCTGATAAGACTTATCATTTTTATTGCTTTCAATAACTTCCAATCCTAAAATCTCATCATGTCATCAACAAATAAAAGAATAGCATTACCAGCAAGAGTGGAGCCAAAAGTTTTTTTCGCTAATGAAAGAACATTTTTATCTTGGTTAAATTTTACAGTTATCTTGGGATCTTTAGGTGTTGGTTTATTAAATTTTGGTGATTATATTGGTAGAATTTCTGCAGGATTATTTACATTTATTGCAATGTTTACAATGTTATATGCTTTAATAACTTATCATTGGAGAGCAAAAGCAATTAGATTAAGAGGTGCAGGTCCATATGATGATAGATTTGGACCAACTATGCTATGTTTCTTTTTATTAATTGCTGTAATTGTTAATTTTATATTAAGAATTAGAGCTTAATATATTGTATAGGACATTCTTAATATAAATCACTTTTTACAAGAAGTTGTAACTATCCGTTCTATAAATTATCTTTAAATCTTACAATAATTAAGATTTCCTTGATTTTGGTGAGACAAAAAAAATACGTAGATATCTAGGTAATATTCATCAATTCGTAACTACAACCACAATGTCTAAAGTAATCGCAGTATATCTAGCTGAATTTGATGTTAGATCTGGATATAAACTACTATGGTCATACTCAACTATAGATAATTTTGTATTTGATGCAATAGAATATAAATCATTACCTAGTGGAATTCATGATTTCAAAAATGCAACCACATATATAAGTCATAAATCAAATAATAAAATATATTATGGATTAAGTTGTTTTAGACAATTTAACATTGATGATTTGGGAGATAATAATGATCGTAATAATTTGAAAATGTTTACAATTGGAATTCTTTGTGAACCAATAAAAAGTGAATGGAAACCAAATGAATTTGTAAATAATGGTTGGGAATATATTGATGAAATAAATGAAGTATTAGATCTATTGGAAGAAGATGTTAAAAAGAATCATAAATTAGATATTGAAAAATTTTCAAAAAAGTTTAAAAGTATTGGATCAAATTCAAATTTATCACTACCTAAAGAACCAATTGTTAAAAACCATTTACTATTAAATCTACCTAAATTATTTGAATTAACGGGGCCTTTAGTGTTTACAATATATAAACAAAGTTTATTAAGAAAAAACATACTATTTTTTAATGAAACTCATGTCACAGAAGAACAAGAAGATACTTATCGAATTCTTACATCTTTCAGTTATTTAATAGCGATATTATCTGTAATTCCTAAAGATATTAAAATCACTTCAAAATTAAGTTCACAACAACCATTATATAATATTGGATTAAATGAATTATCAACAGATTTATTGGAAGATTTTAAACAGAATGGATATATAGGTGTTACAAGTGATGAGATTTTAAAAAGTCATAAAATATATGATATTGGAGTTGAGGTTCAAAATAATAATGCAATAGCGTTTCAACAAAGTGATAAAGAAAAACTACTAAAATCAACTATTAGAGATTATCATAAATTTCAATCACTTTATACTAAATTAACAAGTAAAGAATTCAAATTTACAAATAATTCTAATATTTCTACAGATGATTTGAATTCAATAAATTCAACTGATCCAAAACAATTTAAATTATATACAGATATATCACCTCAACAAGTATTAAATGAACCTTCTTGGTGGAAATCAAATGCAACTGAACCAGTATCTTGGTCTGAATCATTTTGGTCAGCTTTTTCATGGTTTGCTTCTGCTGGTCAACAAATGAATGGTGAAGAAGAAGAAGAGGAAGAAGAAGAAAATATTACTGTTTCAACTTCTCCATCACCTACTACTAAACTAGATTTAACTGAATTGTTAAGTGTTATTGGCTATTTTCATAGATTAACTACCAAATGGTTCAAATATATTGATGATTTAATTAATGAAACAAAAGAAGAATTACAAATTTTAGAATCTGATCAACAAGAATTAATTGATAAAGTTGATTTAAATATTTCATATCAAGATATCTTAGATATGGATTTAGATCCTTATAGCTCACAAGATATTGAATTTTTAAAAGAATTTATATCTTTATATTTCGATGATAAAGTTGACAATGTAAATATTGGATATAATTTGACAAAAATATGCTGTTGATGGATTTTTATTCTTGTATAAAAGTTAATATAATAGGTATAATTAAACCACTTAGTAGAATCAAAATATTAAACCTTTTATTTTTTCCTTCTACATCATTATGGACGTCATCAATATTAAATTGATCAATGTCATTAATGCTGGTGGTTATATTGTCATTGTCTGTATAATCTTTTGAATCTAAGACGATATGATTTAATAAATGCAAAATGATATATAAGAAATTCCCAATTGAAAATAGTAAAACTTCACCAATTATTAAATCAAAATTATCATCTGAATGAAATAATGTCAACATTGAAAATGTAGATAATGTAAAAAATGGAGTAGAAATAGCAAATAATATCAAATGTAACATTAAAAATTTGCCTTGAATTTTATTTTCTTTAGTTAGTATTATTCCATAACTGAATGAAGTTGGTAATTTATGAATGATGATCCCAAAAATTAATAACAATTTTAATGCTTCATTTTGAGATACAAATGTTGAGCCTAGTGATATTCCATCAATTGAGCCGTGTATAAGCAAGCTTAATGATATAGGTGAGTTTATGATTGAATAAAACGATTCAAGTATAGATTTAAATTTGTTGTTAGTTGATAACGTCAATCCTTCTTCACTATTATTTAAATATTTATTTCCGCTATTAAATACATTATCTAGAACAAGCATCAATAAAAATCCGATCAATATAGGAAATCCAATATTAAATTTATTAATTTTAAAATTTGTAATCACTAATATTTCAAAAGCTTCAGGTAATAAAATTAATAACACTGTTCCAATTAATATTCCCACACTAAAGATTGATAACTTATTTAAATAGATTGATGTTTTATGCGTTAGTTTAATCATTTTGATCGGTAATATGCTTGATGCAAAAGTTGTTAATGCCATAATTGTGGTTACTACTAATATTTGAATGAAATTTGACATCTTGGTGGTGAAAATTTGGTACAATTGAAAATGGTTTTGCTTAGTCTTCGAATTTATTGAGCTTGATCATCAGATGCAGGTGTAATATTTGTTCTTTCAATTCTGAGTATTTGGCTAAAAATTATCTGTGAACATGATCAAGTTGATTAATCTCCATGGCTTAAGTTCTGTCAAAAATATCAACATTTGTCATATGTAGTGGCTACCAAATAATTGATAAAGAAATTTGAAGTATTTAAAGCTTGATTTGTTCAATTTTCAAGTTTGTATAAAGTATCAAAAACTTTCCAACTATATCAATTTAAGATTTAAGTATCTTTAGCATGCACTCGACTATATGTCACAAGGTGACCTGAAAACAAAATCAATAGTCAACAAAATATGATAGATCTATGATCATGAATAAGCTTTTGCGGCTTTTTCTCTACTGGCAGACGATCAGATAAAATTTTGTGCGGCTTGATTTCAGTTAGCAGACGATCGTGAAGATTTTTGTACGACATCTTTTTTCCTTGCAGACGCTCATAGTTAAGATTAAATAATCTATAATAGTCAAAAAGTCTACCTAAATCTACTCCATACCGTTTGAACCCTTGAATCAAACTCATTTCAGTACGTTCAAGCTTTTAACAAATCATAATTTGTCAAATTACACTATAGATAATGTTGTTTTCTCATATTTTCAGTTCTACTAGTATTAATTAGAGCAGACGATCAGGAATAATCACGTGCGGCTTCATTTCAGCTAGCAGGCGCTCAAAAATATTTTTGTGCAACTTGTTTTCGACTGGCAGGCGCTCATAGTTAAGCCAAACAAGATTTTCTCAAACTCATAAAACTTAGAAAAAACAGTACTCTCTGGTTACTCAAACTTTTTTGAATGATATTGGTATGAGTAATGTAGATTCATTGAAGATAATAAAGGTCGTAGAAAGCTGGATCTATCGTTTGATGTATCTATAGCAATTTATTTAGGACGCTCATAAGTAATTTTGTGCGGCTTATTTTCTACTGGCAAACGCTGATACTTAATTCTTACGTCTTTTTGTCTAAAAACTATATTGTTGAAAGCATTTATCAGTAATATTTTGATAAATTTGTATGAGCAAGAACATTTAAGTAAGTAAATGCTTAAATTTTGTATGAAACTCTTTTTCGTCGATTAAATAACTCTCGTTTTATGTACTGTAGTTAGGTTGTTAAATTTTGTAAAGAAAGAAAAATAGGATTTATATACTGGCACGTGATTTGATTTGCAAAAGTCCTGTATATTGGATTTAGTTTTTTATAATGTAGAGAGAACGACTTTTCCAGTCTCAGACCTGGAAATGTAGATGATATAGTTTAAGGTATTTAGGTAAAAAGAAGTACTGTCATATGTATGTCTTTTGTTTACTAGGAAATTAAGAGGTTGTTAGAGTGACTTTAGTTGTGAAAGAACTTCTTTTGGTGTTTTTGATATTATACTGAATTTAATAGTATTTCGTTTTTAAATTAATTGGAATTAAATATTAATAAAAGTAATTCATCGGATAGATTTTAAAAATAATTGAATTAATCATTACTTATGAAACGTAGGTAAGAATTAGAAGTTTTTGAGAGGCAGTGAATACTACGTTGATAAAGTTTATAGTCTTTGATCGTGGTTGAGTAGAGGGAAATTTGTGTACCTAGCCCTTCTCTACGAGATTGCTTATCTCTGTATTTTTCATCGTAATTTTTCTACGAAGACGAAGACTTGATGAACTGAAGTAAAAAATTGATAATTTTTTGGGCGTGGAAGCTGTTCCCTGATTTTCTTTTTTTCGATCTGTTTAATTAACTCGACCTACTACCTTTGGAAAGTTGACTTACGTAAGTGTTTTGATTTTGACTTTGAATGTGTTGACTATTGATTTTGATCGTTGGCCCTTAAGAAGTGGAGATCTTAAGTTATTTGTCTGGAATGAAAATCCAGAAGACTTGTCTTCTTGAGAATTGTTAAGATAAATGAAGAGTACTTATTAATGAAAAGTATACTGGAAATAGAAGTTTTTGAAACAAAGTGAAAACTACGTTGATAAAGAGCTGGTTTCTTGAGAAGTATGTTATTGTTAGATTCTATAAAGAAAATTGTTTAAAAAAATAGTTGATGATAGCGATTTTCTTGGTTATTGGTTGAAAGAATATCTAATAGTGAGAAAAGTAGGACTCTAGGTTAGAATTTCGAGGAAAAATAGGATACTAGATTTGAAGGTTAAGAACTGGAGACTAATTGTGCGGTGTAATAAGGGATAATTAATAACGTCTCCTTGAGAGTACTTATCTTTGTTTTAGAGAAAATTTTGTGCTGTGGTGTGTCGGAGTGTACTGAAAAGGTTTTGATAAGGTGAAAGACAGGAAAGAAAGAGCTGATAATGGTAATTCTTTTGGTAATTAGCTGGGAGATACTAAATAGTGTTGAAAGTAGGATTGAAACTGATGATTCTGAGGAAAAATAGGATACTTATGAAATTTCTGGAAGTATCTAATTGGGAGTTAAATAGTATAAAACTGTTAAAAAAAGAAAGTCGATGGAAGTCATCTTGTTGATAGTTATTGATTAATAAAAAGGTGGAATTGAATGTAAGAAGTCCAGGAATAAATTAGATACTTGAGCTGTGAAAACTATAAAAAGTATTTGATTGTAGATAATTATTTTTCTCTTCGAGATTATTTATCTTTATATTTCCCCGTTGTACTATGGGAGAGGTTTTCTATTGGATGAATTAGTATTTGAATTTGATAATTGACTGTGTAAATGACTTCGGTAAATGACCGTGATAGTTGGTTATTGGAATTGACTTGTGAGGTAAGTGAAGTTTTTTAATCCTTAATTGTTCTTACGACTATTATTCAGACTTTTTAAGGAGAAGTTAAGATATGCAGGTATTTGATGTTGATATTGTTGACTCTCTTGAAAAGTATAAGTTCTCGCTTTTTAAATGTCGACTTATAGAGGATTGAAGTTTTTGAGTCTTTTATCTGAGTCTGGTCTGTAGTGATAAAATTTATTGAAACTAAAAGTTTTTGAGTGTAAACCTATTAATAGTGATAAAAAATATCTGAATGAATATTAGTTAGTAGAAAGTAAATTAGATTTGAAGCTTTTGACAGAGTAAAATCTAGGTTGATAATGGTTAAGGTACTTGAAAAGTATATGATTAAGTTGAATGAGGAAAGAAAAGTTAAGAAAAGAGTCGATGATGGTTGTTCTCTTGAAATCTAATTGAAAAAAAATTAGTGGTAAGAAAAGTAGAAGTAAATGTGATGATTCGGGGAAAGAATAGAATACTTGATTTGGAGGGTTGAAAATACTTGATTGTGTACTTAGTCGGTAAAATATTTGTTGAAGGAAAAAAGGTTGATGAAAAATACTCCTTGGTAAATGTTAAGTAATAGGTAAAGTTGAATTGAATGTGGTGTTCTAAAAGAAAGTAGGATAATTAATATATGGTTATGGAACTGTAGGTATCTGAATGTGGAGTTGAAAAGTGATAATTTGTGAACGTCTTCGAAATTACGTATCCTTGATTTTCTATCGTAATCCTTCTTCGAGAGAGGAGTTTTCTGATGAGATGAGTAAGACTATAGACTATGATAGTTGAAATTAGTTAACTTCGTTAGTTGACTTTGATAGTTTATATCCTTTGTGAGTTTGACAGTTTACTTTCTTAGTCTTGATAGTTTACTTTTTAAGTTGATTTTGATAGTTGAAACAGCTGATTTTTTACTTTGTTTGATAGTTGAGTTTGTTAATTGGCTTTAAAAGTCTATTAGTTGCCTTTAGTTGATTTGTTGAACTAGGTAGTGATTTTGTTTGATAGATTGACCTCGAAAGTTGACTTTATTAGTCGACTTTGATAGTTGACTTTGATAGTTCAGTCTCTATGTTTAATGTGTTAGTATACTTTGTCAGTATGATTTGTTAGATGACTTTGATAGTTTACTTTCTTAGTAAACTCGAATTTGATGGTTGAACTTGATGCTTTACTTTGATGCTTTACTTTGATGGTTTTTTGGTGGTTGACAGTTGATCTATGTAGACTTTATTAGTTGAGTCTGATATTTGTTTTTAGTTGACTTTGAATAGTTTAAATTCTTAGTCGATTTTGATAATTTACTTTGATTGGTAATTTTAATAGTTGACTTTGTGAACTGACTTTAGTTGAGTTTCTTAGTTGACTTTGATGGATGACTTTGTTTGATAGTTGACAGTTTACTTCGATAATTTGCCTTGATGTTTTACCTTGATAGTTTATTTTGATAAGTGACCCTGATGGTTGACTTTAATAATTGACCTCGTCTGAAAGTTGAGTTAATTGACCTT